TGGGGAGTATAAACAGATATATTTTGATTAACAATTTACCATGCTTACAATAACTTTATTCGAAAACTGTCATCAAATATTGACATTTTCGTTAAATTCTTAGTGGGCAAAGTGATTCTTTTTGTCACATCACCGCGAAACACTTTTTCGTTCTAGAACGTAAAAGAACTGATTTTTATTGTTTGCTACTTTGCTATGATTCAAAAATTTACTTGATTTGATTTCTTTGCTTTGATTTTATTGGATTCTCGTAATTCTTTTTTGAGTTTCCGCTTATGTGGAGCTGTGCAGTTTTCGAAAAAAATTGGTCTAAAGAGTTTAGGCAGTACTTCCCTCGCTGTCGGAAACGTGACGACTGCATGTCTATTATGTTTTTTTTTTCACAGTAGATTTCGTTTTTTTTTTTGAGTCACCCGGTATATGCAAATTCAAAAAATATGAATGGAATGATAAATTACAAGTACAGACTCATCATATTTTGTATATTCTAGATAGGATTTATTCGGCAAACTTTTGAGCTGACGTCATCAGTTTTTTGTAGAAGATAACCAAATATATTTTGACTAAAAATTTATTATGCTCTTTATAACCTTAAAACATTTGCAAGATTTCAAAACATTCGGTTCTGGAGTTCCTGATTAAATCAATAAAATACATTTACCCATTCATTAATTTTTTTGGGTCACCCGGTATATGCAAATCCAAAAACTATGAATGGAATGATAAATCACAAGAAAAGACTCATCGTATTTTGTACATTTTAGATAGGATTTATTCGGCAAAATTTTGTAGTGACGTCATAATTTTTTTAGGGGGGATGAGTAAATACATTTTGATCAAAAACTTACCATGCTTATGATAACTTTAAAACACCTTCAAGATTTCAAAGCATTCGGTTTTGTAGTTCCTGAGTAAATCAGTAAAATAAATTTACGCATTCATTAATTTTTTTGAGTCATCCTGTATATGCAAATCCAAAAAATATGAATGGAGTGACATATCACAAGCACAGACTCATCATATTTTGTACATTTTACATAGGATTTATTTGGCAAACTTTTGAGCTGACGTGATTAAGTTTTTGGAGGGGATAACCAAATATATTTTGAGTAAAGATTTATGATGCTCTTTATAGCCTTAAAACATCTGCAACATTTCAAAACATTCGGATTAGCAGATTCTAAATTAAATTGCAAAATGTTATTTTATAATTTTGATTTTTTTTTTTAATCTGGACGTTTCGGGTAAAAACTCAATTCGGAGTCGTAAACTACATGTTTAGGACTATATTATTTTATACAATTTAAAACCCATTTACTATATACAATTTTGAAATGACGTCATCACATTGGTGGTGGGGATGATTAGACAAATTTTGGTTAGCGTTTTACCATCTACATCATATTCCTAATATAAAATTTTACAACAATCGGTCCAGTACTTTCGGAGATTATCTGTCTAATAAAAATCCGGGACGGCAAACAGACGGACCGACGGACGGACAGACGGACAGACGGACAGACGGACAGACGGACGGAAATGGGAGACCTATTTCTTCGTCTTCTAGGGGTCATGAAAGATCGAGAAAACGTAAAAGTAGAGAGTCGGCCGACGGACTCGATTACAATACTTGCTTTGCTTACGCTCGGGAAGTAAAAACGTTGTTTGATATTCGATTGCGAAATTCATTTGCATTTCGCAATCTAGAATCAAAAGTAGCTGTTTTTACATTGTGAACGAATTATCGGACTTTTTTTGTCAAAAAATGGTATGGAAAGTATTAATTTTTTTCACTATTTTTATTTTTTAAGAATTTTATTAAACAGTGTTTGCAAGTGGCAATTCTAACAAATTATAAAACTAAAACTCAAGTAATTATTAATGATTACATTAATGAAAATGAACACTGTTACGTTGATGGGTAAATAAAATCTGACTGATTACACAGCGACCATGTACAAAATAATTCCGGCGCAACTGAATTCGTTCGCTGGACTTCTCGCTGATTGCATCAACTGAATAATTCCTCGTTCCCGAAGGTGGCCTCTATTTAAACCCATACTCGTTCTAGATGTGCGGCGATCGGGATCTTTCTCGATTGCTGTTCGCGACTTCCGCTTCCAGGCGTTTCTTTAGCGCTCCGCCGTTTGATGGCTGTCATCGGCTTACAGACCAGAAAGTTCTCGACGGCCCATAGGCGTCGTACCGGGGCGGCGTACCTATGGGTTTATTTCTTAACAATATTAATAGGACAATTCTTATTTCCACTTATTACAAAACGAAGATTCCCAATAAATAAAAGAAAATATATTAAATTTAAAAATTTCAAAAGTTTACAAAATCTTAAGATTGTAGACATTCTAAAAATTCCAAAGTTTCCAAATGTTTGAAATATTTAAAAGGTTTCAAACCTTTCAAAATTTCTAAAGACTCGACACATTCTAAAAATCTTGAAGTTTTCATACACACTAGAATTTGCGAATTGTAAAGACACCAAAGATGCTAGATAAACTAAAGTTTTAGGTTCTAAATAGAAGAGACATCCAACAAAATCTTAAAAATTGTAAAGATCTTGGACGTACTAATACTCGTGGAAATTATAAACTTTATAAAATATCTAGTAATTCTAAAGTATCCAAATTTCTAAAGATTTTTAAAACTCTAAGGACTCTGAAAATTCGAAGATTCTAAATACTCTAAATGCTCAAACATTAAAAAGATCTTTAAAATTCTGTTCCAAATACATATTTCAAAGATTTGACAAACTTTTAAAGATTCCACAGACTCTAAAAATCATGAAAATCTGAAGAATGCTTCCTTTAATTTTTATAAATCCTGTAAGTATTAGGGGTCTTGAACACCCTAATTATCTTTCTTATACATCTCAGAGATTCTAAAGATTCCAGAGATTCCAAAAATTTCAAAGATTTAAAGACGCTTGGGGTCTATTAATTTTAGAAAATCTGGAAATGTCTAGAAAGTGTGAAAAATGTGGAAGACCTAGAAATCATGAAAATTGAGGAGAGTGTTGAATTCTGGCATATCCGAAGACTGATGTTTTCATGACATTTAGGAAATGTGGAACTTTAGAAAATTTCAAAAATGTACTCAATTCTAGAAATTCTAAACATTTTACTGAATTTGTGAAAATATTCCAAATACTGTGAAAGTTTAAAGTCTTCTCTAAATTTCAAAGATTTCGAGGATTTCAAGGGTGTTAAAACTCTAAGAAGTCTATCAATACTAAATTGATATATGTGCCCTTGTTAAAATGTAACAAAAAAAATATACGCAAAAACTGACTTTAAAAAGATATAGATACGATAAAAAAAATGTCGAGTTTTGACTTGACTGGAGCATTTTTAACCCCCAATCTGCAAGATAAACAGTGGTCTGCAATACGCGTACGAAATTTAAATATAAATACCATCCGACTTTTTTTGGAGTCACGAAGTTTAAAAATTTCTCTGTATCAGGGAATTAGCTGAATTAACAAGTTTAATTTTAACCAGTGGCGGTTCGTGACCTTTTAAAATGGGGGGGCACAGCTCTCGTTTTGCCATGAACACTTTTCTTTTATTGGTAAATCGAGAGTGGCTGTCCCTAAATTTTTCACTACAATTTGATTGCTGTAAGACAGCGGACGATGTTTTATTAAAAATTCAACTGAATTCATTATTTTTATTTAAAATTGAATTACTGCTAGCGGTCACGGTTCAAACAGGACCTGATTCCATCAACACCACCTAGAAAGGTGATCTTTATTCCATCCAAACACAGCGACTAGAGGCGCGGTTTCCATGGCAACGGTGTAAAAACGTTTAAATGGAAAATGAGGCAAATTCTAAAAGCAACCAATAATACAATTACAGAGAAGTCTTTGATATATATTAACAGTATTTTTTAAGTAAAACATAGTTAATTGTTAAGTTAAAAACAAAAACAAACACATTCAGAACAAGATTTCTCAGTGCATCTAGGGCTAAGTATTTCAGGCACCGTCTATTCGTATGTCCGCCAGTGGATCTTGCTCACTCGGTGTATATGAGACAATCTGTTACCCCTATTGTTGCTTCTAGATAAATTTCTCAATTATACTTACATTCTCCAGCTTGATTCCCTTCAGCTTAGGCACACACTCTTGTCAGTAGAATTCTGTGTCTGTACTCTTCAAATTAATTTTTTCATATTTCTAGTTCTTCGTTACTTTTAGTTTTTTTCGATTTTAAGGATACAGCCTGATAATATTAAAATTTTAATTGCAGATTTATTCGTTTTGAATTAAGCAAAACATGTTATTCCTATGTCATTTTTTTGTATAATAGAAAATACAGTTTTTTTTTCCTCTTGTGAACTCAATCCGGGGATATACTGTAGGTACAAATGGAGCATTTGAAGATTTTTCGGCATATAAATATAAATGTGCTCCAACGATAAGGATCTCCATGGGCGTTACGTGCTTTACCCAAATTGACTTCTTTATGGGCTTTACGTACTTTTGGGTTTCACACAAGTTGGCCAACTGAAAATTGTTGCACTAAATGCTGGCTTTGAGTAAAAAGATTTTCTTCCGGATACTAAACAATATCAAAGCCGATCGCCCGTCAACACGATCGCTGAAGTAACTTATGAATTATTTGGTACTTATGTTAAAGAGTTAAAGTTGAGTTATTGGATTTAAATGAATAGTTAGAACACTTAAAATTTTCTAATATAAAGATGTAAAGTAAAAAATAAGCACGCGTAAGTATATAAAAGAACATTAAAAATAAACTAACTATTAGACCTATGTACGAAGGAATTGTCCTCTAGTGAATTATGAAAAATATTGAGGATGAAAGTTAGTTAAATAAGAAGTAGGTAGTAGATTTTTTTTATTATTTTAATTTAACTTCTCTAATTTAATAAGAGTTCAATTCGCTATAGTCAAGTTGACCTCGACCACATATTGACGTATTTCTGTCGAGTTTTTGACATTTTACTATTACTTATACTTGAAAGTGTATTTTATGTGACCTTTCTGTTATCTATGATGTATATTTCTTGTGTGTCTGATCTTTTCAAATGCCCTGCTATGCGTTAATGTGGTAAGTATTCGTCTAAACACAAATTTAGTAATTAATGTATTTTGAAGCATCGTTGCCGCGTTCATGATTATTTGTGGAAGAAATAAGGCACATGCGATAAGTTTCCAGCCAGTCCCTCCCTTCAGTGGTAATTTTCTCCAAGAAGTTGCTGATTTTGATAGTATAGTTGAACCAGAATCCAATCAGGAATCTGCCCCTAATGTCATTAAAATCAGAAATAGTATGAGTGACGAAGACAAACGATCAAGTGACAAAAGTGAAGAAATACCTTATCAAAACCATCCATATTACGCAGAAAACAATGACGAAAAAAGTTTTGCCGACGTTGATAAAATTAAAAGAGAGTTGGGTCAAATGGGCACGGTTTTTGTCAATAAATTTTTTGACAGTGATAGTGACCCAGAACGCGAAGAAAGAAGTTTTAAGGTAATTGAAGAAAGACCATTTTCTGACGAACCAAAAGAGGATGAGAACGAAAATGAGGACTCTCCAGAGGAAGCATTACGCAAAGATAAAGATTTTCAAGAAGAGCAATTGAAAGCAAAAAATCTTACCAACACCAGCAGACTACTTTTCGACGAAATTGAGAACGGAAAAGCAAATGGTAATGGGGAGGAAGATGAGGCATGTTGTGAAAATGAAGCAGAAAAAGGACAAGTAAAAGAATTAGTTGCACCAGCCCACCAAAAGGGTAAGAGAGAAGAGAGAATGTAGTTAGGGTGTAGGACAGTCAGTTCTTAGGTTTAGTTTTTTCTAACTGAGAATTGCCAACGTGTTGAAATAGGTTCCTATTGTCGACTTTTGTCCGTGTCATTTTACCTATGTCCATCTAATCATCAAAGAGAAAAATCAACATCGAATCTGTTCACTACACTTTGAAATAATAAGTAAAAATTACATTACGCTTTAATAATATTTGTTCTGAAGAGAACATACATCGTTATTATTGTTATCGTTAATTGTTTGTGTTTTACAATACTAATAATGCTCTTCTGACAATGTATTACTTAAATTTTACTTTACAGGCAAACCCGGAAATCCCGATCTCTTAGAAATGCATTTTTATAAATATTTGCCTGAAACTGGAAAAGTTAAAATCGCACCTGAAGACAAAAAATCAGTGTTGATAAATTTGTACCCAGAAGATAAAACAAACAAAAAGGGATTTCAAATTCCGGAAAAATATGACTATATTGCTCTTTTATCGAAAGACAACAAATTTGTACAGGTTCCTGCTGTGAAATTTACAGTAGTGCCAGGGGAAAGTGCAAACAGACGAAGAAGAAGTGATCAATTTGAGCCGTTTTATATTTCTAGATACAGAAAATATCCTCAATCCCTTAAATTTCAACCGCCTGACAACCTATACCACACTGCTTTTAAAGGAGTATGTCCTTCACACTGGAGTCACGTACCTATACTCTTTATCAACACTATACCTGGTCTACAAAGACGATTTGGTAACAAAGTATACAAAAGGTCCTCAGATATGGATCTTGCCGACAATAAATACCTTCGCGAAGCGAATTTGTTAATTCAGAATGTCAATACGTCTTTAAGGATGGGTTTAACTGATAATAAGAAACCCATGTCTGTCGATGCTGGTGTTTTGGTTAATCCGAAATATGAAAGTTCAACGAACCAAAGATCTAAACTCTATGACAAAAAATCATTCAAAAAAGAAGTCAATGATGAATTTGATAATAGTAGAAATAATTTGGAATCAGAATTATCTACCAACGATTTATCACTGTCGTCAGCAAAAGAAAATAATTTGGTGAATAACAACGAAATGGATATAAACAAAGGCGAGAACTTAGTAAGAAATGAAATTACTTCTATAGATTCCTCATCACATAAAGAGAATAGTGAAGATAATGCTGCACTTAGTAAAAATGAAATAAACCTTGTAACCACGCTACCAAACAGAGACGATAGTTTGATCAAAAATATTATCAATCCTCTAGAAATTGATAAAGCAAACATGTTACAAAAAACTGACGTTAATCCAGCAGAAATTATACAAAATAAAGACGACAGTCTGACGAAGAGTGAATTAAGCTCTTTAGATGTTCTAACTAACAATGTCAACAGTTTGATTGACAGCGAGATAGGTTCTTTAAATTTCAAAGACAACGGTTTAGCTAAAAGTGAAATAAACTCTTTAGATATTTCACCAAGTAAAGATAACAATTTGATTAAAGACGAACTTAATTCTTTAGATTTTACATCAAATAAAGACAGTAGTTTAATAAAAAACGACATCGGTACCATTGATTTTCCCTCCAGCAAAGACAACACTTTGATAAAAAGTGAAGTTGGTTCCCTGGACGTTTCGTCGAACAACGATCCTAGTCCAATTAAAAGTGAGATCAATCCTTTAAACAATTTGATCAAAAGTGAGGTTAGTCCAATGGATATGTCATCGAACAACGATCCCAGTGCCATTAAAAATGAGATCAATCCCTTAAATAAAGGCCTGAGTAGAAATGAGATCCAACCTTTAGACAAAAGTTTAGTTAAAAGTGATATTAGTCTTGTCGACAAAGATTTAGTCAAAAATGATATTAGTCTTGTCGACAAAGGTTTACTAAAAAATGATGTCAGCTTTGCCGGTAAAGGTTTGGTCAGAAATGATGTTAGTCTTGTAGACAACGGTTTAATAAAAAATGAGGTTAGTTCATTAGAAGGATCAAGTAAGGTCAACAGTTTTATAAAAAATGAAATTAGCCCTTCGGAAGTTTCTGAAAACAAAGATAGTAATTTAATTAAAAGTGAAGTTAGTACTTTGGAGCTCACACCACATAAGAGTGATAGTTTTGTAAAAAACGAAATTAGTCCTATGGAAGTGGCGCCGGGTAAAATAGATACATTTGTGAACAACGGGTTCAATCCTATGGAAATAACACCACAAAAATCAAACGGTTTAGTAAATAATATTAACAATCCAATGAATGTTGGAAGAAGCAGTAAAAACAGGTTTGTGAAAAGTGAAGTTAGTCCAGTGGAAAATACATTCAAGGCAAAAAATTTGATAAAGAATGATATTTCATCATTAGAAATAGGATCTAATAAAGATAGTGGGGAAGATGTTGTGGGAAACAATGAAATAGACAAAGCCATGGAATTGGTTACCAACAATGACGGGCTGTCAGATCCATTTGTTAAGAATGAGATTAATCCTGTCTATGTACCAAATGATAACCCATACTTAGATAATATGCTAGACAATAAAGTTAATGATTTGTCTGAGAATGTGATGAACAGTGATAATCATAACGCGGAACAATCCGAAAATGTAGTACAAAATAAGAATGAACAAAATTCAAACAATATGATTAACAAACAAGACATGGTGAGTATTAAAACAATTGTTACTTTAAATAACACCTGAAAAAAGTATTGAATGTTAATTATTTTTTTTTTTTTTGATTGAAAATTTCTAAGTTATTAACGAATTATTTTTGTTTTGTTTTTATATAAATTTAAAATATTCAGTTAGAATTATTAGAAATTTTGCTTAAATACAAAAGTAGTACCGTATTAGATAGTTAACCATGGCATTATTTTACAATCTATTTTTTAAATTCACAGATGTCAAGTGCCTACTTAATTGATCTTCTTAAAAACGTCGACATGCTGAAAAAATCGGATCCCAATTTTAAATTTATCTCCCAAAATAAAGAGAAAAATATGAATCGTTTGATCGATGAGCCAGAAAAAGAAGGGGGAAGCAGCACCTGTGAATTTCCAGATTTTGCGATGACCACAACTTCAACAACTGCACTGGAAATTGGTCTAACACCTGCTCAGGTGGACCAAGAGTCAAAAGTACCTGATGAATCAAACGTCAACAATCCTGCACCTGCTAGTGTCATTCCTAATATTCCACTTTCAACACACCATGTGAATGAATTACCCGAAAATGGCTTAAGTACTCCACTTCCAAAGGCGCCTGTACCTTCCCATGCTCCTTCCGATATGAATAACACAAATGGAGTGGTAATAAATGAATCAACGTCAAAAGGAAATGTGTCTGCACAAAATCAGTTAGCCGCAAATGAAACAATGTATGAGGATGAAAATGATGTCGGTAATATTCTGGACTTATTAGGAAGTAACACAACTATTTGCACCACAGTTGGTACTACGGAAGGAAAGGGAGGTAAAGGAACCTCGTCAACCACTTCTGCAACAACAGGTCATATAAGTATGAGCGTCACGTCCGTTCCCACAATTTCCGCAGGCGTAATTAATTCAACTCCTACTGTAGGTACCGTAGTTTACGAAAAAACCACTTGTGGTAAGAGTACAACCCAAGCCGCTCCTAGCACAACACTAAGTTTAGTAGCCAAAGGCAAAAGTGCTTTATTAAATCAATTACACAATCTACAAAAAGACCTGAAACTAGTTTTTGAAGTACAGAATATACTCAGCGGATCCAAAAAACAACAAGAAAAAAAGAACAAGAGACGTAAAAGAGAAATATTTCAAAAATACAGACTAAGAAGAAAATGCAAGAATTCGAAAAATAAAAGTCAACTTCAAACTGCATCGAAACTAAATCCTATACAGGAAGTTCAGGCCTTGGGAAAAATTTTACAGTGGAAAGCAAAAAATGAAGGCGAAACGACTACCAACTGCAAACGAACAAAACGATTCTTATTTAAGAAACGGCGCAAGAAGAAAAGGAAGAAGAAAAAGAAGAAGAAGAAGAGGAAGAAGAAGAAGAAGTGGTGGAAGCGTGTATTCGGCCACCCTGCGGACCAACGACATTTTTTAGGCACGCTCTCTCAAAATTTCCTTTGACTTTGCGCGATTCCAGGCAAGTTAGACCGAGTAGTTCTAGTGTAGTGCGAAATAGAAAAGTAAGTCAAGTCAAACGGCAATTGGATGATGAAGGCGGTGTTTGGGAATGGTTTAATTGGCCAACTGGAAAAAGATTCGAACTAACTTCTAGTGAAACATATGCTGAACCCATGGAAACTACAACGTCGTTAAATGTTTTGAACGAGGTGCAACATGTGTTAGACGAGGTAGAACCAGCACCAAGAATGACAGTTAAAACTACAACTACTGAATTGCCCTTAAATCAGCTTAAAAGTGCATTAAATTCTTTAGAACAAAATGATGTAGAGGAAAATATAAATGAAAATAGTGATGTTGCACAAAAACAAGAACATATTATTAATGAAGTCGCACAAATGGTCACCAAAATTCAGCAAAGTAATGAAGAAGAAGAACCCCTGTACTCCACCCAACGCACCTTCGACGAATTATTAAATTCTGAAGTTTGGAATGTTCTTGAAAACTCATCACGGTTACTTTATCTTCCTACCACTGAAGTTTATAATAAGGCACCACAGGTTGAAAAATCTACGAAATATACAAGCGAAAGACATCATACAAACAAAAATATGCACGAACATTATATCGGCAACAAAGTTCATCATGTTACTATGATACACAAAGAAGAGTCCTTTAAAAACTATCCACACAAGGAAAAAACATCGGAACACACAACCATAAAATTAGGAAAAGGTACAGATAAATCTGTCCACGAAAAGTATGCCGGCAATCAATTACAGCACGTCACAGTTAATCAACATCACGATGTAGATCAGTTTTCATCAGAGTCTCCAAAAATAAACCAACGTGGGCAGTTAATGCATTATACCAATAAAAGAAGACGTACATCTTCGGAAACACCCTCTACACACCAACCTGTCAGTTTATCAGAAGCAGGGAATTCATTGATAGGTGAGTTTCATAACAAACATGAAACATCTACCTTATGTGTTCTTTGTAACAAAGGACAAGAAATTCCTGGTACATATGAAGCAGCTGAAAGTGAAGCAACAACACAAGAAAAAAATGTTGCGCTCAATGCAGATCGTACAACCAGAGTACAAGAAGGTACAGAAAAAGCAACGTTATTTTTGGATGAACTTCATAAGGGACATGGTCAGAGAATGCACTATACCAATAAAAGAAGACGTACATCTACGGAAACACCCTCAACACATCAACCTGTCAGTTTGTCAGAAGCAGGGAATTCATTCATAGATGAGTTTCATAACAAACATGAAACATCTACCTTATGTGTTCTTTGTAACAAAGGACAAGAAATTCCTGGGACATATGAAGCAGCTAAAAATGAAGTAACAACACAAAAAACAAATATGGTGCCCACTGCAGGTCACACAACCGGAGTAAAAGAAGGTACAGAAAAAACAACGTTATTTTTTGATGAACTTCATAAGGGAGATGGGCAGAGAATGCACTATACCAATAAAAGAAGACGTACATCTACGGAAACACCATCTACACATCAACCTGTGAGTTTATCAGAAGCAGGAAATTCATTCATAGATGAGTTTCATAACAAACATGAAACATCTACCTTATGTGTTCTTTGTAAAAAAGGAGAGGAAATACCGGGAACATACGCGGAAGCTAAAAGTCAAACAACTGAAAAGGAATTAGTAAAATCATCAAAAACTAAACAAGAAAGTAAATTAACGACAAAAGTAAGTGAAAAAAAGATAAAGGTTTCAGTGCAGGTGGAGCGAACGACAATACTTCCTGAAAGCACTAAGTCAGAGATGACACATAAATATACGGAACGCATAACAAAACTAAACAAACCAGAGGAAAAAATTACAACTCAAAAACCAGCTACCACTGAAAAAACAGTACATGTGGCAGTAAAGGAAAAAGAAGAAGAAGCAACAACTGAAGTGGCTAAAAATAAAGCGACAGCAAATAAAGAAGAAAGTGCCACATCTAAAGCTACTGAAGGTGGTGTGATTTCGTCACAAATTACCCGGGAAAATGAGATAAAAAGTAGCAAAGGAGAAGAAGGTGGCACAACAAAAATTTTTACAAATTCGGAAGCATTACATACTTCAATACAATCTACGAAAATAATAAACAAAGAGGCAGAAAGTATAACAACAGAAAAAAAGGGAGGAGCAACAAAAGAAGAAGGGCAAATTGTTCAAAGTGGAGCAACAACACCATATGCTACAACAGAACACAAAGGAGAATTACACAAAGAGGAAGAAGGTGCAACAAAATATAAAGAAGAAGAAGCAAGCAAGAAGACAGAAAGTGTAACAACTGAAAAAGCTGAAGGCGGTTCGCCGAGAGCACAAACAACAAAACAACACGAAGGTACAGAAACCAAAGTGCAGGAAGTGGGTACTACACAATTAAGCGAAGATGTCGAAATTACAGTTGTTGCTGCAACAGACTATATCGAAGAAGTGAGCAAAGAAGCAGAAATTGTAACAAGTGAAGAAGTTGAAGGTGGTATCACTACAATGCAAGCAGAAAAAGAACACGAAGGAGAAGAGACTAAGGAGGAATCAGTTGCTACGACTCAGTTAGTTGAGGGTGGCGCAACACCAGCTTCCGCCGTGACAGAACATGTTGAAGAACTCAGCAAAGAAGCAGAAGCTGTGACAACTGCAGTAGTTAAAGGAGGTGCGACCACACTACAAGCAGGAAAAGAACATGAAGAAAATACCAAAGAGGAACAAGTTGTCACAACACAAGTAGCTGAGGGTGGCGCGACGACAGCTCACGCTGCGAAAGAAAATGGAGAAGAACTAAACAAGGGGGCACAAGCTGTGACAACTGAAGTAGTTGAAAGTGGCGCGACCACAGTACAAGCAGGAAAAGAAAACGGAGGGGAAGAGACCAAAGAGGAAGCAGTTGGCACAACACAATTAGCCGAAGGAGGCGCAACGACAGCTCACGCTGTGGCAGAACACGAAGAAGAAGTACGCAAGGAAGAAGAAATTGTAACAACTGAAGTAGTTGAAGGTGGTGCGACCACAGCACAAGCAGGAAACGAACACGAAGCGGAAGAGACCAAAAAGGAAGCAGTTGGCACAACAAAACTAGTTGAAGGTGGTGCGACGACAAAACATGCTGCGACAGAACATGGAAAAGAAGTAAATACGGAGGCAGAAGCTGTCACAACTGAAGAAGTTCAAGGTGGTGCGACCACAGGGCTAGCAGGAAAAGAACAAGAAGGGGAAGAGACCAAGGAGGAAGAAGTTGCCACAACACAACTAGTTGAAAGTGGTGCGACGACAGCACATGTTGCGACAGAACATGGAGAAAAAGTTAATAAGGAGGCAGAAGCTGTGACAACTGAAGTAGTTGAAGGTGGTGGGACCACTGAAGAAGCGGGAAACGAACACGAAGAGGAAAAGACCAAAGAGGAAGAAGTTGGCACAACACAACTAGTTGAAGGTGGTGCGGCGACAGCTCATGTTGGGACAGAACATGGAGAAGAAGTAAGCAAGAAGACAGAAGCTGTCACAACTGGAGAAGTTCAAGCTGGTGCGACCACAGTACAAGCAGGAAAAGAACACGAAGGGGGAGAGACCAAGGAGGAACAAGTTGGCACAACACAACTAGTTGACGGTGGTGCAACGACAGCTCATGTTGCGACAGAACATGGAGAAGGGGTAAGCACGGAGGCAGAAGCTGTCACAACTGAAGAAGTTCAAGGTGGTGCGACCACCGTACAAGCAGGAAAGGAACATGAAGGGGAAGAGACCAAGGAGGAAAAACTTGGCACAACAAAATTAGTAGAAGCAGGCGAAACGACAGCTCACGTTGTGGCAGAACACGAAGAAGAAGTAAGCACGGAGGCAGAAGTTGTGACAACCGAAGTAGTTGAAGGTGGTGCGACCACAGTACAGGCAGGAAAAGAACAAGAAGGGGAAGAGATCAAGGAGGAAGAAGTTGCCACAACACAACTAGTTGAAGGTGGTGCGACGACAGCTCATGTTGCGACAGAACATGGAGAAGAAGTCAGCAAGGAGGCAGAAGCTGTCACAACTGAAGAAGTTCAAGGTGGTGCGACCACCGTACAAGCAGGAAAGGAACATGAAGGGGAAGAGACCAAGGAGGAAAAACTTGGCACAACAAAATTAGTAGAAGCAGGCGAAACGACAGCTCACGTTGTGGCAGAACACGAAGAAGAAGTAAGCACGGAGGCAGAAGCTGTGACAACCGAAGTAGTTGAAGGTGGTGCGACCACAGTACAGGCAGGAAAAGAACAAGAAGGGGAAGAGATCAAGGAGGAAGAAGTTGCCACAACACAACTAGTTGAAGGTGGTGCGACGACAGCTCATGTTGCGACAGAACATGGAGAAGAAGTCAGCAAGGAGGCAGAAGCTGTCACAACTGAAGAAGTTCAAGGTGGTGCGACCACAGTACAGGCAGGAAAAGAACACGAGGGGGAAGAGATCAAACAGGAAGAAGTTGGCACAACACAACTAGTTGAAGGTGGTGCGACGACAACTCATGTTGCGACAGAACATGGAGAACATGTAAGCAAGGAGGCAGAAGCTGCCAAAACTGAAGTAGTTGAAGGTGGTGGGATCACAGTACAAGTAGGAAAAAAACACGAAGGCGAAGAGATCAAAGAGGAAGAAGTTGGCACAACACAACTAGTTGATGGTGGTGCGACGACAGCTCATGTTGCGACAGAACATGGAGAAGAAGTCAGCAAGGAGGCAGAAGCTGTCACAACTGAAGAAGTTCAAGGTGGTGCGACCACAGTACAGGCAGGAAAAGAACACGAGGGGGAAGAGACCAAAGAGGAAGCAGTTGGCACGACACAACTAGCTGAAGGTGGTGCGACAACAGCTCATGTTGCGACAGAACATGGAGAAGAAGTAAGCAAGGAGGCAGAAGCTGTCACAACTGAAGAAGTTCAAGGTGGTGCGACCACAGTACAGGCAGGAAAAGAACACGAGGGGGAAGAGACCAAAGAGGAAGCAGTTGGCACGACACAACTAGCTGAAGGTGGTGCGACAACAGCTCATGTTGCGACAGAACACGCAGAAGAAGTAAGCAAGGAGGAAGAAGCCGTCACAACTGGAGAAGTTCAGGCTGGTGCGACCACTGTACAAGTAGGAAAAGAACACGAAGGCAAAGGGATCAAAGAGGAAGAAGTTGGCACAACGCAACTAGTTGAAGGTGGTGCGACGACAGCTCACACTGTGACACAACACGAAGAAGAAGTTAGCAAGGAGGAAGAAATTGTAACAACTGAAGTAGTTGAAGGTGGTGCGACCACAGAACAGGCAGGAAAAGAACACGAGGGGGAAGAGACCAGAGAGGAATCAGTTGGCACAACACAACTAGTTGAAGGTGGTGCGACGACAGCTCATCTTGCGACAGAACATGGAGAAGAAGTAAGTACGGAGGCAGAAGCTCTGGCAACTGAAGTAGTTGAAGGTGGTGGGACCACAGAACAAGTAGGAAAAGAACACGAAGGGGAAGAGAACAAAGAGGAAGAAGTTGGCACAACACAACTAGTTGAAGGTGGTGCGACCACAGTTCATGTTGCGACAGAACTCGAAGAAGAAGTAAGCAAGGAGGAAGAATTTGTAGCAACTGAAGCAGTTGAAGGTGGGGCGACCACATTACAAGCAGGAAAAGAACACGAAGGGGAAGAGACCAAAGAGGAAGAAGTTGGCACAACACAACTAGTTGAAGGCGGTGCGACGACAGCTCATGTTGTGACAGAACATGGAGAAGAATTAAGCACGGAGGCAGAAGTTATGACAACTGAAGTAGTTGAGGGTAGTGGGACCACAGAACAAGCAGTAAAAGAACTCGAAGAAGAAGAGACCAAGGAGGAAGAAGTTGCTACAACACAACTAGTTGAAGGTGGTGCGACGACAGCTCATGTTGCGACAGAACATGGAGAAGAAGTCAGCAAGGAGGCAGAAGCTGTCACAACTGAAGAAGTTCAAGGTGGTGCGACCACAGTACAGGCAGGAAAAGAACACGAGGGGGAAGAGATCAAAGAGGAAGAAGTTGGCACAACACAACTAGTTGAAGGTGGTGGGACCACAGTACAAGCAGGAAAAGAACACGAGGGGGCAGAGACCAAAGAGGAGGCAGTTGGCACAACACAACTAGTTGAAGGTGGTGCGACGACAGCCCATGTTGCGACAGAACATGGAGAAGAAGTAAGCAAGGAGGCAGAAGCTGTGACAACTGAAGTAGTTGAAGGTGGTGGGACCACAGGACAAGCAGGAAAAGAACAAGAAGGGGAAGAGACCAAGGAGGAAGTAGTTGCCACAACACAACTAGTTGAAGGTGGTGCGACGACAGCTCATGTTGCGACAGAACATGGAGAAGAATTAAGCACGGAGGCAGAAACTATGACAACTGAAGTAGTTAAGGGTGGTGGGACCACAGAACAAGCAGTAAAAGAACTCGAAGAAGAAGAGACCAAGGAGGAAGAAGTAGGCACAACACAACTAGTTGAAGGTGGTGCGACGACAGCTCATTTTGCAACAGAACATGGAGAAGGGGTAAGCACGGAGGCAGAAGCTGTCACAACTGAAGAAGTTCAAGGTGGTGCGATCACCGTACAACCAGGAAAGGAACATGAAGGGGAAGAGACCAAGGAGGAAGAACTTGGCACAACACAATTAGTGGAAGGAGGCGCAACGACAGCTCACGTTGTGGCAGAACACGAAGAAGAAGTAAGCACGGAGGCAGAAGCTGTGACAACCGAAGTAGTTGAAAGTGGTGCGACCACAGTACAGGCAGGAAAAGAACACGAGGGGGAAGAGACCAAAGAGGAAGCAGTTGGCACAACACAACTAGTTGAAAGTGGCGCGACGACAGCTCATGTTGCGACAGAATATGGAGAAGAAGTAAGCACGGAGGCAGAAGCTGTCACAACTGAAGTAGTTGAAAGTGGTGGGACCACAGGACAAGCAGGAAAAGAACACGAAGGGGAAGAGACCAAAGAGGAAAAAGTTGGCACGACACAACTAGTTGAAGGTGGTGCGACGACAGCTCATGTTGCGACAGAACATAGTGAAGAAGTAAGCAAGGAGGAAGAAATTGTAACAACTGAAGAAGTTCAAGGTGGTGCGACCACTGTACAAGAAGGAAAAGAACACGAAGGGGGAGAGAACAAGGAGGAAGAAGTTGGCACAACACAACTAATTGAAGGTGGGGCGACGACAGCTCATGTTACGACAGAACACGAAGAAGAAGTAAGCAAGGAGGAAGAATTTGTAACAACTGAGGCAGTTGAAGGTGGAGCGACCACAGGACAAGCAGGAAAAGAACACGAAGGGGAAGAGACCAAGGCAGAAGAAGTTGGCACAACACAACTAGTTGAAGGTGGTGCGACGACAGCTCATGTTGCGATAGAACATGGTGAAGAAGTAAGCAAAGAGGCAGAAGCCGTCACAACTGGAGAACATCATGCTGGTGCGACCACTGTACAAGTTGGAAAAGAACACGAAGAGGAAGGGACCAAACTGGAAGAAGTTGGCACAACACAATTAGGAGAAGGGGGCGCAACGACAGCTCACGCTATCACAGAACACGAAGAAGAAGTAAGCAAAGAGGAAGAAATTGTAACAACTGAGGTAGTTAAAGGTGGTGCGACCACAGTACAGGGAGGAAAAGAACACGAAGGGGAAGAAACCAAGGAAGAAGAAGTTGGCACAACACAACTAGTCGAAGGTGGTGCGACGACAGCTCATGTTGCGACAGAACACGGAGAAGAAATAAGCAAGGAGGCAGAAGCTGTCACAACTGAAGTAGTTGAAGGTGGTGGGACCACAGAACAAGCAGGAAAAGAACACGAAGGGGAAGAGACCAAAGAGGAAAAAGTTGGCACGACACAACTAGTTGAAGGTGGTGCGACGACAGCTCATGTTGCGACAGAACATGGTGAAGAAGTAAGCAAGGAGGAAGAAATTGTAACAACTGAAGAAGTTCAAGGTGGTGCGACCACTGTACAAGAAGGAAAAGAACACGAAGGGGGAGAGAATAAGGAGGAAGAAGTTGGCACAACACAACTAATTGAAGGTGGGGCGACGACAGCTCATGTTGCGCCAGAACACGAAGAAGAAGTAAGCAAGGAAGAAGAAATTGTAACAACTGAGGTAGTTGAAGGTGGTGCGACCACAGTACAGGCAGGAAAAGAACACGAAGGGGAAGAGACCAAGAAAGAAGAAGTTGGCACAACACAACTAGTGGAAGGTGGTGCGACGACAGCTCATGTTGCGACAGAAAACGGAGAAGAAGTAAGCAAAGAGGCAGAAGCCTTCACAACTGAAGAAGTTCAGGCTGGTGCGACCACTGTACAAGTTGGAAAAGAACACGAAGGGGAAGGGACCAAACAGGAAGAAGTTGGCACAACACAATTAGGTGAAGGAGGCGCAACGACAGCTCACGCTATGACAGAACACGAAGAAGAAGTAAGCAAGGAGGAAGAAATTGTAACAACTGAAGAAGTTCAAGGTGGTGCGACCACTGTACAAGAAGGAAAAGAACACGAAGGGGGAGAGAACAAGGAGGAAGAAGTTGGCACGACACAACTAGTTGAAGGTGGTGCGACAACAGCTCATGTTGCGACAGAACATGGTGAAGAAGTAAGCAAGGAGGAAGAAATTGTAACAACTGAAGAAGTTCAAGGTGGTGCGACCACTGTACAAGAAGGAAAAGAACACGAAGGGGGAGAGAATAAGGAGGAAGAAGTTGGCACAACACAACTAATTGAAGGTGGGGCGACGACAGCTCATGTTGCGCCAGAACACGAAGAAGAAGTAAGCAAGGAAGAAGAAATTGTAACAACTGAGGTAGTTGAAGGTGGTGCGACCACAGTACAGGCAGGAAAAGAACACGAAGGGGAAGAGACCAAGAAAGAAGAAGTTGGCACAACACAACTAGTGGAAGGTGGTGCGACGACAGCTCATGTTGCGACAGAACACGGAGAAGAAGTAAGCAAAGAGGCAGAAGCCTTCACAACTGAAGAAGTTCAGGCTGGTGCGACCACTGTACAAGTTGGAAAAGAACACGAAGGGGAAGGGACCAAACAGGAAGAAGTTGGCACAACACAATTAGGTGAAGGAGGCGCAACGACAGCTCACGCTATGACAGAACACGAAGAAGAAGTAAGCAAGGAGGAAGAAATTGTAACAACTGAAGAAGTTCAAGGTGGTGCGACCACTGTACAAGAAGGAAAAGAACACGAAGGGGGAGAGAACAAGGAGGAAGAAGTTGGCACGACACAACTAGTTGAAGGTGGTGCGACAACAGTTCATGTTGCGACAGAACATGGTGAAGAAGTAAGCAAGGAGGAAGAAATTGTAACAACTGAAGAAGTTCAAGGTGGTGCGACCACTGTACAAGAAGGAAAAGAACACGAAGGGGGAGAGAATAAGGAGGAAGAAGTTGGCACAACACAACTAATTGAAGGTGGGGCGACGACAGCTCATGTTGCGCCAGAACACGAAGAAGAAGTAAGCAAGGAAGAAGAAATTGTAACAACTGAGGTAGTTGAAGGTGATGCGACCACAGTACAGGCAGGAAAAGAACACGAAGGGGAAGAGACCAAGAAAGAAGAAGTTGGCACAACACAACTAGTGGAAGGTGGTGCGACGACAGCTCATGTTGCGACAGAACACGGAGAAGAAGTAAGCAAAGAGGCAGAAGCCTTCACAACTGAAGAAGTTCAGGCTGGTGCGACCACTGTACAAGTTGGAAAAGAACACGAAGGGGAAGGGACCAAACAGGAAGAAGTTGGCACAACACAATTAGGTGAAGGAGGCGCAACGACAGCTCACGCTATGACAGAACACGAAGAAGAAGTAAGCAAGGAGGAAGACATTGTAACAACTGAAGAAGTTCAAGGTGGTGCGACCACTGTACAAGAAGGAAAAGAACACGAAGGGGGAGAGAACAAGGAGGAAGAAGTTGGCACGACACAACTAGTTGAAGGTGGTGCGACAACAGCTCATGTTGCGACAGAACATGGTGAAGAAGTAAGCAAGGAGGAAGAAATTGTAACAACTGAAGAAGTTCAAGGTGGTGCGACCACTGTACAAGAAGGAAAAGAACACGAAGGGGGAGAGAATAAGGAGGAAGAAGTTGGCACAACACAACTAATTGAAGGTGGGGCGACGACAGCTCATGTTGCGCCAGAACACGAAGAAGAAGTAAGCATGGAAGAAGAAATTGTAACAACTGAGGTAGTTGAAGGTGGTGCGACCACAGTACAGGCAGGAAAAGAACACGAAGGGGAAGAGACCAAGAAAGAAGAAGTTGGCACAACACAACTAGTGGAAGGTGGTGCGACGACAGCTCATGTTGCGACAGAACACGGAGAAGAAGTAAGCAAAGAGGCAGAAGCCTTCACAACTGAAGAAGTTCAGGCTGGTGCGACCACTGTACAAGTTGGAAAAGAACACGAAGGGGAAAGGACCAAACAGGAAGAAGTTGGCACAACACAATTAGGTGAAGGAGGCGCAACGACAGCTCACGCTATGACAGAACACGAAGAAAAAGTAAGCAAGGAGGAAGAAATTGTAACAACTGAGGTAATTGAAGCTGGTGCGACCAGAGTACAGGTAGGAGAAGAACACAAAGGGGAAGAGACCAAGGCAGAAGAAGTTGGCACAACACAACTAATTGAAGGTGGTGCGACGACAGCTCATGTTGCGACAGAACACGGAGAAGAAGTAAGCAAGGAGGCTGAAGCTGTCACAACTGAAGAAGTTCAAGGTGGTGCCACCACTGTACAAGAAGGAAAAGAACACGAAGGGGGAGAGAACAAGGAGGAAGAAGTTGGCACAACACAATTAATTGAAGGTGGGGCGACGACAGCTCATGTTGCGCCAGAACACGAAGAAGAAGTAAGCAAGGAAGAAGAAATTGTAACAACTGAGGTAGTTGAAGGTGGTGCGACCACAGTACAGGCAGGAAAAGAACACGAAGGGGAAGAGACCAAGAAAGAAGAAGTTGGCACAACACAACTAGTGGAAGGTGGTGCGACGACAGCTCATGTTGCGACAGAACACGGAGAAGAAGTCAGCAAGGAGGCAGAAGTTGCCACAACTGAAATAGTTGAAGGTGGTGGGACCACAGTACAAGCAGGAAAAGAACACGAAGGGGAAGATATCAAAGAAGAAGCCGTTGGCACGACACAGCTAGCTGAAGGTGGTGCGACAACAGCTCATGTTGCGACAGACAATGGAGAAGAAGTAAGCAAGGAGGCAGAAGCTGTCACAACTGAAGAAGTTCAAGGTGGTGCGACCACAGTACAAACAGGAAAAGAACAAGAAGGTGAAGAGACCAAAGAGGAAGTAGTTGGCACAACACAACTAGTTGAGGGTGGTGCGACGACAGCTCATGTTGCGACAGAACATGGAGAAGAAATAAGCACGGAGGCAGAAGCTATGACAACTGAAGTAGTTGAGGGTGGTGGGACCACAGAACAAGCAGTAAAAGAACACGAAGAAGAAGAGACCAAGGAGGAAGAAGTTGGCACAACACAATCAGCGGAAGGGGGCACAATGACAACTCACGCTGTGGCAGAACACGAAGAAGAAGTGAGCATAGAGGAAGAAATTGTAACAACTGAGGTAGTTGAAGGTGGTGCAACCACAGTACAAGAAGGACAAGAACACGAAGGGGGAGGGAACAAGGAGGAAGAAGTTGGCACAACACAATTAGGAGAAGGGGGCGCAACGACAGCTCATGTTGCGACAGAACACGAAGAAGAAGTAAGCAAGGAGGAAGAATTTGTAACAACTGAGGCAGTAGAAGGTGGGGCGACCACAGGACAAGCAGGAAAAGAATACGAAGGGGAAGAGACCAAAGAGGAAGAAGTTGGCACAACACAACTAGTTGAAGGTGGTGCGACGACAGCTCATGTTGCAACAGAACATGGAGAAGAAGTAAACAAGGAGGCTGAAGCTGTCACAACTGAAGAAGTTCAAGGTGGTGCCACCACTGTACAAGAAGGAAAAGAACACGAAGGGGGAGAGAACAAGGAGGAAGAAGTTGGCACAACACAACTAGTTGAAGGTGGTGCGACGACAGCTCATGTTGCAACAGAACATGGAGAAGAAGTAAACAAGGAGGCTGAAGCTGTCACAACTGAAGAAGTTCAAGGTGGTGCGACTACCGTACAATCAGGAAAAGAACACGAAGGGGAAGAGACCAAGGAGGAAGAAGTTGGCACAACACAACCAGTTGAAGGTGGTGCGACAACAGCTCATGTTGCGACAGAACATGGAGAAGAATTAAGCACGGAGGCAGAAGCTATGACAACTGAAATAGTTGAGGGTGGTGGGACGACAGCTCATGTTGCGACAGAACACGGAGAAGAAGTAAGCAAGGAGGCAGAAGCTGTCACAACTGAAGTAGTTGAAGGTGGTGGGGCCACAGGACAAACAGGAAAGGAACACGAAGGGGAAGAGACCAAAGAGGAAGTAGTTGGCACAACACAACTAGTTGAGGGTGGTGCGACGACAGCTCATGTTGTGTCAGAACATGGAGAAGAAGTAAGCACGGAGGCAGAAGCTATGACAACTGAAGTAGTTGAGGGTGGTGGGACTACAGAACAAGCAGTAAAAGAACACGAAGGAGAAGAGACCAAGGAGGAAGAAGTTGGCACAACACAATCAGCGGAAGGGGGCACAATGACAGCTCATGTTGCGACAGAACACGAAGAAGAAGTAAGCAAAGAAGAAGAAATTGTAACAACTGAGGTAGTTGAAGGTGGTGCGACCACAGTACAGGTAGGAAAAGAACACGAAGGGGGAGAGAACAAGGAGGAAGAAGTTGGCACAACACAACTAATTGAAGGTGGGGCGACGACAGCCCATGTTGCGGCAGAACACGAAGAAGAAGTAAGCAAGGAGGAAGAATTTGTAACAACTGAAGCAGTTGAAGGTGGGGCGACCACAGGACAAGCAGGAAAAGAATACGAAGGGGAAGAGACCAAAGAGGAAGAAGTTGGCACAACACAACTAGTTGAAGGTGGTGCGACGACAGCTCATGTTGCGACAGAACATGGAGAAGAAGTAAGCATGGAGGCAGAAGCTGTCACAACTGAAGAAGTTCAAGGTGGTGCGACCACGGTACATGCCGGAAAAGAACAAGAAGGGGAAGAGACCGAGGTGAAAGAAGTTGGGACAACACAACTAGCTGTGAGTGGCGCTACGATAGTTCAGACTGCAATAGAACATGAAGAAGAATCAAGTAGGGAAGAAAAAGGTGGCACCACAACAGTATACGTTCTACGTGAGCATGAAGGAGAAGGAAACAAAGAGCAAGAAGCAGCCACCAAAGAAAAAGTGGTAGAAGTCTCTTCGAAACTATTTGAAACAACAGCACGTGAAGAACAAATGAGTAAGGAGCTAGAGGTTGCCACAATTGAAGTCATTACAGAGGAGGAAAGAATGTCACCCGTAGGAACCATTGCTGGACAGACTACTGTGAACAATTTACCTGGGGAGACTGTTCATCATACAACTCTTAATGCAAAAACTGTAATAGAATTTAATAATTTACACACAACAGGTAAATTTGCAGAAGCTACAGTTTATCTTGAAGATATTGTGAGTCAAACACCCGAAGAAGTCGTAGTTACATTTAAAACAATTTCATCTAACGATCAAAATTTAATACCTGGAACATTTAAACAAACTACAAATTTATTGTTGAAACATGAAACTGGAGTCGATAGGAAGTTAGGCAAGGGGACAGAAACAACTATGCAAGAAACTGCAGTCGGCAAGTTTAGTAAAAGGCATGAAACGACTGAATTACTAACTGAATTGCAAACTACGACAAGAAGAGGCACAGAAGTTATCCAGGAATTCGCTGAAGATGAAATGGAACACTTTTCAGAAAACCATGTGACACCATGTGAACTCTGTGAAACCGAAAGTAGGTTGAATAAAACTTCCACACCTCACAATGAAACTCAACAAACAGAATTGTCGTCAACAACAGAGGAAGTAGTTTCGAAATCAAATGAAACGAATTTTGCCAGTGATTTGAATGTGAAACATGTTACCAAGCTTGTTAATATTGAGGCTGCATCATCAACTGTAATTCCAGAATATGAAAAACAAGAAACTTCCAATGTAGAAACGCTTGAACATATTAGTCCCCATAGTTCCGTAATGCCGGAAGAATTAGAGTCAAAAATTCGTAACGAAAGTACAGAACATATGCTTGCAGAAACAGAAAAGGGAGAAAATATTAGCGACGAATATGAGGGAAACGAAGTGAGTAATATTTCTGAAATCCCTCAAACAAAAAAAGAAAAGACTACAGTTTCGGAAAGCGAGTCAACAACCGTGGTTTCGAAATCAAGTGAAGTGAATTTTGTTAGCGACTTAAATGTTTTGAAACATATTACCGAGTTTGGTAACACTGAAGTTATAACATCATCTGTAATTCTAGAAGATGAAGAATTAGAAACTTCCAACACAGAAGCGCTGGAACATGTTACTCGTCATAGTTCCATAATACCGGAAGAATTGGAGTCAAAAATCTTTAACGAAAGTACAGAACATTCACTTGCAACAGAAAGGGGAGAAAATGTTAGCAACGAATATGAGGAATACGAAGTGAGTAATCTTTCTGCAACCACTCAAACAAAAAAGGAAAGCGAGCCAGCAACTGTGGTTTCAAAATCAAGTGAAACGAATTTTGTTAGCGACCTGAATGTTTTGAAACATATTACCGAGTTTGGTAACACTGAAGTTGCAACATCATCTGTAATGCTAGAACATGAAGAGCAAGGAACTTCCAATGCAGAATTAGTGGAACATCATAGTTCCATAAAATCGGAAGAATTGGAGTTACAAATCTTTAACGAAAGTACAGAACATATGCTTGAAGAAACAGAAAAGGGAGAAAGTACTAACAGCGAATCTGAAGAATACGAAGTGAGTAATCTTTCTGAAACCACACAGAACAAAAACGAAAAGACTGGAGTTTCGGAAACCGAGTCAACAACAAATTTATTGCCGAAACAACAAACTGGAATCGGTAAAAAGTTTGACGAAGGGACAGCGACAACTTTGCAAGAAACTGCAGTCGGCAAGTTTAGTAAAGAGCAAGAAACAACCGAATTACTGACTGAATTACAGACTACGACAAGAAAAGGCACAGAAGTTATCCAGGAATTCGCTGAAGATGAAATGGAACACTTTTCAGAAAATAGTGTGACACCGTGTGAACTCTGTGAAACCGAAAGCATGTTCAATAAAACTTCTACACCTCAGACTAAAACTCAACAAACAGAGTTATCGTCAACAACAATGGAAGTAGTTTCAAAATCAAGTGAAACGAATTTTGCTATTGGTTCGAAACATTTTAACACTAAGGTTGCAACATCAAGCGTAATTCCAGAACATGAAGAACAAAAAACTTCCAACATAGAAACTCTGGAACATGTTAGTCATTATAGTTCCATAATACCGGAAGAACTGGAGTCAAAAATCCTTAACGAAAGTACAGAACATATGCTTGAAGGAACAGAAAAGGAAGAAAATACTAGTAACGAATACGACGAATACGAAGTGAGTAATATTTCTGAAATCACTCTAACAGAAAAAGAAAAAACTACAGTTTCGGAAAGCGAGTTTCATGAGTTACAACAAGTAACAGAATTCCCTAGTGTTCAAAATCAACTTACTGAAAAGTCGTCTTCGGTATCAATAGCGACTAACATAAGTGAAGAAGAATATGTTACTGAAGGTGTAACACCATTTTTTGAAACAGAGGAAGAAAACGGTTCTGAAACACTTAAAGAAACTGCTACGACGTACCCATATACAACAGTTAATGTAAGTGAAGAACAACATAAAAGTAAGGGTTCTAAGGCTTCCAACGTTTCAAATGCGCTAAAGTTCAGTACTACTGTCATGTTGCTGATTTCCTCTGTATATGGCAACCATACTGCTGGTACTGGGGGGACCACACACAAACCCACAACTCTTCCTTCTGTTTATGTTGACCTCCCTGTATTTTTACCAAATACGTCGACCTCTCACTTTCAAGAACATGCAACGGCGCATACTACTCCCTTAGAGAGTCATTTAATAAAAATCATGAGCAGTAACGTAACTGAAACATTGATACTCTTTCTAAGTGGACCAAACAATGAAGCTATGAAAAAATTAAATGGATCCAAGTGGGTAAGACGTTTGGGCCCGTCCGAAGCAAAGTATCAAGCTTACTCCGCGATTCCACCTTACGAAGCCATACCTTTAACAAAAATACCTTTTCCAAAGTATATAGGCTTGGATGAATGCACGAAAGGTGATTTTGAGAACAATAATAAGTGTTTCTGTTCGGTTGATAGTTTGTTGTCATCTCTGAAGCAAGGAGTAGTGGGGCAAAACACAACTGAACATTTGGCTTGTTTGAATTATCTTAAAGTTCACGGCGGGGTGACCATCGGGAATGAATCAGTGCCTCACATAAGAAAAAAAAGAAGTTACTGGTTTGGCAAATATGATGCCGAAATGAAAAGGGAAGCGATAGATTATACTAAGGGTTTTTTTAAGGAGGATTTCAAAATTCATAATACAGATGCTCGAATATATGCTTTGCCCGATTCAAGAGTGATATTACCATGTTTGAACAGAGACGAAGTTATTGAATATAATAGATATATGCAATATTACTGGACATTTGAAGATGAAGTCCGTATCAATGGTAATTTTTCAGCTGAAATATTTATGAAATTATATACTATTTTTACACAGATCATCAAATACAAGAAAATGAAGGTAACTTACTCATAGAAGATGTAATGCCTAAAGATAGTGGAAACTACACGTGCACAGTAAAATCGCGGCTCAATGAAAAAAGTAATATCGTACAAAAATATTACCATCAGCTGGTGATTGTGTCTACGCCCATATACAAAGTTACAACTAGTCTTATTTACGATCTAAAAGAACCGTGTGAATTAAGCGATGGTGATATTTTATCTATGTATTTGCCCAACATTCTAGATGGTCTTTTATGCGGATATCACGAAAAAATGTGCAAAATTGATGTTCGTCGACCGCTGTGCATTAACAGGGTTTGCTTTTCTAGGACTGCAAGTCTCAGTTTTGACCACCCCTTTTTTCCAGGAGGAAGAAAAACTGATAAACGTCACATTCACGGTAACAATGTTCACTTTAAAAGAAATTGTACCCATGATTGACATTAACAGTTGCAACTTAAACTGTCAAATGGAGCTATGCTCAAATCTTGCTGCAGTTTTAGTCAAAAATATTCAAACTTTTGCTAAGCTTACAGGTGGGTTTACATCCCTTAACAAATACATTAAAAACAATCTTTACAGTTTTTTCTAAACTCGCTCTTAAGGAACAAGATTTTAATCCAAAGAAAGTTGAACACTTGAAGAAGAAAGAAAAAGGACGGTGGTCAACACCACCTGTACTGATTGTCACTTGTCCCAGTGGATTTGGCGTAGAAAAAAAAGAACCTCGAATTTGTGGTAACCAAATCAAACACATTTTGCTGACGTTAAAAACGATTTCTTAGTTGTTTGTCCAAAAAATACGTACAATGTTGGCTCGGAATCTTACTGCAAAGAGTGTCCGGCTGGACAATACCAACCAATAGCTGGATCTAAGTCATGTTTGGTCTGTTCTTCCCCATTAGAAAATCGAGCATGTCTTCGGGTTCTGGTAAATTTTTCATGTGATAAGTTTTAAAGCTCTGTTGACTGTTCACTTTTAGTATGCGAACACTGAGTACTTCAAGATATATGTAGGTGTTGCTTTTGCGATAGTGTTGTTCCTTATTATCGTTATTTGCTATTGCACAAGAAATGGCACTGCGGACTCTTTAACCAACAGTAAAAGGCACGATTATGTATATACTATGTTAAGAAAGGATGCTGATGTAGAACGAGGGACGAATCAACCTTTATTAAAGAACACTAACAGAGGACACATAAGAAATACTGCTCCACCACAATTGCCACCCCGTGATTTTTAGTATACGGATATTTTAATTTTTATATTATTTATTTTTAAGAGAGTCAATACATTTTTTTTTTAATTTTGTGTTTACATGATTGCCGCAACTTCAGGGTTACCAATTTGTAACCAATCAAATTTTATTAATACTATTAGTCAAAACAAGCTGGTTGATTCAACTCATCTAGTTGTCTACTAAATCAGTTTGTTGAAGTTTTTGAATTAAATTATCATTCACTCAGATTCAAATATGTTGTTATTATCTCCACAACAGTAGTTTCTCCGGAAACGTGGCAGCGTGGCACATGTAAACTGCAGAGGAGTTAATTTGCTAACCCTCCCCAGCTCACGTTGTAAATTTTTATAAAATATAAAATGCAGCCGATAAAAAACAGGTACTTACCAGTCCCATGGGGATTACTCGAAACTCCTTTCTTCTTCGTCTTAGGAAATATAGGTCTTATGGTTCTTCTGCAAAATAGCGACATTTACCAAATCTAAAAGAATGATATTTACAATAATTTCCAATATATCTTAGTACAAAAATCCTGGAAACAGAATAACTATTACTTGGAACAACAAAGAACACTTTTAGAAAATTCTTAATAAGTGCAAATAAAATTATTCTGGATGTTGATGCCCAAACAGAAACTGTTGCATATTAGAACTAACTAAATCGTAATATTTTTAAGCGAAATGATGCATCTTTGAAAGCATCGAGTACAGCATCTGGGTGTGCCGTTACCATTATATTCTATAATGGTTAAAGCCTTATTTATGACTGTCCCATCACCGGCAGCAGTAATCTATTGTTAAGAAAATTAACTTTTAGACATCATAAAATCGAATTAGAACTGGGGAAACTGTAACGGAAAAATTTTAGTTGAATCTAATGACATGACATTATTACGCCTGAAATATTTGGAAAACATAACTACTAGTACGGCCCCTTCAGCACACAACACGTTTTTAAGGATTCTACCCTGTTTTTAAATGTATCCTTTTTTTAAAAGTCAAATTTTATGGAATCTACCCTGTTTTTCCAAAAATAGCCTTTTTGAAAAAAGTCAAAAAATTTTTAAGGAATCTATTATGGTTTTCCAAAGGTGAATTCGATTACGGTCAAACAAATTCACTTTTGAAAACGTTTAAAATTTAAGGATTTTACCCTGTTTTTAAAGGCATATTTAAAACTAACATTTTTAAAGATTGGCTCCATTTTCAAGGTAGTTTTAAAAAAGTAAAAAGAAAATATGGCTATAGACGCCTGAAAAAATAATAAGAGTATAACAGTGAAAATTTCTAAAGCTCATTATTATGCAGAAAACCACACATATCTACTAAATAAAAAAAAATGAAGCAAAAGTAAAAAAAAAGATAAAAAAAGTGTGTTAAGAAAAGTTATCTTGAAAACCTTGTTAACTCGGAATCGAAGATTCCCTCATGCGCCAAACGAATTTCTCTAATAATATTTTTTTATTTTCACGCGGTAGTTTTGACAATACAACAAAAGCAAATTTTTTTAATAGCGCAAGCTGAACTTCGAATAATCAAATTTTATCATTTTTCGAAAATCTGGATTTGTTTTATGGTATTTCAAAGGCGAGGGAAGTTCTGTCGAAATAACTTTGGGCTACTTTTTTTTCTTTTTAAAGGGTTTAAAAAATACCCCATAAATTATTCCCATTTGTGACCTTAATGGAAAAAATAACACTGACAGTTTAATTTTTTTTTATATTTTGCCTTTTTTTTCTTAATATATGTTCTTATTTCATTACAAAATACTTAAAACATGTTTAAAATGATAAATTCTTGTAGAGAAATATCGATTTTGAAATTAAGCTCCTCCCCTGACTCTGATAACGAATGAAAAATTCATCACAATTGAAATCGGGCCGCCTATAGGTGAGGCTTAATCTTTGGATTTCTTTTTTACTTAAAACATATAGTTTTCTTTAAACAACACAATTATTTAAAAACATGTTTCAGATGATAATTTTTTTAGAAAAATATGGATTTTGTAATTAAGTTGCGCCCCCCTTGGCTCACGATGAACAAAGAAAAATCGTTACAAATGAGCTAGGGTGGGTGGGTGGGGTTTTATATTTTACTTTTCTTTTTCTTAATGTACATAGTATATACCTTCACAACAAAAAACTGAAAACATGTTTAAAATGATAAATTTTATCCCCTACACTTCTCTATGAATTTACCCTTTTAAACATATTTTCAATTTATTGTTGTGATAAGAAAAGTATGTACACATACTAAAAAGAAGAAAGCATAATACAAACCCTGCCCACCCGCCCCTTTCTCAATTGTGACAACTGTTTTTATTCGTCGTGAGCCGAAAGGTGGAGCTTAATTGTAAAATCTTATTTCACTACAAGAAACTATCATGTGAAACATGTTTTTAAGTATTATTTATTATTATTATTATTTATTATTATTACAAACATAGAGCAGAGGCTGAAGCCTGTTATGCTCTCCGAACACATAATGAGTAGCTAGGCATTTACTACTTGTCCCAGAGAGGGTGTTCGATTTACAGATAGAGTTTTATTGTGTTTTAAGGAGATGGGTCGTAATCTTGTATTTGAATGTAGCGGTACTGGCGGAATCTACAGACTCAGGATCCATATTGTTCCACACACTAAATACCCTATTAGACAGAAAATGATGACGCCAACTGGTTCTGTACTTTTCGTGATATAGCTTCATAGAATGACCGCGCAGACGTGACGTATCGGATAGGATAAAGATGTTAGCAAGATCTACGCTAAACCGGTTGGTCAGTATATTGTATGTGCAAACTAGATCATTAAGGATACGACGGTTTTCTAAAGATAGGAGATTTAGTGAGGCTAGCCTATCAGAATAAGGATTCTTCCCCAAATTCTCAATGGTTTTTGTATACCGACGTTGTACTTTCTCAATTCTTGCCTTGTCTTTGATCAAGCTGGGACACCATATCACGCTGGCGTATTCAAGTATAGGTCGAACGTATGAAACAAATAGGTTTTTGAATAACTCCTTGTTATGTTGTTGAAAAAAAACTATATACGTTAAGAAAAAAGAAGCCAAAAATTAAGACCCACCCACCCACCCCAATCTCAAATGTGATGAATTTTTCATTCGTTGTCAGACCGAGGGGCGGAGCTTAATTGTAAAACAGATGTTTCCCAAAACAAAAATTTACCATTTTAAACATTTTAAATATCTTGGCGTGAAAAGTTCATTACATATTTCTAGAAAAAAGCCCGGGGGCCGAGTTTAATTGCAAAATCCTTATTTCTTTATAAGAAATTATCATCTAAAACATGCTTTTAAGTATAGTTTATTTTTCTTCTTCTTTGAAATAACTGAAAAATATTTTTATTGGAGGCCATTTTTCGAAATAATGATTTTGATGGAATTCTTGTAAAGGAAACAGTTTATTTGGATTTATGAGAGTATCATAAGTGTTTTTTTTTTTGTACGTACTACCAAATATGAAAATATCTCTACGATTTAAAATATCGTATAAAACGGTGCTACACCACGGTTTTATACTACAAAAACAAAATACAATATTTTTACATAATTACTATGATGCCCGACAAAAAATTTCAAACGACTTCAAATTATATTGCTTTGCTATCAAAATTTGGCTTTATGAATAACTAACCTTGCCTACTTCTTATTAGTGTTGTTAAATAACCGGCTGTTTTCAAAAATAGCTTTAATAGCTGTAATTTATCCGCATATTCAACCGGATATTCTTCGGCTATCCGCTGACAACATTGCTTCTTACTTATTACTGTAGATTTGTTTTAGCTAACCCAAACTACTACTGAATTCAAAGTGCTAAAATTTCAAATGTATTTTCAAAAGTCAGTCAGAATGACAATAAAGATTGATTTACAATGATAGTTTGGAAGTGTACTCCTTTGTGCAGGAAAAAAGCATACAAGATCTTAGAGTAAATTTTGCAATTTTTAATCTATGTGAAAATGGCTTTTTATTGCTACTAAATAAATATAATACCTACGTTGCCATACAGACCGTATTTTAGATGAAATATTATTAACTGAAAATGAAATTACACAACTAAAACAATCTAACTGTATGCTTTTTTTCAACACAGACGTGTATAACCTGCCTCCATTACTAATTAAGTATCCTAACAAAAAAATAAAATACACAACTTTTTAATTTTCTGAAATATAAGTATACATATAATAAATTACGGCCAGAAAATCAGCGTTAAATCGAGTTTATTTGATTTTATCATAAAATACTTTCAATATATCAAGACAATTTGTCCGCTAATTACGGAAAACCAGCTTCAATTTTTCTACTTTGGCACACCTGTAGAAAATACCCGTGTCAGTTCGACCGACAGTCTCGTAGTTACCTTGCGAAACAAGATTTCCTTCTAATTTAGCACATAACTGATGTAATTTATAAACTATTAACCGGTCACACAGCGCAATCTCCAATTTTCCAGCAATTTCCTCGCGCCACGTTCGTCCAATCCTCAGAAAATTTCCACGCGCACGCCACTGCACTTTGTTTTGATTAATCCGGTCGAACCCATCCCCGCACCGAGCTTCCGTCATCGGTGTATTTCTGTATTTCGCACCGAGTTCTGTGCCAACATTTCGTTAAAAAGTTAAATTTTCACAGTAGTGCTAAGAAGATGAACGCGCAATGACCGAACGGCTGCGAAGTGCGAGTACGGTGGGCTACCAATGCCCCAAGATGGAAAACGACTTGAGCCCCCGAAAGACAATGCTAGTTCTCGTGATCGTCGTGGGGTGTTTCGCGGTGCTGTGGCCCAAAGTGTTCTACCCCATGTTGGTGGGCTCCGCCAACCAGCACATCAAACCCAGCCCCATTGACAAGACGACAGGTGAGCTTCAGGACCTAACCTAACTGGGTCTAGGACGTTTTAGATTCGGGCTTAAAGGTCGCTTTTCGGAGATTAGGCAACGAAGACTTTCGAGGATTATAATCATTGAGAAGCCACTAGCTGACAGTCAAAGACATTGCTGAAATACATTTAAATAACAATGGGTTCAAGTATGTACATGCTTGTGAATTTTAAAATACCCAAGAGAAGTTGAAAGAGGAGATCAAAGTAACTTTAGTAGCTACTTCAAGCACTTTTTTTATTCAAGCCAAGTACAATAAATAATAGTTATTGAACAATTTTGTAAATTTTTGTAAAATTTATTAGCTAGTGTGGGTAGGTGGTAATGTAATTTAACAACATTTTTGAAATACCTCCACAGGTATGAACAACATAAATAATATCTCATAGCAGGTTTTCAGTGAAGATTTAGCTAAGACTTTTTTGAAATGACGTCATCATCCTTTTAAAGGGGATGAATACATTCTGATATGCAAAATTTAACACTAATCACACTGTTACTGTCTTCCCAGAATTTCCAGAATATTGTATAAGGCGATTTTGAAGTAATCAGTAAAATAAATTGTATCATATTTTTTTCAGATAACCGGTGTTAATAATTTCAAAAATTTAAAGCACATTTCAGCATAGTACATTAAATACCCGTTTAAGGATCTTATCGGGCTATACACATATATAGTTATAATAGCATAAAAGTCTTGGAAATTGCTGCCATATGTTATTATTCCTAAATTAATTTTGATTTGATAAAAAAAAATAATAATAAATACTTACGAGGTTGAATTTAAGTTCACACGAAAACATGGAATTTAGATTTTACAAATTTTTTAGTGCCAACTTCATTGTTGACTAGAAGTTCCGAAAAATCTCATCTGAAAAATGTTTGCTAAATTTAAAGCATCTGTGTGTATTCCTCAGGATATGTAATTTGTAGTGAGCAGATTTCTTAAAATCTAATACATTAAACCACTTTGTCATAAATTTTGTCTGCTACTTTATTTTAATAACAATGATTTCAATTGATCAATTTTTTAGATCGGACTTTTACTTGATGTTCTTATAACTCCTAACAATTTAACCAATCACATCGAAACAAAGAACAGGTTAAAATACGAAAAAAAAAACTGTTTGCTTGATCTTTGTTGTCTAGTTATTTTATTATTATACCACCACGATTGAACTGGAGTGATTCGGTTTTTAGAATTTCAGGAAATGGCATAAGGCCAGAAGCGAATATTGAGTACTGTTACTTTTGCTGAAAGATTTTTAACGTTGCGCTTTGGAAGAACAATCACCACTCTGGTCAAAGAAACTTTCACTAATAAGGCTACTTTTGTGTAGAGTTGATGAAAACATAGTCTTTTTGTTCTTTTGACGGTAAAGTTGGCAACAATACAGACTCAACAAGGGCAGCTTTTGATGATGATTGTACTTACGATTCAGTTTGCAATGAAGCATTGCAGCTGGCAGTCAACCAAGCAGAGTGAGAGAAACATTTCAAATCCATCATAATCATAACGAACGGAGAAAGAAGACAACAGAAATATTTATTGTAGTGATAAGACAGATACGTCAAATTGATCCTGTCCGCCCTGTATCCATGAGTCTTTTTTCTTGAACAGAACTAGCAGTAAACTGCTGTCAACGAAAAGGTTGTCATAAAAATAGCTCTGACAACTCCAACCTTCGCAATTATGACAACATCGTAAAATCATCTTCTGTCTTATTAGTTAGAGTGGGCGAAATTTGTGTGGGGTTGGCGTGTGTTCACAAAAACAATATTTCGAGATGACGTCATCAATTTTTTGGAGGAATGAATTGCTAAATTTTGGTCAGTGATTTACCATATTTATCATTATCTTAAAATACACCAAAAAAAGATAAAATGGCTATAGTTATTTACACTGAATTAGTAGTGGTTATAAGAGGCGAAGGCTTTCGCGCTAGGTTTTTACCACGTAATCATCTATAGTCCCGGAAATTTCATTCTACCCTATAAAATTTTATCGACAATAACGAGGAATTTGTCGGAGACCGTTTAGCAGGTAGTTGTACTCATAAAATAATGCTCATTTTCGCTCGTGAGTAACGATGGGCCCTGTCCGGACCTGGATTATTCTACTTTCTTACATCTGGGGATTACCGGCACGCGACAACTTCAAGTTGTAAATATCTCTTGCTATTGTACTACTGCCCGTTTCGTTATTGCCAATAAAATTTTATAGGGTAGAAAGAAATTTCCAAAAGTATAAATATATTTTTCAATAAATAGTTGCACCTAGTGTTTTGTTAAGAGTTCGAATAAACTTTGGCAAGATATTTCTATCTAAAATTAATAACTGTATAAATTTGGCAGCTAATAGTTTGGAAAAATTAAAGTAAAGTGGAGTATGAAGTATAACATTTGGTTAATGTTTCCTTAAATTTACAAAGTATTGTGATAAATAAAACGTACAACACTTGAAAAATACACCCTTTGTCATTTGAAATAAAAAAAAGATGTCGTGTGCTGCGAAATCAGCTAGATATAATACCAACGATGTGATCGTTTACAGATATTTTATTCAATTGTTTTAAATTTTTAACATCTTTCTAAATACAGTAGAACCTCGATAATCCGAATTAATCGGGGAAAAGGTGTGTTCGGATTAGCGATTTGTTCGGATCAGTGAATTTCCCAAAAATCTGAAGGGGAATTGAATAACAACTTCATTCACTGCTGAAAACAAACTTCAAGAAATAAACATTAATTTTTTATTCGAAAAAAATATTACTCCGTGACCATAAACATGCTATATTTTTGGAATCAACATGTCTATATCCCTGAATTTTTTCAGAATTTTTAGATGACTTTTTCAAAAATGAAATTTCCCATTATGTATCTCCCTTATGCAAATTTCAACCCATTGTCGACGATTTTCGAAATTTAACTACATTCTTCCATGTAGATTTTGGGCTGCAGAAGTCACTTCTGGCTGCACTTCTCCGATAACTTAAACCGTTTTTCCAGAATCGTCCACTGAAATATCGCAATTTTTAAAAATTTCAAAAAATTCGAATTTCACACCGAATTTTCCGAAAATATTGCCCCGTTACCATAAACATGCTATATTTTTGGAATCAGCACGTCGGGATGTAGGTATATATCTCTGAATTCTTTCAGAATTTTTAGACAACTTTTTCAGAAATGAAATTTTACACATAGCAGTACTTGCCAAATAACCTACCCTCTAAGAAAATAAAAGGCGGATTGGCCAGGCTAGTATTTGCCAAAATAAGACTAATTTTGACAAATGACTCTTCTAAGAAACGGTACTAACTCCGCCCACCCACCCTTTATTTTCTTAGAAGAGTACGTCATCTGCCATATTCACGTCCCTGAATTTTTTCGCAATTTTTAGACAACTTTTTTAAAGTGAAATTTTTTCAATGGTCCCCCCTTCTTCAAATTTCGGCCAGTTTTTGACATTTTCGAAACTTAACTAAATACATTTTCTTGTAGATTTCAAGTCCGAGAACTCACTTCGGGCCTCGTTTCTTTGAAAACTGCAATCGTTTTTCCAAAATCGACAGTTGAAATATCGAAATTTTTAGGAATTTTAAAAAATTCGCATGTCACATCGATTCTTTCGAAAATGTTGCTCCGTGACCGTCAACATACTATATTTTTGGAATTAGCATGTCGAGATCTACGTGCCTCATTTTTTTCACAATTTTTAGACAATTTTTTAAAAGTGAAATTTTTTCTTCAAATTTCGGCCAATTTTTGACATTTTCGAAACTTTACTACATACATTTTCTTGTAGATTTCGAGCTCGAGAACTCATTTCGGGCCTCGTTTCTTTGAAAACTGCAACCGTTTTTCCGGAATCGACCGTTGAAATATCGAAATTTTTAGAAATTTTCAAAAATTCTTATTTCGTACCGATCGAAAATGTTGCCCCGTGACCATAAACTCGCTATATTTCTGCAATCAGCACGTCGGGATATATATCCCAGAATTTTTTCAAAAATGAAATTTTCCACTATGTATTCCTCACACAAATTTCGACCCATTTTTGACGATTTTCGAAATTTAACTAAATACTTTTTCTTGTAGATTTCGGGCCGCAGAATTCACTTCCGGCCTTATTTCTTCGATAACTTCAACCTTTTTTCCAGAATTAGTTAATTAATTCAGCGCATTGAAATATCGCAACTTTTAAAAATTTCAAAAAATTCAACATAATACGTGCAGAAAGAAGATCTTGCGTAATTTTTGCAAGTAGGTGCATGTTTTCAAGTTCAGTTCGGATTGCAGAGTTTTTGTTCGGATTAAAGAGGCATCGACTTCAACTAGGCTCTGTTCGGATTACTGGATGTTCGGATAATCGTGGGTTCGGATTATAGAGGTTATACTGTATCTGAGACATTAGAACAGAACCGGTGAACAGGTATACTGTCATTCAAAAATTTGGTGAAACAATAAATCAAATGAATTATGTGTCAAGTATTGCATTACCGAAAAAATCAGTTTAACGCTGTTGAAAAGAAAAAAGTTGAAGTTATTGTCGAAAAAAACACAGACGTTATAATGCCGATGGTATATGTATTTTATAGATTTCTGTGTCTTAATTAACCGCTCTAAATTTCAAACTTGTCATTTCAAGTAACTAAGATGTTACAACAAAGGGATGAACTGAGACACCCGGTTAATGGAATTGGAAGCAAGTAGTTTTTCCTCGGGTTTTTCAGTGCATTTTCTATGTTTTATTACCAGAAAAACAATAAAAACACGATCAAACACAGCCATGGATTTTTTAAGATTTGTCTTTGATAGAATTTTCGTCTTGTCAGATTAGCGTCAATTTGAAAGTTTGAGTTGAAAATGCAACGATCAAAGATAAACTTTCAAAAATCCATGGCTGCTTTTGATCGCGTTTTTTGTTTCTCTTTCGGTAGAATTCATTAAGTACTGATGTTAGTTTTACCTGTTTCATCACAAATTATTTCAGCGATTGGTGATTGAATTACCAAAAATTACATAAAGTTTATCAAATTCATTCTGATCTTGAACCAAAAAAATCCCAAAAGCAATAATCTCATGCCTGGGGGACATTGTAAACGACAAAAATTATTAGTAATAATAATCGTAAATAAATTTACTATAAAAATAAAGAGAATACAAAAATGTAACAAAAGAGCTTAGTGAAAAAATAAAGCTGATATTGATTTATTTTTTGCCATAAAAGCATGCACACTTTTATTTGAAATACACAGCTCAATTTAGTATTACGGAGACTAGTTATGTTAATTATTTAATTAATTAAGTAAATTACTTCAGGAGTGGAATCTCGCAAACAATTTAATTACGTTGTTTCACTTGGAACTATCAGTGATTGGAACCATTACTTTTAAAAAGTAATGGATTATACTTTAACAACTATTACAATTTGCACCAGAAAAATGGCTAAAGTTTGTTTGACCACAAATTTTAAATATTCTGCCCCTATTTACTCAATTGTTTATTAAGATATTTTATGTCTGTAAAGCGCAATGGACTTTTTAATACAATTTCGATTAATGTACCTTTTTGAAAATTTAATTTTAATTTTAACGCGTTACAGCTTTTTTTTGACAACAAAATTTAAAAAAACAGAAATCAGTCTCAGTAGGATTTTTTACGCTCATTTCAACGGTGTGAAGTTTCTTACAGTCGGACGTATACTTTAGGCAAAAACTTGGGCAGAAGTTCATATGTATTTCCCTATGCTGGAATATGTTTTAGCTCACCCTTAAAATGATAAAGAGCTTATGTGTATTATGGTTACCTGGTTTCTTAACAAATTTTGTGCTAAACTCGTTGTAGATTTTAACTCTCTACTGGGTTAATTCTCTCTTTGTGGGGGCGAACCATGTATAATAATTCTAGCAGGTCAGGTAAACGATTCGTAGAGAAAAACAAAACAATGTTTTTGAGTATTTGCAAACAAAGCATACTTAAATACTTGCCAATACGGCAAAAATAATTCTTAAAACCTAAAATCCATACTCTAGTATCGAAGATTTCCGACTATTCCTGACTTTTCTCTTGGTAAAGATAAACGCAAAAACTTGTTTCTATAGAAATATGTGACTAGACGGTCACGATATTCTTCAAATTTAAAGTTGTCAATCTTTTATTTGTACCATAATTTGCAAAACTAACAAATATGAAGCTAATCTGGTATTTTTGTTTCAAGCGTTTGTCACGAGGCGATCTTTGATATGAAATTTTTTTACCATGATAATTTTTTCAGTTTTTCTAACCTCTTGATTTTGTCTTGTCTGTAGTAATAAATACTTTTTTTACTTTAGCATTTATTCTTTTTTCTTTACCTAAACACTATATAAGAAAAAACAAGTAAGAACACATTTAACTTGTCCGGAAGTAATTTACAAATGTGTATTTTAAGACGACTGATTATTATTTTTAGTTACTTTTATCTGTTTACCTACTTTCGTTGCCTAGTCAGACAATAACGCCCAAACAACAAATTTCTAAAATGTTCTAGATATATTTAACCCTCTTATACTTATCTTTGTAATCTGTTCTCTCTCTACACTCAGGATGCTGTGATGTAATCTCCGAAACTGACGTTAACACTATTAAAATCATGACTGAATTATGCGGAACCATTATTAATTCCACCGAAGATAAGCCCTTGTCAGGAAAGGAAATAGTGCAGAGGTGTCGTCAGGAGGTCCTCGATACTTGCGGCATCGACATTTCAGTGGTTTTGCAAGAACAAGTTAGATTAGGCCAAACTGTTAAACAGATCTTAGACGAAATTCGATCTTTGAATGGCTCTCTTTGCTTGAAATACAACTACGGACTCGCTCCTTGGAGACTTGGAGTTCCTCATAGAGTTACGGTCAAAGCAGCTTCCGGTGCTTCGAGTAAGACATGGTGTGCGCTATTGATTCAAGTTGACGCATAACAAGCTAATTTTATTTTACCATTCTTCTAATCAATAAAACACCTTAACACAATTTCGACACGTGTTGTTCCGTAGGTATTAGTTACTGCACACATTAACAAGTATTGATTAGCGAAGGTGTTTCTAGAAATAAACTTGTTGAATATTTTGTGACGGAATTTTTCGATTTTCAGACATCAGGCAGGAGAGGCCGATGCATTTAAGATCTGAATTGGTTCATCCAGCGTTCAGAGAAAGGGGTAGAGCCATACCACAGCCACAGGTAGCATCACCGGCGCGGCCGCCACCAAGGGTGGTTGAAGGAAGAGTAAGTTCATTTATTTACTTATATAAACCTTACGTGTAGTTACAGAATTCTCTATCTTCTTTCAACGAGAACATATGTTTAATAGATCCATAGATTTATTTGTATAGAAGAGCTTGGAATATTGTTGAAACTACATAATAGAGAAATCGGTCTACAATTTTTAACATTATCAACTTCCCTTTTGTGACAACCAGAGTTAATACATAGAATGTTGTGTTTTTTCAATTTAAAATCGAAGGGAAATACAATTAATTTTTATGATACGTTTTTAATGTTTCTTAAGAAAATGAATTCCTTGGTGATGTAAAAGCTAAAAGCAACTTTGTGTTTAGCGTTTATACATCTTGTGTTGCTTGTTAAGATGGATACATAAACATGTTGGAGGTTACATCATTGTGTATCTAAAAGCGTAATGAGACAGATATAGTTATGTATATTACTAAGATAAATGTTACTGATCACACATACTCGTTACAACTGTAAAATCCAAATAAAAATAAATTTTAAATAATGTCTATGTATAGGATCTTTAATGCCTGTTTAATAAATCCGGAACTTATAAATAGTATACTACTAATAAAGTTATCGTTTTAAGCTTGAAATTTAAGAACCGAGATCTGGAAACGCATTTATTATTGTTATATACCTAGTTGACAGAAATGGCATTGATAATTTCTATAGAAATGACGTCTATACAAGAGCATGAAGAACTACATCAGAACAAAACGTGAAGTGTCTACAAAAGGTTCTATAAAAGAACACTGAACAAATTTAAATGGAATGAAGAAGTACGAGAAGCGATTGAGACAGATGGTGAAAACATGCAAGGGATATTAAAACAAATTTGAAAAAGAAAGATAAAAAACGACGCAATTTCAACATTGTTACGCTCGTAACAGTAGATGGGTTTTAAGGTCAGTACGTAACGTGAAAAAACGTTGTATAAATTTGCTATATCTGTTATATTATGCAGGCGTTTATTAAACATGCGTAAAAAATTCAGGGAATTATTCCTTGGGTTATTTTAAGATTTGTTTATCGTTAGATTTTCGGAAATACGGTTTTAGAATATACAGAGCGCTACAAAAACTACTGAAAATGACTTGAATGCATTCTCGTCATTGACTGCAGAACTTTTTCAAAAATACTATGTTTCTTAGTGCATTGCATCCTTCAAATCATCAAATCTTAATTTTCCAATGGTGTTTCCAAGAAAACAACATTTTTTCGAACATTATTCAAGGACAAAAAAAATCTTACCTACATTTTTGTCGCATGTTTACTAAACTTCCTGTATATCATCAATGATTAAATAAAGTGCTGTGTCACTAACTACTTTCATATTTCCTCGACGTTTCACGAATATGACAAAATAGATCTCCCATTTCCGTCTATCTGCCTGACATCTATGATCTGTTTACGATTTTTTTTAAAGCACTGCAAATAAAATTTGAGTTGAATAAACTCAATAACATCCCACAATACATATCAAATAAAAAAATTAAATGGGATTTGTCGATACTGAATAGATTATTTTAATAAGTGACGCTTTATTTGGAAAAAGTGTTGTACCGCTTTACGCTGCTCCTCAAAAGTCGTCGTCGCCCTCTTCCCGGCATAACTTAAAGCAACAATTGGCATTAATTAAAAATGTTAAACGAGGTGTGACGTTTTAATAATAAAGTTTTTTTTTTTCATGGAAAGGTGCACGTAATTTCAAGAATTGTACCTACGTAAACTCGCATGCCTTTATAAACGGGCAAATTCAGTTCTTCGAGACAAAAAACAATGCGTAGAAAGGAATGCTCGGGAACGACGTAATTAGGGTATTATTTATTGAAGAAAATTTAACGGGTCTGCTCTGATGGAGCTTCTTCAAATTGTGATCGATCCAGTAATTACAGAGGTGTGGAAATGAATACATGAAAATGAACTTCCCTGGCTTGTATTTTTTTCATTAAGTCAGTATTCTGCTGAATTATTGTCGAGATGTAAAAGCCTTTCTAGATGATCCAAGTTGGCGTATTCAAGCACGACTACGGACCTCACCCCACTGGATTTTTTTCGTAGATGTTGTGATTCACCCTGAAATGTTACTCAATGTTAAGTAAGAGTTTGCAACATATTTAAATAAATTCATTTATAATTTTAAATTATATCTTATACAACGTCAAAATCAAGCATATTGCGTTTAGCTTGCATATACAAAATTTCATTAGATCAGAAAATAACGAGTTGATTTTGAAAAACACTATAAAGTTGCTACAAAACACGATAAACAATTCTCAACCTAAACCAAAAAATCTCATTCTCAGAAAACATGTTGTAGCCGTACATCAAAAATTATTATGACACGGTGTTTAGCTTATTTTTTAGCGCGAATCAATTCTCAAAATCCTATGCAATCTGCGAATTTATTTTCAGAGTGAGACAATTATGTTGGTTTTGAGCCAAAGAAATTATTTTCGTCGCCTTTCATTCTTTTGAAGAAATCCTTCAAAGATAGACATAACCGTTGTTCTGATGATTTTCTGGAATTGTGGAAGGAAGACTTATTTATCACCCACTCAGTAAAAGAAATCAATGAAATACTAAAAATAGTTCGAGCTACGCTTTACGTAATTAAATTAATATCTTGCCAATTTGTTTCAACTAAGTTCTATCAGACTAATATAATTCCAGACCTTCCGCACTAGCGTTTCAAATAAGAGCTACGTGACGTCTTGTGACTGGTCTATTTTGGTTCGGAAGGTACCCGTTCGAGCTCTATACTCATCACTTTATTATGGACTTTATTTCATTGGGATATTTTTAGATTTCTCACCCAGTCGGCAATAAGTCATATGTTTAACTTTATTTTAGTTTCTTGCTGCTTTTTACGATTTTAGGGTGGGATTTGGGGAACCGGGTTATGGTCAGCTTGTTTGTGGTATATTTTCACGAACACGATAAATATAGGTTTTATTGATGACTGTTTAATAAATTTATGGCTAAACTGTGTATATTTAGTAACTCTTTGTTGCAACAGTACATTAAGCGAAAATGTACGAAAATAAAATAAAAGATTGCAACAACCAGATTCAGTTTCACAAAATACGCACATGCGCACTACTCCCAAACCATAATGACGTCATATAAAAAATGGAAGACACTTATTAAGATCCGACATATTGAACAGTTAGACTATTTATTAAACAAATTGTTGAATTGTTGAACAAAATAGGTATCCTATGCCATTTGATATTTTTTAAACTAAAAAGAAGTTCATTTTCAGCTGCTACATTTTATTTAAATTTTATAAAATAACATAATCCGGTATTTGTAGTTTATTAATCTGCCTTTACTTTTTGCTTAAAGATACCGAGTTTTTCAGAAAAAAGAATATACAAGAATATTTGAAAAAATATCTTAGAAAATACAAAACCAACTACCCTGAAACATTCCAAATTTTTTTAAGTTACTAATAGTAAATCGCCAATCACAAGTTGTTTGTTTATAATAATAATAATAATTTTATAATTTGTCGTCAAAATACAGTCACTCTGATAAGATACCCACCTCCAGTGTATATTTTAATTATTTCGATATTTCATACACCTTGTGACGAAGAAAATCAGGGATGTATCGTGCTTTTGTTTAAAACATTTTTGAGACGGATTTTTCACACTAGGTTGACTGGAAAACGATCGAATAAAATGACCGATGTTTATTTGGATTATACAGCAGTAAAAATTTTGGACGACTGTACAACTCATTCTTAATTTTGTAATATTTAAATTTCAGCCCGGTCCCATACCAGGGATGAGGCCGACTATAGGTGGCGCAGGCCACGTGGTCCCTCCTTCCAAACAAGGAACTAGCAGCATGAGTGTCATAATGCCTATTTACACCATAGGAATTGTGATATTTTTCACCTACACTCTAATGAAAGTAATTTTGGATGTGTATTATGTCAACAAAAGGGGTTTCATTGCAAAAATTTCTAGATACTTTTCAAGAAGCAACCAGACAACGTCGGGGGCACGTTGTACCCTCAAGTGGATCCAGATCCTCACTTCCGAAAGGAAGTTTTTGAATCTGAATCGAGTCGATTAGGGCCGAGGCTCACTAGAGAAAATATTGCAAGTAAATTGGGTAAGTCTATTTTTAGTAGTTTAATTAATTGATAGACATATTGGAAGCGGGTAATTCGATGTAATATAAGCGTTTATATTTATTGAAAAAATTATCTTTATCGTATTATTTGTGTTTATGCTACTGACACGATAGGATGGGTAGAACGTGATGCAAGTAAGTGCTGCCTAGTTAACTCCACTAATTTTTACCACCATCCTTGCTGTAATTCACTTCTATTACCTCTTCATCTCTTTCATTTCATTTCTGATAGAGATTCGCAGCTTAAAATCAAACAAATTTGACATTTTCATTTAATTATTTTTAGACTTCTTATTAGTTGGAACTTTCCTTTTTTTAACTTTATACCCATTAGTCGTAGAAAAATGTTTCGTTAGAAGTTAAAGTGTAATTCATGTACCATTGAAATTAAATATAGGAATTTGGCGAATATATGTAAACACCTATTTTTTATTGCGTAGGTCAATATCATTTTCGAGATCATTTAATCAGAGTACATTTCCTTTCACCGATTCTGTGTACAATTACCGAATGTGAACGTCAGTACTTGAGGTATTTGTTTGTACAGTTTTGGCAAACATTGGTCGTTATTCGGGTTCGACAAGTAAAAATAGTGGATCGTTACTTTACTTTGTATTCAAATATTTTTGCAAACACGTATATATGACGTCCTTGATGTAACAAATATTTTGATTCAGATATTTTCTGCTAGACTTCTGCCCATTCGCTCTTTTTTAACTTGTGCTGTATATTAATGCTATAAATACCGTAAAATGTATTTATAACCGAGCTAACGCAAGACTTGAAATTTTTGCAGTGCATAAATAATCCGATTAGTTAAAGGCGATTACGCAGGGTGCAGTAAAGCGCATTTACCTGCATACAGACTTCGTGCGCAAATTGGTCATTTCGTTACGTAATTAACTTCAAATATTGCACAGTAGCCAACCGCAAAAATAAATTTCCATGTGTACTTGATACCATTCAAGTATGGACTCAGGGCAGACTTAAATATTCCATTGAAACTTAACAAAACTAAGAAGCTAAGTTTTATGAGTTTGTGTGTTTCGACCCTTTTGAAATTTGTTCTTAGGGCAGTTTTTGTTGCCACAAAATATCATTGAAATTAATATAAACCTAAAATTGCGGTAATATAAGTAAATAAGTATATAAATACGTATGCCATCAGTCAAATTAAACGGAAATGACGTCCTAACTTATTTATATTTAAGGCTAGTGGGGGTTTAGATCTTCAGTCTGAATAAATTTTAATGCAATTCTATGGTTTACGTTTTCTAAGTACTTACTGAGTCTTTTACGTTTTTAAAACTGGTACATAAAAAATGACTGTAGCTATAGTGACTTAACCTGACCCAACTTGAAGACGTTTTTATTGATTAGAAAATATACTGCATCGTATTTCTAATAAATAATAGAAAAAAGTCTAATGGCCTACAAAAATAACAAATAACAAAAAAAGTTAAATAACAATTTTTCTGGGGTTGTAGTTTCCCAATTTTATAATTTGTTTCTTACTCGAGTGTTGGTTTGAAATAAATAATGTATCATTGAGTCTAGACGAAACAGTTTACATACTTACACGGTTTATTAATAATAAAATTGAGAATGTTTGTAAATTACTTTTATTAAGCGTAGAAAACCAGTATATACGAAATTAGCCCAAATTCTAATAACATTTTAAACCACGTTGGGGATATAAAACTTTATTTGCGTTACACTTTAACCAGTGATTCAACAAAAACTTACCCAAAAGATTGTCTGACATTTATGGCTTACTTAGCGTTTGATGACTGATCAATTTCATGGTTTCTCAATAGCTGATAGTTCCTAGAATATAAAAAAGTACTTAGCGCTCATTTCCGTAAATCTACCGCTTGTTGTGTCTTGGTGATTTTGTTAAGCAGATATCAGATTTTATTCATTTTCATATATGGGTAAACTGTTGAAAGATAAAATGTTTTGTTTTATTTAAAAGATATAAAAATTGTTTTCCCGGAAATGACGTCGGATTTATTTTTTTATTATTATTGGGTAAGCGTTACATCACTATAAATAATAATTAACACCAGAATGATTTAAAAATATTTCAGTTGACAAAACACTGTATTATATTTTTATTTTTAATGCAGAAGAGACTTTAATACTCAACAGCACGTCAAAGGTATTGCAATATCTCAGTCTATAGAAAAGGCAAAAAAATATATATTTTTTCGTTCCTAACCGTAAGCTAGTGAAGCATTGTAATAAATTTAATGTACATTTTAGGAATATTGTATAAATGGCAAAACGCTAAGAAAATTTGTATGGCCGCTTTGGAACGTGGTAAATCGTTAATTACAATTTATCTGTTTGTGCTCTCCAAAAATTTGATGACGTCATCTAAAAATTTCGCTAAATAAATTCCACCATAAATATGATAAATATTTTATTTCTCAATCTGAATGTACAGGATGTCTAAAAAATTAATAAATGGAGCAATTTATCTAAATTAATATATATGTATTTGTATACACGAAAAAGGTGATGACGTCATTACAAAATTTTTATAAGAAAAACTCACTGAAAACAATGCATGGCATGCTTCTTTACCTGTAGTTTAATAATCCATACCAATTTTTATTTTTACTTACAGGGGTTAGAAAAATAAAATTCGTAGAATCAAATTTTATAATTCGGTGTATGTATTTCGGATCTGTCACATTTTTGCAAATTTTATTATGGCACATGTTAACATGTCAAGCATTAAAAATATTTCGTACCTCTAAAAGTCGTGTGAACATTGCAGTGAATGTTAGTAGTCATTTGGCCGCGGTTCAAACCTTCAATTGATTTTAAACATCGGGATGCAGAGACCACACAAAGCAAATCCTTGTTTTCTAAAGTTGTATTTTTCTGTAATAATAAAATCGATTTCTTTAAATAGGTGCTTTGACCTAGTTCAGTCACATTACTCTTCGTCGATTTTCGGGACATGAATTATTTTCAGAGTCAATATAGTTATAATATTGTTGACTCAATTCGCTACTGCTGTACCGACAATACCCCAGAGACGCTACTAGTGTAGTTCCAAAGTAAATTTTTCATCATTCGTTCGTAGTTTTTTTGTTGTTGTTGTTGCACCATTATCCCTTGGAGGAAATGTACTCGGCAATTAGAAGTCACTGTCTAGTGTAGTACAGGAGGGAATCTGGGGTTTTATTTAGAATGGGTTGGTTGTTGTGTCAACAGGAGACGCAGAGCTGGATCAACTCCGACATCGTCTGCGTGAAACAGAGTTGGCTATGGAACGCATCGTTGAACAAATGTCTAAAGTGCCTCTCAAAGCTCAGGTGCGACCTGTCCCTCCTGATCCGCACTAGCAGCTTGGCTTTAGCTTATGCATGACCCTTTCTGAGCACACCCTACACACACGTCTCCTCAGGACCCAGTTTTATTCGGTATACTGTCGGTTGGTTGCTTGTCTCAACAGGTTTGTTGGTGTTGTGAAGACCTGTTAAATGTCACACTGTTGATTATTTTCTTAGACAAAATTGTGCCGAAATGACAGCTCTTTCTCCGCAGTTGTTAATGCCATGTCAGCATTATTGGACGAAGTCGATCAAGAGATTGAAGCTCGCCGCAAAAGTAGCGAGGTAGCCTCTCAGGTAACAGTGTTACCAATATAGCCATGTACCCCTTAACAAGGAATGAAACGTTTGCCGACTGACCCCCCGTGCCATGCTTATGCTTAGACGCAGTTTTCATTTTTACATGGTAGTTTTTGGATTTACAGTTTTGTTTTTGCTCCTAATTACTATGGATTTTATGGTGTACGAATCTCGGAGTTTATTTTTATTCTTGGATGGAATAAGTAAGATTGTAGCTGCTTCATGTTTTATGTTGTCAAGTTTTTTAGTAGCGGTACGATTTGGCGAACAGTGTGGTCAATAAATAATGTTGTAGGATTTGGTCAATGGCACTTTATCAAATGGGGATGCGGTTAAGCCTCAAGACGAAGAACAACCGACCGTCAAAGTTTTAGGGATGGAAACGACTGCCAGCTGTGAAGGTGGCAAGAAATGGTCAAGACCTGAATCGCCCGTTTTGCCCACGTCGCCGCCGCCTCCACCCGCTGAACCTGTTCCACCACCGCAGGTAAGATGATGTTACTTAAGACCAATCGCAGATTTTTTTGAACGGTTTTCGTGCTTATAATAACTGCTACTACACATCTTCACATTAAAGATTCGTCAACATTGCAATTTACGTCGAAATTAAACATGCTGCGAAGTTTAAGTGTCCTATATCTTAATAATATAATAAAAGTGTTTGTCCTGACTGACAGCCTGACTGATTCATCAACGCAGAGCCTAAACTACTGAAGCTAGAAACATAAAATTTGGACCGTAGGCTCCTTTTGCGTTATAAGCACGTACTAAGAAAGGATTTTTGGAAATTTCGTCCCTAAGGGGGTAAAATAGGGGATGAAAATTCGTGTGGGAGTCTCGTGAGTTTTTAAGTTAGACGGGTTCACTGGGGAGAAGGGAGTGAACGAGATGAAAAGTGATGTATCCTAATTGCTAAAGCGGAGTTGTGGGCAAAAACTCTTCTAGTTTGTATATAATTACCAGACTTTGGCATCGTGGAAATGATGCTCATTGCCGTCCGATCGCCAGCGCTATTGCAGTCGTGGCCTATAACTTCGGGAATTCTTAATAACAATTACACACTACTTTTTCTCGGTTTTCCTCAGTTATACGAGTTCTCCTGGATCACTTCGACTGTGCCTAACTCTTATAATTATTAGTTCTGGTACACATAGTAGGAACAAATTTCGCTGTCAATATAAACTGCAACGTGGTATTTCTTAAAATTTGAACAGAACTTTTTATGGTTTATCCACATTTTTTTTTTTTTTTTTTTTGGGAGAACTAGATGAAAAAGTCATCAACCTGGCCTTGTTTTTTTGTAAACATTGTATATCCAGGGTGCCGCATCCAAGTCTGGATATAGGGAATTAACATGCGAATTGGTTTTTATTTTATAATATCTCCCCAAATCACTTTAAAGCTATTATTGAGTGATGGCTTTGTGGAGGTCGAAGAGGGCTATCGGCCAGTATTTTTTTCAAATCGTTTCATCGCGCTCATTCACTGTAAAAAGGTTTTAAAAATCGTATTTTGAAATTCGCGCCCGATCCGAATTGTCGCGAAGTGTTCCGTCGTACTGTCGAAGTTCGGCGATCGCGTATTTTCATTATCCATGCAAAATTCAAATGTCAAAGTGAAATTAGAAATTATTCTCATCAGAAATCAACGAACAAGTCAAACTGAATTATTTTATCCAGTGTGATGATTATTGTAGGACAAATTAAACGGAATAAATGCACAAATTGCACAAAATATTTTATTAGGTTATGCTATGTTCTACTGCGATTAGATGAAAAAGCGGGGGCCTGCATGTTCTTCAACAGTTAATTTAATTAGTAGGTAATTTGGATAAATTTCACCCTTTTTTTTTGGAATCACTAAAGATTGGAAGTCAATTGATTTTACATTCGTTAAGCAGGGACGGATTTTTTGCCTCCAGGAAGCATCTTCATTACAGGAAATTTTTGAGAGAGAAATGTAGAACATTGACTCATCAACATTTTAAAGTATTTTTCTCTATTACGAATGTGTTTTGGGATTCAGAAACTTTTGTATTACTGTTTTATTTGTTTATTGTGTTAACAACAACAAAAATAAAAATAATATTTCGCAAAATAAAGTTACATTTATTTTCAAAGGTGATAAAAATTACATAAAATCAGGTGGGCACGACGTTTTCTAGGGGTCTTAAACAGATGAGATAGAAGAACTTCAAAAAGCATCATGACAAAAAATTGAAGCCTGGGGACTACTTCTCACATATAGAGTTTTACGAAGGAACGCTTGAGAGAATCTAGGCTGATGGAGAGTTTTTGAGGAAAATTTGTTTTACTGACGTTCATTTGGTCTTAAGGGAAGTTATAATCGTCAGAACGATCAAATTTGAGCATTACACAACCCTCACGTGGTCCATGACCTTCGTTATCAATGGCGTGCAATTGTCAGTGTATGACTGGGGCTTCTAGGACATCATGTCATTGCACCTTTTTTCATCGAATCCGGATTGAATGCTCAGAAGTAGGATAATATGCTAGCTCAGCAAATACTTCCTGGGACTCGAAGGGTGCGGCATCTGCAGCAGGTCTTTTACATCCAGGACCAAATCTCCAGCCATACAGTTCGCATAAATGTTGTTTATTTGAACCAGTATTTTTCCGCAATGTTGGAATGGAAAGTTTGCACCGCCCCATTGGCCTGTGCAATCGCCGGATATAAACCCCTGAGAATTTTTTCTTTGGAGATTTCTTCACGACCATCTGCATTCAGACAAGCTATACAAACAGAGAAGCGCTGAAACAAGCAATCCAGCAATATTGTCTTCAGATTTCAACTAAAATGCTGATCAACACGCGTAGGAGTTTTGAAGATTGGCTTACTTACTGTACAGCTGCTGAGAGCAGTCTTTTTGAGCAATTCTTGAAAATAGTGCAATACTTCTCCAGATTCGTACAATATTTCGTTACTTCATTCATCAACAATTGTTAAGTTTTGTTATTTGTAGTTATCTAAATGGTTCATTAAAAGGTCCTCTTCAAAAGCGCCAGCTATTTTGATGGTAAATCTTATCATCACACAATAAGAAAAGCGGGCCCTCGCTTTTTCATCTAATCGCAGTAGAACATGGCATTTTAATGAGATTTTAGTAATAAAGACTCGATCAGCACCAGCAACATAACCTAATAAAATATTTTGTGCAGTTTGTGCATTTATTTCGTTTAAATTGACCTACAATAATCGTCATATTGGATAAAATAATTCAATTTGAGTCGTTCAGTGATTACTGAGTGAGGCAGCCCGAGTACATTCCTAGCTTGAGGGCTCCCAGAAAATGTCGCAATGCTGCCGATGGGCTTTGATGGGGTTTTGAGGAAGACCAGCTGCTCGAAGTCTTGAAGTCTTCATCTTGGGCTTTTTGGATACGGTCTGATTGTAGTTCGAGATGGCTCGTTTGACGGGGTCGCGCACTATGACGAATGAATGGATCAATTTGTGCATTTATTCCGTTTAATTTGTCCTACAATAATCATCACACTGGATAAAACAATTCAGTTTGACTTGTTCGTTTATTTCTGATGAGAATAATTTCTAATTTCACTTTGACATTTGAATTTTGCATGGATAATGAAAATACGCGATCGCCGAACTTCGACAGTACGACGGAACACTTCGCGACAATTCGGATCGGGCGCGAATTTCAAAATACGATTTTTAAAACCTTTTTACAGTGAATGAGCGCGATGCAACAATTTGAAAAAAATACTGGCCGATAGCCCTCTTCGACCTCCACAAAGCCATCACTCAATAATAGCTTTAAAGTGATCTGGGGAGATATTATAAAATAAAAACCAATTCGCATGTTAATTCCCTATATCCAGACTTGGATGCGGCACCCTGTCTACAATAACCTCATTTTTCCGAATAATAAAATGAATACTTTTCAACAACTATCAAATGTCAATTATATACAATAGTACGGATTAGTAAAAGATATGCGTTTTCACTCAGTTTTTTCCTATCAAAAAACTTGATGACTTTTCATGTGAACACCTGATAGCATGATTAAATGTGCTCTTGGTGCTTTGTGCGGAGAGAACAATAAAAAACAAGATCAAAGGCAGCTATGAATTTTTGAAGATTTGTCTTTTCTAGAATTTTCGTTTTGTCAGATTTCCGTCAATTTGAAACTTTGAATTGAAAGTGTAAGTGAGCAAACTTTCAAAAGTTCATGGCTATCTTTGACCATGTATAATGCATGTACTATCGCGTGCAAAAGTATTGTCGGTATCCAGCAGCGAGGGGTATTAAGAAATGTGTAGTATTTTTTTTTAATCAAACAAATAATCTGATAATCTGTACTAGGTAAAAGTACTGTCGGTACTCAGCAGCGAAGGGTATTAAGATCCTCTGCCTCCTCTCTGCAGGCTGCCATAATCCCCTAAACACTCAAGTAGAATAAAATGTACAAGGACTAAAGTTTTCTTGCTTTATTACAGAAATTGATTACACAGTACCTTAATTAGGTAGAAATTGTGTTGTAGTATGTTTTCAATTCAGAAAGTACCTTACTTTTCATAAGATAAAAGTAAATTAATGGAATTTGAACAAGTAATCGCCACATCCGTACAGATATTTTTACTTCCCGAGCGTATGCGAGAGAGAGCTAAAATACGAAGAAATAGGTGTCCCTTTTCCGTCTGTCTGTCTGTTTGTCTGTCTGTCCGTCTGTCTGCCTGTCTGTCCATCTGTCTGTCTGGCGTCACGGATTTTTATTAGATAGATCATCTCCGAAACTACTGGCCGATTGTTGTCAAATCTTGTATTTATATGAGGAATATCATGCAGATGGTAAAACGCTAACCAAAATTTGTTTAATCATCCCCACCAATAATGTGATGACGTCACTTCAAAATTGTACATAGTAAATGGATTTTAAATTGTATAAAATAACATAGTCCTACACAAGTAGTTTATGACTCCGTGTTGAGTTTTTACCCGAAACGTCCAGATTTTTGGAAAAAAAAAATCAAAGTTATAAAACAACATTTTGCAATTTCATTTTGAATCTGCAAAACCGAATGCTTTGAAATCTTGCAGATGTTTTAAAGTTATGAAAGGCATGATAAATTTTTAATCAAAATATATTTACTTATCCCCTGCCAAAAATTGATGACGTCCGCTCAAAATTTTGCCGAATAAATCCTATCTAAAATGTAGAAAATATGATGAGTCTGTATTTGTGATCTATCATTCCATTCGTATTTTTTGGATTTGGTTATACATGGTGACTCAAAAAAATTAATGAATGCGATTAATTTATTTTATTGATTTAATCAGGAACTGCAAAATCGAATGCTTTGAAATCTTGGAGATGTTTTAAAGTTATCATAAGTATGGTAAATTTTTGATCAAAATGTATTTGCCCATCCCCCCTAAAAAATTGATGACGTCACCTCAAAATTTTGCTGAACAAATCCCGTCTTAAATGTTCGAAGTATGATGAGTCTATACTTGTGATTTATCACTGCATTAATATTTTTTAGATTTGCTTATACAGGGTGCCTTAAAAATTAGTGAGTCAATTTATTTTATTGCTTAAAGTTTAAATCAAGGATTACGAAACTGGTTACTTTGAAATCTTGCAGACGTTTTGAAGTTATTGTAAGCATGGTAACTTTTTAATCAAAAGTATCTGTTTATCAGCCCCAAAAAATAGATTACGTCATCTCAAAATTTTGCCGAATAAATCCTATCTAAAATGTGCAAAATATGATCAGTCCTATACTTGTAATTTATCATTGCATTCATATTTTTTAGATTTGCTTATACAGAGTGACTCAAAAAATTAATAGATCAGTCAATTTATTTTATTGAATAAATCAAGAATTGCAACACTGAATGCTTTGAAATCTTGCAGACGTTTTAAAGTCATTGTAAGCATGGTAAATTGTTAATCAAAATAAATCTCTATCCCCCCCCCCCCCAAATTTTATGTGTTATCTCAGCTCAGAATTTTGCTGAATAAATTCTACCCAAAATATGTTGAGATTTTATTGTGATTCATCCTTGCATTCATATTTTTTATTGATCAAATTAAGAACGAATCACCCCGTTTTCCCGAAAATGTGAAAATACAAACGTCTTTATTTAATAAGAATTATAATAATGATATTCAGAACATTTTGTCGACCGTAGCTTACCACTTAATAGTTTTGATCCTCTGTTTTGAGGGGACGAACTCATTCAAATCAAACTAATTTCTACGTGACATTCTTCCGATGTATAAACATAAACACTTTCAAGTTGTTTTTCTTATCGAGGATAACTTAAGGAGGTATAGTAATGGAGTCCATCGGACAATTTGGTACTTTCATATTTTCTCGATATTTCATAACTCCTAGACAAGGCCGTAGCTAGGGGGAGGCTAGGGGATGCTGAGCCTCCTCTAGATCTAGACAAGTTATGATTAACCAAATGTGAATTACAACATCGAAAATGAAAATAAAATGTATTGTTTTATTCAATAAACGGAAATCAGAGCAATAAAAAAGTCTGGACCGTCGGCATTGTGATCCGGTTATTCGGCAATTCGTAGAAAACATCCTTTAGTTTAGTTTCTGTTTCACTCTCAAAATCAAATCTTTTAATTTTTTGAAAGAGCTTGATTTGACGAGCTGTATTTATGGACGAGGTAAGTTCTGTCGAGGTAATCTTCGATCAATTTTTTTTAAATAAAAATGAATATTTAAATTTATCACGGCTAGATTTTAAATGGGAAGTGGCGTTTTTTACCAACTTGATTTAGTGAGAAATCGAATAAACTGACGAATATTGACAATTCGAAAACAACACAAGACAAAACCTCGGAATGAAATATATAAAAATTATCTTGTGTCTGTTCAAATGACGAAATCTGCTTTCAGTGATTTAATTAATTTTTTGATGCTCTTTTTTAACGTTCGTTTTCTTCTTCATTGCCTTATATTAATAATTTGATTAGTTCTTTTTCATATAATTGACAATATTTCCTAGTAATTTTGGGGACAGTGTATACTATAACGTTATATCTGTTTACACCAAAAACTTGAACAGAATAATAAAAATTGGTTAAAGGTTATTTCCACAAAACTTCCCTCGTCCTTAAAGTATAGTCCAATAAATCCCGTTTCTTTAAAAAATTATAAAATTAATTATGCGGTTTTTGTTTTGTAATAACTTCTACTCCCTGCGCCGCCAATGCACAAATTCCAAGGGGGCGCGGTTCGCACAAGTGTAGACAATCTGACTTATATTTAAAGCAAATGACCAACAGGAAAAAACGAAACCCCAATTTTTCAGTGCATGCTTAAGTTCGATTGTTTGTGTTTACACTTCTAACGAGTTCAACTATTAGCAGTTTCTGATAACAAGCATCTGCTTTAAAAGAAAATGATACTTTATTGATTTTGGTTCCTCAACGCCAAGGAGAGGCTAGTTAATTAATTGAGCATACTCGTTTTTTTAAAAGAAATAACACAATTTAATGTTAAAGAATTATATGTCCTTGGCATCATAAGAACATTTTTGTAAAATTTGTTGAAAAGAAATACGAGTTTATTTAGTTTTTACATATTTAACACAATTTAAAACTAAGAAACTTCGGAAGAGAAACAATCATATTAGAAACAATCTAGTCAAATTCCAAACATGATAGAAAGTTAATATGAAGTATACCAATCATTATTTTCTATACATTGTCTTAATCTGTCAACCAACTTTATGAAATAATATTTTAAACCATGCACTGGAGTACTTTTTTTTCACTTTTATATTAAGAAAAATACTTTCCGAGTTTAAAATATTTTATTGTATGATACTATAACTCAGTTTCTACCTGAAAAATGTACTATGTAATCAATTTCTGTAATCAAGCAAGGAAACTTTAATCCTACCTGAGTGTTTAGGGGACTATGATAACCCGCAGTGAAGCGACGGAGGAGCTTAATACCCCTTGCTGCTGAGTACGGATTATTTGTTTGATTAAAAAAAATACCACACATTTCTTAGTGCTAAAGAAATGACGAAAGGGTCGGACGCTCTTCACACAACTGGCATTCGGTCCTGGTTTTAGATTATATTTTTTGTTTGTGTCTTTTATGATTTAAGGTAGACCTTATTTGTGTAGAAAATAAAGTCGTTATTTTAAAAATTAAAATTACCTATTTTAACCGTTTAAAAAACAAACGTTTATCAAATTTTCAGAACGTTTTAAATAAATGTATGATTAATTGATTATACTTGACAGGATACGGCTCTTGTTCTGACAAAAACAACAACAGTAAAACTATTGCCGTATTTTGCGTCCACATGGAGAAACTGTTTTAAATTTTCATAAGCTTCGCCAACAAGCGTTGGAACCATTGTTATAATACATTCATGTGACTAGAGAGAAGCCTTGATGCTAGGCATGAGCGGGATAAAACTTAACACTGGATCAGTCTCATAATTTATGAACAATACATTGTTCTATGTTCCTAGAAGATTTGGTTGAGTCAGAGTGACAATATTCTCGTAGACAAATTCTAATGTATATTCTAAAACGTAATTTAAAAATTAAAATGAGCATTATTTGAGGCTTTCAATTATTCCAGTAGATTTCTTGTTTGCTGACTAGCAGCTGCAATTTACTAATATAACTTAAAAGTTACGTTTTAAACGTTACAATTTAATGAAACAACTCCAAAAAAATCCTTTTCAGGAAATTTACTTGGAAGGTGCTTTACCAGCTCAGTCCCATCTTTTGGTTGCCGATTCAGCCATCGAACCGGAACCTGCCACTGGAGAAGATCCGGCCGTTGTACTTTCCGGAAAAATGACGTTGTCTGTCATAAGCCTAGATTCCGGTAAGTACCGAAATAACTAACAGGGAGTTATTCAAAAAGGTCGATTTTATTGTTAAGTTTAAACTTGAAGGCATGAGTGTACCTGTGAATGAGATAAATTTGAGTGCCTTGTAGTTTAAAACACTAGTAGATGTAGAATCGCACTGTTGTCTTCATTTTATTTCCTGTAAATTGATTTTATTTTTAAATTTCTAGAATAAATGGTGTAAATTTCAGGATAATTAAAATGACTGTATCAGTCATTTTTTGGTTTTGTTTTGTAACGAGCATGTATCTGAATTATGTTAATAAACCAAATGATATTTTGTGTTTTTGCTTATTTTTTAACATTGGACGTCGGGTAAGGAGTACCTGTTTTGTCTCATTTTTGATGACTTAATATCTACCAGACAGTGGTTATGGGTTGACTACAGCTTGCTGCCATTTGCAAACTCTTCAGTATTTCAGCAACTAGTTCGGTAGTTTTTCTAATATGTATTACCGACTAGGTAATAAGTTGATGGCTATTAATTTACATAATTTAAAGCTGATTGCAGCATCAGGTACGTTGATGTGTATGTACTGATCACAAAATTAACACTAACGGCAATGCAATTTGTTCATCTGTTCTCGATTATTCAGATTCTTTCTACACTAGTCTGAATTGTATTGCCATTTGTTATGTTTGGCCCTTTAACACTGAATGTTTTTACCTCCTTAACTAGCACATTCCAAATGTAAATTAAGTCTTAAAATATATACAAATTAATTTTTAAACTTTGTTTAAATTAAAACAGTTATAGCATTTATTCTAGAAAATATTTTGAATTCATTTTGTTTTAATTCTGTTGCTCTACAGAAAACGGAGTTGAGGAAACTATTGATGGTGCTGAGGATGTGACTGCGGAGAAGGAAACGACAAATAACCTCGAGGCACAAGTATCGACCATCCAACCCGTCAAAGAAACACCAGCCGTTGAAGAACCACAAGAACAAGAAGTGATAGAAGAAATTCCTACAGATGACGGTGATAACAAAAACTTGGTTAAATTAGAAGACACGACTGAAGAACAAACTGTTCCAACGAGTATTCAGGAATCAACGATTAAACTGGTACACGACCTCCTTACAGAAGAAGACGTATCACTTCCTCTCCAGACTGAAGAAACAAGTTTCAATATCGAAGAAGAAACTGAAAAGCTATTAGCTAATTTAGGAGATGACAGTACACAGTCGTCCATTCTAGAAAAGGATATTGAAGAATTTTTACAAAAAATTAAGGAACAAAGCGATTTTCAACCACCTACTATTACCTTAGAAAGTGAAGACGTACCTCACACCCTTGAAGTTGAATCTTTGGAAAAGGAGGTAGATGACCTAATCCAAGAGGCTCTAGAGAGTGTCCAACAAAGAGAAGTAGAAAGCGAAATATTACCAAATTTGAGTGAATCAACGAACGAAATTAATGACGATGTTAATGAAACAAAAACAGAGAATGTACCAGAAACCTCTGTAATGTTTTTACAAATCGAAAGTGACGCACTTGAAGTGGAAAAGGAGAAATCCCCAAAATTCGATTTGAAACAAGAAATCAGTAATGAAATTGAAAAGCTGATTCAAGAAGTGAAAGACTTGCCTATTATAGAACAGAAAGTCCAAGAAAAAGAAGAAACTAAAAAAACAGTTGACCAAATAGAAAAGGAACCAAATCTAGATGCAGAAAAATTGAAAGTAGCTGAAGAGACGCAAGCACTTTCAAACAAAGTGGAAGAAATTTCTCAAAGAATTGAAGAAATTACGTCAAGAATAGGGGATACCAGTAGTCAAGCAGAGTCTCAAATAATAGAAGCTGAAAAACCAGTTTTGAAAAAAGATGTAGAAGTTGTTGCAGAAGCTCCAAAGTCACCTATTCTAGATATCCCCAAACAACCTGAAATAGAAACACGACCTCTCGAGGAAAAAGTAGAACCTACCACAACTAAAGTAGAAGAAAACGTAAGTAGTACCAACGACGATGTTCAAGAAGTAGCCATAGAGACAAGTAATGAAAATACAGAAGTAGCAACACCCAAAGTAGAAGAAAATCTAAGTAGTAATAGAGAAGTCACCACGAGAGTAGATGTTGAACCAAAAGTTGAGAAAGTAGAAGTTGAAGCTGTTGCTGCTCCAAAACAGCGTAATGATGACACAGACGAATCGAAAGTTAGTAAAACTGGAGAAAACGTGTCAGTAAGCAACGAATCTGAGGATGAAGAGCTAGGTAGCGACGAAGAACTTGTGGAAGAAATAGAAGAAATAGTTTATGAAGAAGAAAGTGGTGACGAAGAGGAAGAAGAAATAGAAATAGAAGTAGAGGAAGAGGAGGAGAGTGAAGAAGAAATTCCAAATGAGAGAAATACGACTAGAACTGAATCTAGTTCTGCTCCAAGAGTTAATGGTGAAAGAAGTGAGGATCTTGTTGAAGAATCCAAGTATACTACAGTTAGTGGTGCCACTGCTGCAGAGAATGAGATTTCAGACGTAAGTTTTATGATATGTTTAATTCGTTATTCTAAGGGTTACTTTTTAGGAAGATCTTATAGACAACGAAGAAGTGGAAGAAGAAGAGGAAGAAATAATTGAAGTTGAGGAAGAAGTGGAAGAAGAAGAATATGTAAACGAAGAAGGTAATGATGTTAATCATGTTTCTGGAGAATCAGAACCTGAGCTTTAGATAGTATGTAACGTGATGAAGGTTTTGCTCATCTACAAATATCAACCAATGTGGAGAAGTTTTAACATCAATTAAAATCAAGGAAAAAATTACTTCGTGATCATGTTTGTTTTGTGTGAGTAGGTTAAGTTAAAATTTTATAGATTTATTTCATACATAAAATTATTTATATTCTAGTCTTTCTAAGTATACTTGATTACATAGATCAGTAATCGTGTGTTATAACTTATTGTCAGATTGTAATGCTTGTTACTGTTACCCCAGCATCACAAAACTTGTTTCTGTATTTATTAATAAATTAAAATTATTTAAACAAACTTTTATTTATATACAATAAACTACAGAATAATACCTATTCACTTTCCTTCTTCACCAGTGGTCCAATTCCCTGGCCTATGTTTCATCAAAGTCCAATCTTGCTGCCCAGATCGAAAGCCACCATATTGAACATTAAACTTGTCAGGATACAACAAATGAGTGCCATGTAAATTGGCATACTTTTTACCGACAGCCAACATTCCTAAAGCTACTCCGACTGCCAAACCTCCAACAGTTGTTCTTCTCCAAACTCCATATACGCTTCCTGCCATCATTCCACCAATAAACCAGTTCAGTCGATCATCTTTGGCCCGCACAGATCCCGCTATGTTACTTCCAAGCACAAAGGCTGTAGCAGCCCCAAAAATAGGCCAGCTGAAGTGTATGTATCGTCCAAGAGTCTGCATATAACCTTTTGGGTGTGAATACAACATAACGTCTAACGTAGAAACTCCAAATGCGGTGAGTGCCACAGGTTTAAAAATAGCCGCCAATTTCGGAAACACATCTTCTCCATCGGGACTTTTGGCATAATCAAAAGCTTTAGATTCTTTGGAAACACTCATACTTGATGTTGTTATGTAAATTTTGACAGATGACACTGACAGGGATTTTGAGTTCAGGACGTTGGTGTAGCTACAACACCAGTTTTTTTTTCTCAAGAAAAATAAGAAAATGTAATTTTAATTTCGTATGAAAACTTGAGAATTGGAAATAAATACAGGAAAATGCAGATACAATAATGTACTGTTTTGGGAATTTTTAAATAATTAAATAACTTTAGCGCCCTCTGACGGATGAATGTTTGCAATATTTATATTTTTATGCCATGAATCATCTGTTAAACGCCAAACAACGACAGTGAGAAGAAAATCCATTTATTCGTAATTTTGTTCGTGATAATATGTGAGTGAAAGTGCAAAAATGGCAGAGGATAAAAGCGAGAAAATGTTAATATCATTTATGTGCCAAAGGTGTTCTCAACCATTAAAATTAGATGATTCTTTAAGTTCCTTCAGTGAACATATTTCAGCAGAATTAAACTGTAACAAAGAAAGTGTTGTGACGCACTTGTGCTGATTTGTTGTATTTTTAGTACCAATACATTCCAATCCAGATGTAGATTTAGAATCTCAGGCCACTAGTTTCGATCACTATATATCTCCTTGTAGACTAGTCGATTCAGGAAATGGATTTATGCTTATATCAGATGAAAACGAATCACAGTCCTTAAGTCATACGTATAAGGTATGGAAAACAAAATGTGTACCTATGTTGTGCAACTGACTTGTGCTTTGCAGAAAAAAGCAGCTTTATACGATACTCTCTCAGGCAACTCCAACATTGATCATCCCTTATGTGATGAATGTACAGATTATTTAATAGAAATTTTACAGCAGGAGTTGGATGATACAAAAGCTGATTACGAAGATTATTTAAGATATTATAAAATGTAATTAAAGACCATTGTTTAAAGAAATATTAACCATATTGTTGTAGGCTTCAAAATGACAAAAATGAGCCTAAACTTATGGAACTGGAAAAAGAGTTGGAAGATTTGAAGGCAGAAGGGAGCAGATTTCTAGAAGAGTTAGAAGCACTCACAAAAGAAGAAATTGAACTACAAACTGCAATAGCAGAACAACAAGCTGAAGCCCGAAGGCTCGATCAGCAACGAGAAGTTTATTATAAAGAATATACAAAACATCAGAAAAACTACCTTCAAGCTTGTGAAGATGCTAAGAGGTAAAGTACAAGTGTAACACTCCACAGAAACAAATTATTTATTGTTATGTTTAGTTTAGAGTGCCAACTGAACTACACCCAGATGCAATTAGATAAATTGAAGAAAACAAATGTCTACAATGCTACATTTCATATTTGGCACAAGGGCCACTTTGGCACTATTAATAATTTTTGTTTGGGACGACTTCCATCAGCACCAGTTGACTGGTCAGAAATAAATGCTGCATGGGGTCAAACTGTTCTCCTGCTCTCTGCACTTGCACGTCAAATAAATATGACTTTTGAAAGATATAGATTAGTTCCATATGGCAATCATTCATACATCGAGGTATTTATGAATAATGTTTGATTTTCGCGAAATAACGGCTTTCCTAGGTTATTGGTGAACAAAAAGAATTTCCATTGTATGGATCAGGTGGATTCAAGTTTCTTTGGGATACAAAGTTTGACAACGGAATGGCTGCGTTTGCGGATTGTTTGCAACAATTTCAAGAGAAAGTTGAAAAAGGAGGTAAAGGCAGTAAACAATTTTGTTTTCCTTACAGGACAAATAAGGGGAAAATTGAAGATAATGAGGCCAGCTATTCCATAAAGTAATTGTCGGTTCTGCATAATATATAAGCAACCTTTACTAATGACAAGACTTTTAGAATACAGTTGAATTCAGAAGAACAATGGACCAAAGCAATGAAATTTATGTTGACCAATTTAAAGTGGGGTGTAGCCTGGGTTACTTCCCAAATACCTGTTGATGTTGAAGAAAACATGCAAACAGATAACTAGTGTCATTGGATGTTTAGTATTTTTTATATATTTAAGTAACTTAGTACCTACAAATATTTTACAAAATCATACCATATTTTTGTTATGAAAATGACTGACTTTGTTGTAGTTGTGTTTAATAAATTTGCAGTAGATATGTTACATGTTTTTTAAGCCAGAGTAAGTTACTTTTATTAGCTGGTGAAAGTAATGCACTCTGTGGAAAGTTTTTTGATTTTAAGAGGTGAATGTCCCCATTGTCCTCCCAGAATTGGTTTCAGTTAGTTCTCTTTATTATCGGTTTGTTAGGTAATCGAATTTCGTGACTACATCGAGATTTGCTTCAAACTAAAAACAAAAAATATGTTTTTTAAAAATTGCGCCACTTCTAGAATCCCACCATTTCCCATTCGTCACCCTTGACATTATTCCTCTCGAATGTTGGTGAATCTGACAAAAATCATGGTCACCAACGTGACAATATTAATATGACTTTGTCGATTACAAATAATTTAAAATTGCAACGAGTATTCTAAATTATAGCTAGCAAACTTTTAGAATTTGGAGACGGTGTTAATGCGAAGTTTACATAAAAAAAATTGCCATCAATTGCGACGATTTTTTCCAATTATGTCAAATGCAAATTATGGACAATGTGCCATATGAATAATGACGTCAATTTTGACTACCAAAAACGTTTCAAAATGGCTGATGTTTGTCGTTAAATCATTACCATCCGATTGAAACGATTGAATTAAACACAAAGAAATATACTTTAGCGTTTTCCAGTAGAATAAATGCGATGAGAATACCGTAAATTATTTACCATAGGCTTAGACATGTGTGATGCATGTTCGGATTTTATACAACTACTTGGTTCGTGTAAGTGTTGTTCCCCGAACTTAAATAAGGTCGTTCTTTTGATTGCAAAATCGAAGTTGTTGTAATCGTTGCTTTGTAACGACTTGACTCCTACGCGACGTGTCTTTGGCAAAACTTGTAATAACCTGTTTTGCAGACGAGGCGCAAGTTTGTAGGGAGAGTAACGAACAACCCACCCTGAGTAAGCCTGAAATTGATGTTATTTACGTGTATGTGCAGACATGGCCTGCCAGGTTGGTGTAAAACGGGTAATTCTCTTTGAATACTGAAAAATTACGTTCCAGACAATGTATGTGTTGTTATCGAGACCCAAAGAACTTGGAACGATTCAGTTGTATTACCCAAGGACTTATTTACATGGTGGTTTGTCAGCTGAAACAATTAGCCGAAAAAGGAACAGAATCAGACAAAAAAAAGGACAAAGAAGAAAACAAAGACCCATCAAATTCCGAAAAGGATAATGAGACATTAGAAAGGGATAAACTTTTAATTTTAGTGTCAAAAATATTTCTTTTAAACTTTCCTCTTTATGTGGCTTTTAAGCATACAATACAGGCTAAACTTGATGAGCTCACTCAACAAGAAATGCAAAATTTGAATTTATTTTGTGATTTGCATGATTCAGAGATTCCTATTTATTTATTAAAAAATGTTAGTTGGTTTTGTAAAATGGGGGGATTGTTAGCAATGACGGCTTGTTTTACACAGTTGTCGCCAGAACAGTTGCCAGTATCAACAGCACATGCGATGATATCAGTCGGTAAGTCATACGAAAAAACTGTTTATTGTCTCCTACACTAGCGTTACAGTTGGTAATTTGAAACTGTGGATGAATTACAAGAGCATGGTTTCTATGTTGGTTCCATTAAGGTCATGTGTGTTGCGTTATATGTGTAAATTATCGGATCAAGATCTTCGTGCTCCTACTATTAAGAGTATGGCAGGTCTGTTTTATGCTCTTTGTATATGCAAAAACACTTTCAACGATAGATTTCTTTTTAGATTTTATGTGGAATGCGATCAAAGACCCGCTGGATACTCCAGTCGCATTTGACATAGACGGGCTTGATCTAGCATTCAAATATTTTACATCAAGCACTTTAACAATGAGACTAGCGGGGATTACACAAATCAACAACCAGATTGGTGTTTTAGCAGAAATTTGTGTTGGCGAGTCTTTACCAGAAGCTGAAGCAGCCCCTAGACATATGGCCGATTGGCTAATTAACAACAACATAATTTCTCACATATTTGGTCCGAATTTGCACGTCGAGGTTTGTTATTTCATGGTTTTTCTTCGTTTTTATTTATTAACTCTAAATGTAGGTGATTAAACAAAGCCACATCATTTTAAATTTCTTGGCAATGGAAGGGCGCATTACTTGTGAACACATGGATATAATATGGGCAGCTGCTCAATTAAAACATTGCTCAAAACCTGTCCATGATCTTCTCCCGGGTTTAGTGAAACATTTAGCGGCATCTCCTACTCTGCATTTATATAGTTTGCTCACAAAACTGGAACCAAAAGATCACACGGAACAAGTATTGGTTGACATTTTAGTGAAATGCAATGTTGGGATTAATTATTCTTTTAATAGACTTTGTATCTTGCGTCAGCGCTAATCAAAGCTGTGTGGTCCAGAGGCGGAGGTGTCCCAGAAGTAGGTTTAATCAATGTAGCAGCTTCAAATGCAGGTATAACGTTACATAAATGTGCCACTTCATCAGAAAACAGTGTTAGTATAGACCCTAGTAATTCAGAAGAGGAACATGTGAGTATACCTATATGACGTTCTTATCTGATTTTATAATAATATAATTGGTTTTTAGGGTGAAAGTACTGGGCAATCAGAAAGTCATAAATCTGATAGTGAAGATATCGATGGTGTGGAAATAGATGAAGAGGATGGTCCAATTGATGCCGGAAATGCAGGGCCACCACCATGTAAATTGGCTAGGAAGCAAGCTATTGGACGGGTTCCCTGTGATGGAAGTAGCACAGATCCAGATATTGACGGTAAATTTGATTTACAATTGTTTATTAGACCCCTAAAGTTTAACCAAACTATAATTACGAGGAGTAATTAGCAAAAAGAAGATTGTAAAATTTTATAAACCAATATCTGTTTTATAAAGCAACCCATTTCCTTAAATATGTAGTAAAAAAAAGTAAACTTTTGTAAAAGCCAAATTCTACGTGATGCGTACTTTCAGTTTACTCGTTGTTCAAAATAACGACGGTAGCAAATTTGTGTGTACCGATTACAACAATGTAAATTTTTTAAATTCTACTAATCTTGTAAAGATAAATGTCTTAAATTTACAATGAATCTATAACCTGCATCTACGTGTTTGTATGTTTCTATTTTGATCAAAATATTAGATAAACTTGTACATATAATTGCCAATGTTTTTGTGAATTTTAAGTGAAGCATAAAACATGTAAATTGAGATCAACGTAATAATTTTGTATTTAATATGTACACTTGGAAGTGTAACAGTTTGTATCACCGCTCTCATGTCAATTTTCATTTTGTTCAGTTTTTCGTCATTTATTTTAAGTTAATTTGCTGTGGAAACCAGTCCTAATACTTTTTTTTTTATTTCAAAATCGTGTAGTCAACAAGGAATAGAGATTTATTGGACATTAAAAAAAATGTAAATCATTAATATATATGATAAAAAGCATTTGTCCAAGAACGCTACCTTGTTAAACATTCGACTCGTTTTTTCCATATTAGAATGTCCAAATTTAATCTGTATAGTTTGTTGACCATTTTCCAGACATGACTTTGAAAGTGAGAGAGATTTGCCGCGTAACCCGGAGTATTCTAGCTTCCTTAAGAATAAATCGCGGTCAACACAGTCTACCGATTCTCTTATTTCCTATAGAATAGTAAAAAAATTCCTTGTCACATTTTGGTAGAGTTATGATTTTAAAATTGGTTCTTTTGCTACATTTAACAACAACTAAACAACAAATTCATTGTCACTGTAACTAGTCGGGTGGCGCAAAAAAACCTATTATTTTTTCTTTTGAGTCTCGTGTGAAAATATGTTAGTTTATCGTGTTTTAAGACCCTCCTCCAAAGGACAGCTCAAAAAAAATATTTAAGAGGTCGCTCCTAATTTTTAAAAAGTTCCCAAATCGTCAAAAATTGATTTTCTCTTTGTTTAATTTTGTTTTTCTCGTTACGGTAATATTTTATAGACGAAAAAAAATAAGTTTCCCAAATTTTTAGCCCAAAATATTAATTTTTAAAAGTCGCTCGTAATTTGTTTTATTTTACAAGACTATTGCCTTAGATGTTTTCGAGCGACTTTAAGCTTTAAAATTTCATAAATTTACAATTTGTTTTCAGAATTCATAACAAAGTTTGTTTCAATGTTGTTAAAATGTTGTAAAGGTACGTGTCCACTGGAGAGTAACTTGGCGAGAATTCGCGAGAGTTACTTTCAAGGGCTTTTATTATTATTATTATTATTATTATTATTATTATTCTTATATATTCGACAGGGCGAACCCCATTTATGGAATATATTTCTGTTTAATTCAAACCGATTCAAACTTTAATTTCTTTTCGATTTGAGAGGATATTTTAGCAAATTTTGCTTGCCGATAGATGTTAAATGTCTGTCGATCAGATAAAGCTCTCAAAACCCTGTCCACTAAACAGTTGCACTCGCCTTTTGTTAATCTTCTTTCAAAAAATTCAACTGAAATGTGAATGCTGGGAAAACAGGCAGCAAACAGGAGATAAATTATTTTATTGCAAATTTAGATTTTTTGTTCAAGTAAATTTTTTAGAAAATTTGTCAAGATTTGCAAAAAGGGTATAGGTAAATTGTTTCCCGGATTAGGTTGGCAATAGCGCTTAATACGACCGGCACCTGAAGATTATCATCCCGGCAGGTTATGATTCATCAAAGAACAATTACATGCAATGTTGTAGTGTGTAAAAACATCTATAAAATTATTGTCCCTAATAATTATACTTTCAGTTGAGACAGGTATCAATTTATAAAAGCACTTGTGGATAAACACTGAAAATAAATATAAATATTAATTTTTGAATACGCATGATAATAATAAGTACATTTGTAGTACCTAATATGTAATTTATTATTAAAAATTCAGTAGAAACGTTATTAAAATAATAAAAAATGAATTTACTTCGTTGTGCATAGTTTAATCTCGTACTAAAACAAAAAATTAATAATAATGAAGTATAATCAGAATCACTTCAGATTTAGGATAAGAGAACATAATTTAGTCATTTATTTTCGTTTTACATTTTTTTTTTTTAGTATTTAACAAATTCATAAAAATGTGTTACCTATCTCAAAACGTTGTATAAATGTTGAAGTTCTATTTGCATAAAATCATAGAATCATAAACGTGTAAAATAAGTCGGCTTTACTCGAGAAATAATTTATGATGAACTGCTTACTCTCGGAAAATACTTCCCCAATTCGAAACTTCTTAGCATTGAGAGTATCTTTCGCAAGTAAACGCCGTTTGGCTTGTCCACTCGAGAGTATGTCGCTCGCGGCGAGATCCGCCGATTAGTGTTTCGTCTTTACTCGATTCGACTCGGCGCTCTCCAGGGCTGATTTTGAGGTGATTTCTCGCAAATGGACACGTACCTTAATTGTTTACTTAAAAATATCGAGTTATTAAAAAATTATATTTCCAGCGTTGTTTGATTTTTTTTTCCATCTCGCGGTGTATTTTCGTCGATTATCTCACTAATTAAAAGGTAAAACATTCATTAAAACTTGGTATAAATATTAAAAAGTCGCTCGAAAACATCTAAGGGTGCGTGTCCACTGGAGAGCAACTCTCACGAGAGTTCTGATTTTGATTTTATACCATCTTTAATCTTAAGTTGTCATTTCAAATTTCAAAGGTCTATTATTGCAATGAATTCAGTTATTACGAAAAAAATGCACGTAAAAAAGACTTATCGGAGATCACTGTCGCACTTCGAAATGCGTTCGTATTGTGAGAGTCGCTAACAAACTCGGAGAAACCAGGTAAAAACGATACGCTTACCAAGTTGAGGGCAGGCCCGACCATGGATGGCTTTCCGGGCTGATTTTGGAATTATTTCTCGCAAGCGCCCACGTACCTTAAGGCAATGCTCTTGTAAATTAAAAAAAATATATGAGCGACCTTTAAAAGTTAATATGTTGAGCTAAAAATTTGGCAAACTTATTTGTTTTTCGTCTATAAAATATTACCGTAACGAGAAAAACAAAATTAAACAAAAAGAAAATAAATTTTTGACGATTCGGGAAGTTTTTAAAAATTTGGAGTGACCTCAAAAAAAATTTTTTTTGAGCTGTCCTTTGAAGGAGGGTCTTAAAACACGATAAACTAACATATTTTCACACGAGACTCAAAAAGAAACAATAGTCGTTTTTTTGCGCCACCCTATTACCTAGTAATAAAACTTTTAGTTAATATTTCTCTCGCCCATGACCATTTTAATTTGCAAAGATATGGTTGTGTTGTTTTTGTAACATGTAATTTGATAAAATTCCAATTGGCAACAATGTTTGCCTGATAAAAAGTGTAAGTACAAATCAACAAAAATAAGCAGTTAAAAATGTTTGACGTATTAAAAATTCAAAGTTTTCAAAACCTTACGGTTAATATCTTCGTAGTTAATTTTAGGTCCCCTGGTGTTTTTATTGCTGGATGAACTTGAAAACATCTTTTGAGTTTTTAGTGTTTTTCTTTTTAATTCGGGAGACCCTTGGGTACCCATAGTGTAGAGCCCACAGAGAGTTTTTTTTGTAAATTATTTAAAACAATTTTGGGGGAATTTAGTGTTCAATTTTTGGAAAAGAATTTTCTATTTTTTCATAGAGGGTATCTCAGTTGCCAAAATCAGTTTTATCGTAGCAGCTACTAGCCTCACCCACCCACCCTCTCTTTTCTTAGAAGGTATGTCATTTGTCAAAATTGGCCTTATTTTAGCAGGTACTAGCCCCACCCACCTGCCCTCTATTTTCTTAGAGGGTATGCCATTTGCCAAAGTCAATCTTTTCTGAGCAGGTACTGGCTCCGCCCACCCACCCTCTTTCTTAGAGGGTATGTCATTTTCCAAAATCAGTTTTATCCCCCACCCACCGTCCCTCTCTTTTCTTAAAGGGTATATAATTGCCACAAACAGTTTTATCTTAGCAAGTACTGATGACTGACTTTTACAAAAAATAGTATGTACATATATGTACACTCACCGGCACGAAAAATGGGCCACCCTTATTTTTTTTTTTTTTAAGATCCGAAAATGTGCAGAATAAAGTACGATTTCGGTTGCAATACTTGAATATTGTTATGCAACGCTTATTGTAATATTTTTATCCAAAAAGAACTAAAAAACATATTATTTTAATAGAAAATGATAAAAAATCAATAATCAAACAAAAGTTGAAAAAAATTAAAGTTTCCAAAAAAGCAAAATCAATGATCATTGATACAATGTTTGAGGACGTCAATAATTGGTATTTCCCTCACGAACCTGTAAGACTGCTGCCATTCTCTAGTGCATCCTATGAAATAAATTGTTTATTTCTTCTTGTTGGATATTATCTCATTCCTTTAAAATTATATATATTCTGAAGCTCATCTAAAGTGTGGGGTGCAGGTACACTCAGTTAATATGCTGGTCAAGAAAGAACATGAAAAATAAGCGTAGTAAAAACGTCGAAGCACTGTATTCAGAAAAACATTAGCTGGCCCATTTTTCATGCCAGTGAGTGTATATACCGGGTGTTTGGGAAAAGGCGGATTAACTCTTCAGTACGTTATGTACGGGGGTTTCGGGCATCCCCAAAAAAAATAATAAAAAAATCTTTATAATGTATGTATAGTCTTTGTCATTTCTATTGAAACACCACTTGTTAATCGTAAATTTGGCAAGGTTTATATTCAGACAATTTTCTAACTAAAAGTCGTTGTCAATCAACCAAAAGCTGTTACCAATTGCTAAATTTTAAGCAAAATCAACAGGTAGTGTTTCAATAGAAATGGTAAAGACAATAGATTACGTAAAAAAAACGTAATTTGATTAGCTCCAGCTTACTTTCTGACTTCTTAGTAACGATGCTGACTGAAATCCACCTTTCATTTTTTTTATGACGATAACCATAAGAACCAGTAGGCATTAATCGTCGTGCATTATTATTAATAAAACAAGCTGTTATTTTTCATTAATAAATAAACCAACAAAAGAAAAATCCATTAAAGCATAACCAACTAAACACTTGAGATGTTCAAAATTCCTGCCTTGTCCATATAAGTAAGCTCGTAATGTTTTCAAATTTTGATCATTTTTTGTAAAAGTTACTCATCAGTATTTGCTAAGATAAAACTGATTTTGGCAATGACATACCTCCTAAGAAAAGAAAGGGTGGGTGAACGGAACTAGTAGCTACCAAGATAGGACTGATTTTGGCAAATGAGATACTTTCTAAGAAAAGTGAGGGCGGGTGGGCGGGGCTAGTACTTTCTAAGATAAAACTGATTGTGGCAAATGACATACTCTAAGAAAAGAGAGGGCGGGTGGGGGAGGGGGGTTAGTACCTACTAAGATAAGACTAATTTTAGCAAATGACGTATCCTCTAAGAAATTTAATTAAACTATTATAAGAAAAGACACTAGAGGCTCCAAAGCACTTTCAAATTCTTTCCAAACAGAAATACCTAGAACTCCAAGATTATTTTAAATTAAAAAAAAACGAGGTCCCAAAATTAACTCAGAAACAGGTAAAGTGAGAACTTTCCAAAAATAGAACACCAAAGTTCCCCAAAATTGTTTTAAATAATTTACAAAAAAATCGCCATGGGTTCCCAAAATAATACACCATACGTTCCCAAGAGTCTCCCAAATTAAAAAAGAAACAGTGCGGCACTCAAGACTTCTTCACATTCATAAAAAATAAAACACTAAAAGCTCAAAAGTTTTTTTCAGTTTCATCCAGCAACAAAACCAGATTTGTGTTTTGAAAACTTTGACAATTTTTGATACGTCAAACATTGTTAACTGCTCGATTTTTGCTGATTTGTACTATCACCTAAATTGCTCATGTCATCGATTTTTATTTAATTATCTATTGTAAGTGCAATTTCTCTCACGTTGACGTTAAAAGACGGCAGAAAATCAGAGGCGTTCATTCTAAAACAGGCACAAAATAAATTCAACAAGTTAAATTCTATTTACTTTTACAGAAACTATAAATACTGGAAAATATCGAGTGGAACAATGAACGAAATAACGAATGTAACAGCATTAATAAATTTAATATTTTGTTGCTGCTCCCTTTTCCTTATTACAGCATGTAATCTTCTATTCATAGACAAGACCGTGGTCCTTACATAGTTGTCATCAACATCGTGCCAAGCTTGTATTATTAATTCCCATAATTAATTTTTTGTCGTAGGTCTGATACGTCGGGCATTAATTTTTTTCATAAGAAAAGACCAAAAGTTTTCGACAGGATTTAAGTCGGGGCTTCTTGCAGGCCAGTCTAAGACATCTAAAAATTTCGTTGTTTTCAATCTATTCTCTAACAATTCTGGCTCTATGAATAGGACAATTGTCTTGTGGAAAAACGAAGTTATGAACGAGTCGAATGTGTAACAAGGAAGCGTTCTTGGACAAATGCTTTTTATCATATATATTAATGATTTATACTTTTTTTACTGTCAAATAAATCTCTACTTCTTGTGGACCACACAACTTTGAAATAAAAAAAAAAGTATTAGACCTGGTTTTTACAGCAAATTAACTTAAAATAAACGGACGAAAAAATTAGAAACCTATACAAACACCTAGATGCAAATTTATTGTAAATTTAAGAAAGAAAAAATATTTACCTTGAGATATATTTGGGTATAATTTCAAAGATATTTGTTAAAAATGAAGCTGAGAAGAAATAACTTGTTCACTGCCGGTCCGAACACTGCTGAAAAATTAAAAATAGCAAGTAAGAAGTTTGTACCGTCTCAGATAATGTGAATAGTTTTAAAACCAGTGCTAAAAATGGGTACACAATCCTTCAGACATTTGGGTAACAGGAGGAGGCATATTATGAAAAGAAAAAAATATATATTTATTTTTCACTATTTTGGCCCCGTACTTTCAGTTTCGTCCCTTTGTGCGTTGTCTGAAAATTTTTGCATAGTAAATTTTATTTATGGTTTATGAATCTGCCTTTATCTTTAACCTTAAACACCCAATTTTTTAGGGGGAAAAAATCAAAATTGTACAAACATGTTTTACGATTTAACTTAGAAAATACATATAAAACCTTTGAAATCTTGCAAATGGTTTAAGGTTATGGTGAAAATTGCTAATAAACAACTGAAAAACAAAGTGCAAGCACGGTTTAAACAATCCATAACAAATCTATTTGCCGATTCTAATTCAAAAACCAATTTTCACAGGTATCCCAATTAAAACCACGACTTCTGAAAAAACTAAGCGATGTTCCGCCGTATCTAAATCCAAAATCGACAAGCGACAAATGTATGTAATTCCCCAACCTCACGTGAACCCCACTCATCGATTTCGCTTTTTTAAGTAGGTCGTCGGTGAGAAAAAAAATACTATCAACATTAAACGTCTTACCTGAAGGAATCGAAACGATCGGTTCCAGCAGTTCCCAGGACGAAGCCGACGTCGAAGAAGTCCCTGCGAAATTCAGGAAGCGTCGAAAAATGCTGCGCAAAACCAGAGTGAAAAGACAGAAAGGTATAACCACCGTCGTCCACCGTTTAAAATTCTCTCTGTAAAATGACCTAGGTGTTCATAAACGTGTAGTGGCAATCAGCAGCATCGAGGCGTTGAGCGAAGTCGAGGTGGACAGCGACTCGGAAATGAAGGCGGCTCTGAAGGGGGTGGCGGCCGCCGCTCTGGTCCTGCCGGCGCAAATGAGCGGCCTAGTCGAAACGTATGTTGATTTTTGCGACTTGGTTTGTCCTTTGATTCGTAGCGTAATGGTTGTTCATCGCTTACAGAAATTTAAAACCTGCCGATTATTTAGACGAGAGTTCGTCTTGTAGCGAGTTAGGCAAGGATTCGGTCACTTTGGAGAGTCACGAAGCGGCGTGTACAAATTTTCTTACATTACATTCGCGAGGCGGGTATGTCACCGGTTTAGGTTTATTGGGTTGTACTCTAATGAGTTTATTACAGTTTGAATGTTTTCAGTCATATTTTGGAAATGCTGAGCGGAGAGGAGGCTGAGGTGGAGGGCGATGCGGACGGGAGCTATTCGTCGAGGATGAGCAACAAGTCGGAAAAGAATATGGCGGACTTCGATGGCGAGGATTCGGTATGTGAAGAGGAGTTGGCACAGCTTAATGAACATGTAAGTCTTTATTTGTAACTAAATTTAGATGACGCTCTCTTTAACTAACTTTTCGTTTTTTAAGTAATATGACTTACGGTTCGATGTTAGTAAGCTTTATATTTGCATCTAAGTGAACAATATTTTTTTTATTGACTTCTGCTTAGTGCTCTACAGATGACCTCTTTTTTTTTTCTAAAGTAATCTTTATTAGGTACCGACCAAATATGTTTGGAACAATTCTGTCTAAATGACTCTAGGCCCATTTTTACTTCCCGAGCGTAAGCAAAGGAAGTATTGTAATCGAGTCCGTCGGCCGACTCTCTACTTTTACGTTTTCTCGATCTTTCATGACCCCTAGAAGACGAAGAAATAGGTCTCCCATTTCCGTCTGTCTGTCCGTCTGTCCGTCTGTCCGTCTGTCCGTCCGTCTGTCCGTCTGTCCGTCTGTCCGTCCGTCTGTCCGTCTGTCCGTCTGTCCGTCCGTCTGTCCGTCCGTCTGTCCGTCTGTTGTCCCGGATTTTTATTAGACAGATAATCTCCGAAAGTACTCGACCGATTGTTGTGAAATTTTGTACTTATATTAAGAATATCATGTAGATGGTAAAACGCTAACCAAAATTTGTCTAATCATCCCCACCACTAATGCGATGACGTCACTTCAAAATTGTACATAGTAAATGGGTTTTCAATTGTATAAAATAACATAGTCCTACACATGTAGTTTACAACTCCGAATCGACTTTTCACCCGAAACGTCCAGATTTTTGGAAAAAAAATCAAAATTATAAAACAACATTTTGAAATTTAATTTTTAATCTGCTAACCAGAATGCTTTGAAATGTTGCAGATGTTTTAAGGCTATAAAGAGCATCATAAATCTTTAGTCAAAAAATATTTGCTTACCCCCTCCAAAAACTTGATGACGTCAGCTCAAAAGTTTGTGGAATAAATCATATCTAAAATGTACAAAATATGATGAGTCTGTACTTGTGATCTATCACTCCATTCATATTTTTTGGATTTGCATATACAGGGTGACTCAAAAAAATTAATGAATGCGTAAATATATTTTATTGATTTAATCAGGAACTACAAAACCGAATGCTCTGAAATCTTGCAGATGTTTTAAGGTCATAAAGAGCATAATAAATGTTTAGTCAAAATATATTTGCTTATCCCCTCCAAAAACTTGATGACGTCAGCTCGAAAGTTTGCCGAATAAATCTTATCTAAACTGTACAAAATATGATGAGTCTGTACTTGTAATTTATCACTCCATTCATATTTTTTGGATTTGCATATACAGGGTGACTCAAAAAAATTAATGAATGCGTAAATTTATTTTTTCGATTTAATCATGAACTGCAAAACCGAATGCTTTGAAATCTTGCAGATGTTTTAAGGTTATAAAGAGCATAATAAATGTTTAGTCAAAATACATTTGCTTATCCCCTCCAAAAAATTGATGACGTCAGCTCGAAAGTTTGCCGAATAAATCATATCTAAAATGTACAAAATATGATGAGTCTGTACTTGTGATCTATCACTCCATTCATATTTTTTGGATTTGCATATACAGGGTGACTCAAAAAAATTAATGAATGCGTAAATTTATTTTACTGATTTACTCAGAAACAACAAAACCGAATTCTTTGAAATCCACTGCGAAAAAAAAAACATAATAGGCATGCAGTCGTCACGTTTCCGACAGCGAGGGAAGTACTGTCGAAACTCTTTAGACCAATTTTTTAGTTGTTATATTTTTTGGGGTATTTATTAAGGGTGCCCAGTAGCAGACCTAAAAATGAGCTAAATAGATTTTTATTTTACGGGCGTAATTTCAATTTTGAAAAAAAGATCGACATTTCAATGGATAGATTACGTCTAAATCTCTGGGGAAGACACAATATTTTTTAAAATAAGTGATTGTTTAGTGTTTAATTAATCGTTCATTCTTCGAAGGACTTTGCGTTTTTAGACGAGGAGAGAGCATTTTTCGCTTCAACTTTTATATCAGTGCAAAGACAACATTGAGCTCTATGGGGAAGACCCGGTCATTTTTGTTTAAAATTTATATTTATCAAAATATTTGCTTTTTAAAAAAATACTGACTAATGAAAATAAAGTGAAACTAGGCAACCCTATTTACAAAGTTTTCCGTTTCAATAAACGGCTGAGTTTTACACAGCAGGGAGCCTTGCCGACCGACCCTTTCAGGTAATCAGTCCAGGTACTTTTTAGGTCATAAAACTCGTAAATACTCTTAGCTGACTGACCAACATTGTTGGAACTCGTTTACAAGTCGACTTCTCTCATTGCTGACATAATTTGATTTAAAAGTATGCAAATTTTTATAATTTTATATATTCTACTAAAATATTTTCCTTGAAAAAATTATTCAAATATTTTTTATTAATCTGTCATTTTATATATTAATCAAGACACAAAACTGACAAGATTTAGATTCTTATTACTTCACTAAGCACTTATTTACCTGAATAATCATATTTATTTACATTTAATTTTTGGATACTCTTTTCCCCACCACCTATGAGGTAGAGTATTATAGGCACTTTTTTTACGTGATATCTCCAGTAAACCTATTCCAATATTACTATTTAGTCCTGTGTGTGTTTATGCTAGAAGGGCAAAAGATTTATATGAACTACACATGACGCGAATGCAAATAAAAAAATTTAATTGTACAATTTTTTCTTTACAATTTGTCTAATGGGTTGACTTGTTTAAGAACGTGAATCTACTCTCTCCGGAAGTAAGGCATATAAATATGACATCAACGTTTGAAAGTTTTTTGAGAAATACTTTTTGCGCTATGACATATCGGGTATTTCAACTGCCTCGTTAGATACATCGTCGCCCAAGAACTTGTATGGTCCACAGACCGGAGCGCGCTCAGGCCAATGTCGACTCTATAAGCCTCCAGAAATTCTGCGGGAAATAGTTATTATTTAGATGCTTTTGTTTACACACGTCTCACATGTTTCACTCGATTTTGACATGCAACTATTTTTTTGTTTAACTAAGAATTAATTCATTCATTGCGTTTGATACTAACGTCCTAAATTAGCAATACTAGTGGAACAGTAATTATGCAGTAGATTTTTTTGGGAAAGTACAGTTATTTTTATGTTTTAGCAGCATTGTGTTCTATTTTCTATTAATTTTTACATATGCTTTGCATACGCTACCTGCTGTGGATCGGTACTTTGGGTTGCATAGTTACAAAAAATAATTCTTCCTACTGAAACCGATTTTGTGGGCGACGACTGGGGACCCTTAAATACGCAAATTTACTCGCTTGTGGGATGTTTGAAAATTAAAAATTCACCCAGTCTTCTCAATCCGGTACTTATTAAAGCTGATTTAGTTGAAATGGTTTGCAAAATTTAAAAAAAAAAACCTATTTTAATATTGCACTGTGCTTCAGTATTTTTATTCGTCACTTTTTTTGCTTCCTAGAAATATTTAACCTTTCATAACAAGTTCATTTATCGTGAATTTTGGAAACAAATTAAAATAGTACTTAATATTTGAAAAAAGGTGACGTAGACAGCTTTCCTTGGGGTCAAATCCTCTGACAGTCTTCTTCGGATTTGTATTTACTTCGTCTAATTTCGGGCTACCTTTTACATAACCATGAATTCAGTTTGAATGACAGTTTTGATACTTCATGGAACGACAAATTTTTGTTAAAAATGTTCAACTTGATATTCGATCTTTTGTAGTCACCTTGTATTATTAACACTAACTTATTTTTAATATTGTAGCAAATGTTAAAATGTATACGTCAATTTACTTTAAGAATGGGGACCGTACGTACTAATCCAATACCTGATTTCGTTTATTTTTAATTTCAGATTTTAGTACACAAATTGATTGTTCTTATGTTTTAAGGCTCAAATGAATCTTCACGCCCTAGCAAATCAGTCGCCGGAAAAATCTCCCGTTAGGGTGGACCCTAGATTGTCTGCTTGTTTCAAAGCAGACAATGTTTGTCAACCAGGAAACACACTTCTGTGGGATTTACTACAAGACGAGAAAATCGTACGAAACCATCGTTTCAACTTAACATACACTTCTAAACATAAAATTTTTAGTGCCACTTGGGAGAAGGTCTGGCACTCGAAGCAGAAAAAACTTTATGCAACCTTATTTGCTACACCCCAGACAAAGAAATCCGAATGAAATTTATCGAAGGGTGCTTACACAATTTGGCCAATAATGTGTACGTTCAATAACGCCTAAACTCCCATAAATTTCATGTCATAAATTTCAGTTCTGTTGTTGTCTCTCTAAGAATGTTGCCCAAATTGCTCACATCCTTTAGAGGTATCGATATGCACCACGTGACGCATTGGGCAGAACGTCAGCACCATATGATGAAGCATTTCTTCAATAATTTGAAAACGTACACCGCAAATCCGGCAAAATCGTTACCTTTGTACACCCACCAGATGCAAGTGCAAGTACGTTTGCATTTCCTCTCGGCCGTTTTCTCCCCGGTTGTATCACCAAACACGTTTAAGTAAGTGACTTAAGCCATAAGCAACACCCACCAAAGTGTATTGCTTTCTTAGGCTCAGCATAGAACAAGTCGACACGTTATGGGAATGTCTAGCTCACGACCCTGAATGTTCAGATGAACTCTTCAGTTGGTTGCTTTCCCAGACAAAAACCACCGAACTTCATGCTTTAAAGATCGACGCTTTGCGCAGACTCTACATGCACCATCTGCCTAGTTTGTCTCCCGAGAAGTTCAGCATGATTTGTTTGAGTCTCTTCCAGCAATTGTGTAGTTTAAACCACTTACTTGCCATCAATATGGGAACGGAATCCGTTCGAGAAAGCTACAACGTGGGAATGGACCATATGTGGAAGATCGCTCTAAGGGCAAACAACACGGACGTGAGCATGGCGGCTATTCAGTATATAAACAGTTACTACATGGGTCAAAATCTTCAAAATGAAGGTCAGTTCGTGTGGCAGTGCATGACCCATCTAAAGGCGGCCACTGAGGATCTAGTTAGCATGGGTACGCCTGGTGCGGAAGAAGCGCCGCTTTTGTGCATACAAAGGGCTTTATTGTTGATGAAGAGCCATCTGGAGACGTTTAGGCGTAGGTATGCTTACCATTTGAGGAGGTGGACCTTGGAAGGGAAAGGGATTGGGAGTCATTCGGCGTCGTCGACTGATCGCTGTGGGACACCTTTGAGGTTGATTGTTCAGTCAGGAACGTCGACGGAGCGGTGTTACTTGGATATGTTGACGTCGGATTATGTGGCAGATTTGAGGGCTGAGATCGTCAAGTGGGCAGAAGGACCAGCACAGGTAAGAGTAGTCGGTTTTTCTGTTATGGTTTTATTTAGAAAAGTAAAAAATGAAAGTACCTAAGAAAAGTAAAATCACAGCTTCTAATATTTGTAATTTTCAAAGTTGATGACGCCATTTCTGCGCGTGATTTTACAGCAACATATGACCGATTCGGGATGAGAGGCAATTGACACGAATGTCAATTAGTAAAAATGTGTTTTATTCAATAAGTGGAAGTCAGAGCAATAAAAAAGTCTGGATCGTCGGCATTCTGATCCGATCATTGCAATTTGTAGAAAACATCTTTTAGTTTAGTTTCTGTTTCACTTTCACGTCTACAGGTTGATAAGTGTTATCGCTATTTGTCTTAAATTACGAATACCATAAATGATTTTCAGTTCAGTCTCTGATAGTAATATCAGAGGTGCGACTGAATCACAAACAATTTAATCACGTCTGCCTTATGTAAATACGGCATTTTTCGAAAGAGGTGAATTTGACAAGCTATACTTCATGGTTTGTGAATCCGTGTAGAATTTTTACCCCAGACATCCAGAATTTTTGGAAAGAATTCAAAACTGAGTAACAATATTTTCTAATATAACTTTTAAACTGCAAGACCGAATGCTCTGAAATCTTGTAAATATTTTAAGGACGTCGTAATCGTGGTAAATCGTCAAACAAAATTTATTCGTTTATCCCCTTTCAAAAAATTGATGACGTCATCTCAAAATTTTGCCGAGCAAATCCTATCCAAATTGTGCAAAATATCATGACTCTATATTTGTGATTTATCATTACATTAAAAGTTTTTAAATTTCTTATACAGGTTGACTCGGAAAAAATATTGAAAGAGTCAATTTATTTTATTGATTAAATCAGGAACGGCTCACTCCATTTTCCCCAAAAATTTGGGAATATAATACTGTCATCATTAGTATTACACTGCACCTATCCAAAGTGATATACGTATCTTTGCAAAAATGTTGATGACGTCGGCACAAAATTTTGTTAAGGGAAAACTTATTTGGCCCAGCTAACTTAACTTGTAAGGATTCTCATAAAAAAATAAAATTCGCATAATCAAATTTTATAATTTTTAGATTTTTCAATTTTTCCTTTCCTTAGTTTTTCGAGTTCTTGATTTTTAAATTTTCATTTTCTCGATTAGCAATTTTTCGTTGTTTCATTTCCATTATTTTTTCAATATTTCAATTTCATAATGTTTCGTTCATTCAGTTGTTCAAATTCTCAATCATTGATTTTTTAATTCCTTGATTTTCCAAATTTTAAATTTTTCAATTTTGATATTTTTCAGTTTCTCAGTTATTCCATTTTCCGATATCTTTAATTTTCAGTATTTCAATTTTACAATATTTCGTTTTTTCGATTTTGCAGTTTTTCGATTTTTAAGTTACTTAATTTTTGATCTTTCGATTTTTCAATTTTTCAAGTTCCTCTTTGCTTTCCAATTTTTCAAAATTTGCATTTCATCCTTTTTCGTTTTTTTTTTTTTTGATTTTTCAATTTTACAATTTTATGATTTTTCCATTTTTTTATTCGAAAATTTGAAAAATCCAACAATTAAAAATCAGAAAACTAAAAAATCTGCACTTTTGCACCTTTTTGATTATTTCACTTTTTTAATTTTCAATCTTTCGATTTTTGAATTTTTCGTTTCTTCAATCTTTCAAGTTTTATAATATGTATTTCGTTTTTCATTTTTGATTTTTCAATTTTAAAATTTTGCAATTTGTTCACTTTTTTTTATTCGAAAAGTTGAAAGTCCAAAAGATCGAAAAAATAAAAATTGAGAAACTAAAACATCGGAAATAACTGAAAAATCGAAAAATTGAGAAAACCAAAAATTGTAAAATTAGAAAGTGGAAAATCGAAAAGCCAATAAATCAATGAATCGAAAAATTGGAAAACCCAAAAATTGTAAAATCGAACAATTATACTAATAGAATCGTCAAAACTGTAGTCGAAAAATTGAAAAACTAATATCGAGGAACTGAAAAATCGAATAAATGAAAACGTTTTAAATTTCAGTAATTGGAAAATGAGAAAATTCTAAAATCATAAAATTGAAAAAGAGAAAAATAAAAAAAATTACAATTACAATTACTCGTATATATTATTACATATTTAAAATGAAAAGTACAAAAATCAATAATACGAAAACTGAAAAATTTCAGATGAAAAAAGAAAAATTATAAAATCAGAACATTGAACAACACAAAAACTGACAAAAGCTAAAAAACCGAAAAATTGCAAATCGAAAAATTGAAAAAACAAATTTTAAAATTGGAGAATGGAAAAACCGAAAAATTGTCAAAATAAAGTAAACCAAAAACCCAAGATTTGAAGAAATGAAATATTGAAAAGTCGAATAAATGAAGAAGTTTTAAAATCCAATAATTGAAAAATGGAAACATTCGAAGATCGTAAAATTAAAAAAGTGAAGTATTTAAAAAATTATTATTATTATTATTACATATTTAATGTGAAAACTAGAAACATTGCAAATCGAAGAAATGAAAAATAAAAAATCCTTAAACTGAAGAATCTAAAACTAAAAATATTAAAAATTAAAAAATCCAAAAATTGCATATCAAAAAATTGAAAAATTACTAAATTATAAAATCAAATTATTGAAAAATCGAAAAGTTGAATACTCCTGAAATTGCAAATGAAAAAAAGGCAAAATCTAGAAATTGAAACATTCAAAAGTTGGAAAATTAAAAAAGTGAAGTATAAAAATAAAATTGTAGAAACGAAAAATTGAAAAAATTGACACTGAAAAAAACAAAAAATTGTAAAAATAAAAAAAATAAAAACCGAAACAAGAAATTGCAAATCTAAAATTTAAAGAAATGAAAAGTTAAAGAATCGAAAAACTGAAAAATTAAAAGTTGAAAATTAAGAAATTTTAAATCGGAAAATTGCAAAATCTAAAATTGAAGAAACAAAAAAATGAAAAATTGAAAAATCGCAAATCGAAAAATTGAAGAAACGAGAAACTGAAAAAATTAAAATTGAAAAACAAAAAATTATAAAATCGAAAAATAGAATAACTGAAAAAAATAAAGAAAATAAAAAACCGAAACTAAAATAAAGATTATCATAAAAAATTAATTCGACCAATTTTTCTAGTCAATAATAATCAGAATTCGTGTGTTCATCTCTTCCAAAAACTTGGAAACTTCATCCTTAAATACCTAGATCTTCTCAAAAGTGTTAATGACGTTATTCCAGAAATTTAGTGAATAAAGATTTTTTTTTTAAAGAAGTTTCCTAAAAATTGTAATCTTACTACATGAAACAAAAGGACCAATAATAAACTATCCTTTTTGAAACGTTTGGAAATGCAGCTTAAATTGTACAATTTTACCGGAAAATTTATTAAATTCATTGTAGATGAAAAACCAAGATTCGGACTCAGGCGGACACAAACAGAATGACACTTGGATCAGACTAATTACACAAGGTCAAGAGCTGACGATAGACTGTGATGAAAAAACTCTAGCGGAAATGGGCTTCAAAGATAATCAGATGATTTACATTTCGATAGGAGTTTCAAAAAATATGAAAAAACGCGAATGTTTAGATTTACCATCAATGCAACCGCCACCACCAAGAGAATCGATACCAACATTACTCCTATTGCGACCGAACTATTTCGAGCAGTTATTCTCTTTGATGCACACCCTCAGCTCCATGAAAGTACCAGTAAAGGGTGGCGTAAGTTTTAATAATTTTGGTAAAGAACTAGTTAATAAAAGGCGCCTTTTAGCATCATATTCCAAACACTAAAGCTCAAGTACTTAGTAGAAGAGTTTGGGATATCTTAAGTTTGTTACCTACTAGTCCGACGTTGTTGCAAGGCTTCAAACAGTTGGACACTCCACTTACAGAGCTTCTTGATCCGTCAAGCGCACAAAAATTGATGTATTCGTTGTACATTGTCGAATCTTTGAGTGCTAAAAGCAGCCAGAGTAAACAAACCGAGAACGATAAGGAACCGTGGATTCGCACTTTTATCCATCATGGTGGACTTCGCCATTTGTTTGATATATTCATGTCAGGTTAGTACTTTTCTTGTGATTACGATAATTCGTAATTGAATTGTGGTTTATTTTTAATTTACAGGCGTTCTCCAACGAGATGGCGGCAACGGCAGCGAATGGCAACAAGATTGTTTAGCTTCCTTACTCAAAATTACGTGTCAGTTGGGCGTCGAACCCCTTCCACTTGATTCGAGGCCTTCTCGAAGCGATAAAATCGTAATTCCAAATTTAAATGAGGTTAGTTTTTTCACATTAGTTTGTACAAATTAGCTGAAATATTTATAGGCAATGTTGTCCATGATTGACGTCAAAAGTACCATGCCTCAACTCACCAGCATTTTAGAAGAAGCGTCGTTACCGAAGGATCCAAACCTTTACAAGACGGGATTCTGGGGAAGAGCCCAAGTCGTTCATTATGCTATGTCTTTTTTAGTGTCGTGGTTACATTGTAGTGAAGATGCTAGGCAAGCACTCTTTCAGTCACCGAATTTCTCCGTGTGGCTCCAGCGGCTGGTAAGTTTATTTTAGAAAAAAATAACTGATCCAATTTTTTTAATTGCTACAATTTACTTTTTGATAGGTTTTGGAAGACCCAGAACCCGCCGTTCGTCGCGAAGTGTGTTCGGCTGTGTACAGGTTATGTTTAGGTGTTTCCGCCAGCGGCGATGTGTTAGAAAGCAGCTTAGTAGCTCCGATGCTCTCAGAACTATTACTGTACTTAGATAAAGCTGAGAGTATGGGACCTCAAAAATTCGAAGCGATCCCTGCACTTGAAGAAGGTAAAGAACCCTACGGTCCAGCCTGCAGAGATTACTTCTGGCTAGTGGCACGACTAGTCGATAGTTTACCCGAAGATCTAATAAAAGAAAGTCTCGAAGACCCCCAAAATTGCGTCGTCGACATCAACGGTTTAACCAACAAAATCGCACGTTCACTTCTATCAAGAGATTATCTCGAAACCCGGCATCGAACGATAGACGATGACGGTCTCATCGGACTTCTAAATCTTTTAACGAATTTAATCAAACATCGGCCGCCTTTCCAAGTCAGCAAACAAGGGCAAGAGTTGTTGGTTGAAGTGTTTAATTTTTTGTTCGCGTTACCTAGTCCTAAACTACGACACGTACCGAAGTGTAAATCGCCAAGATCGAGAACCGCGTCTTATGATTTGTTGGTGGAGTTGGTGAAGGGGGCGCCACAGAACTACTATATTTTGCACGAGAAGTTGCTGAAACAGCACCAACCAGGTTTGTAGGAAAAGGCGTCATTTCTAGTTTTAAGGAGTTTTTGCAGGACCGCATTCACCGTATCCTTGGGATTATTGGCCACATGAAGACGGTCGATCGGAGTGCGGTTACGTAGGGTTAACTAATTTAGGAGCAACGTGTTATATGGCTTCTTGCATGCAACATTTGTACATGATGCCGCAAGCTAGAGCGTCGATTCTTGCCGCAAACACTGAACATTCGAAACACGAACCTACTTTGAAGGAGCTGCAGAGGATGTTTGCATATTTATTGGTGAGAAGAAAACATACCTAAAATATTGTCAAAACCAATTCTGTGATTGATTTATAGGAAAGCGAAAGGAAAGCCTACAATCCCCGCAGTTTCTGCAAAGTGTACACCATGGATCACCAACCGCTCAACACTGCCGAGCAGAAAGACATGGCGGAGTTCTTCATCGACCTGGTCAGTAAACTGGAAGAAATGACGCCGGCTCTGAAAACTGTCGTGAAAAAGTTGTTTTGTGGTGTACTTAGCAACAATGTTGTTTCTTTAGTAGGTTTTATGAGTGTGTTGTTGGACTATCGATCGAGGATTGCTCTTTTTAGGACTGTGATCATGTTAGTCGTACTTTAGAAGAGTTTTATACCGTTCGCTGTCAAGTAGCCGACATGAGAAACCTTTACGAATCATTAGATGAAGTTACGGTTAAGGACACTCTTGAAGGTGATAACATGTATACGTGCTCGCAATGTGGGAAAAAGGTTAGGGCTGAAAAGAGGGCTTGTTTTAAAAAGTTACCGCATATATTGTGCTTTAATACGATGAGGTACACGTTCAACATGCTGACGATGCTCAAAGAGAAGGTCAACACGCATTTCTCGTTTCCGTTAAGACTCAATATGGCGGGCTACGTCGAGAAGCAGTTGATGCCGCAACACTATCAAGGTAAGCATATGTCATATTACTAAGAACAATTTCTAAATAGTGCAGAAAAAACATACTATTTTTTACGAATCTCGTTATACTACGTATTTTCGTTTTCTGGGGTCGAATTTGAGTCGTTTACGCATAGTTGCGTGTGGCCAATATGAAACCTAATTTCTATAGCAGAATCACTGACGAGTTCAGTGAACGACGAACCTACCGTTTCTATTGGAAACCATGTGTTTTTTTTTTGAGTGTTTATGACTCATTTTTGTACTAGATTTGTTGCAGTTAGGTGGGGTGTGTATATTTGCGATTTTAGGATGTTTCATTCGGTTTGAGCATAGGTTTTGTTGTTTCGCAACAAGTGAATAAGCCAAACTTCTTGTAGTATTTCACGTAAAATATTTTAAATAGAGTGGTTGCGTTTCTCACCATTCCTGGTTTTACTAATGTAAATTGGACATCGACTCAATAGGGCTTTAGCTCAAGCTGTTGGTGCGACTTTCACGTGATCACTGGCAATGGAACGCTCACTCACCTTTGGAGTGCCTATGGAGTATCTAAAATCTTAAAGAATTTGCGAGAAAATCCTAGAACTAACGTTTTTCACAATTCAAATCATTATACAGATGGGGCCATTAATAATAACCGCCGGCAAAGATCCGGTTTCACTTTCTGGTTGCACATTTTTTTATTTCTTTGTTTTCATACTCAAACTGTTGGGTAAAAGTATGAAAATAAATTTTGGACGATAATCAAGTCACAAATAAGACTTGAACCTTTAAATGTGTTCTCTTTAAATGAAAAACTTAGATACAATCCTGCTTTTGTCTTTATTATTTATTAAGTAAAAAATTAAAAATATTACAGTTATGTTTGTGGTGGTAGACAATACAGAATTTTCTTAATTTATATTCATTTTGGCTAAAAATCAATTTCACAGTAAGACACCTTCAAGTAATTTAAAAAAAGTGACGGGCAATCCACCAGACAAATATTAAACACGACGGCGGGACGTAAGGCGATAAATTTGGCTGGCCGACTGTGCAGTGCCAACCACGTCACAACCTCACTGGCGTTTGATGCAAATCAGGGTTTATCTAATCACGATCATCACGGAAATTGTGATATTGACCAGTCGTTGTTAATTTTTAAAGCATTTTAACATCTAGGAGAACTCTTATAATTGAGAAAAAGTAGTAAATCCTATTAAGAATTCGTGAAGTTATAGGCTACGACTGCAATATCGCTGGCGATCGGACGGCAATGAGAATCACTTTCGCGATGCCGAAGTGTGTTTATAATAAAACTGGATAATGTGTTATTTTTTTGTATTGTAATATCGAGATAATCGACACACAAATACGCGTTCGTGACTCGGAAATATTCGAATCGGTACATTTTTGATCAAAATGTGAGCATGTGAAAGATTTACATAAAATTTTCGTTTCATTTATGGTTGGATGATGACTGACTAATTAAATTTTAGTTCCCTGGGAAGATGACAATGAGTCATTTCCCGTAAATACCTTGTTTCTATGATTTTCTGATTATAAAAAATTTGCAGAAACTATACGTGCTAGAAAAAATTAGATTAGGAACGTGTATTTTCATTTCTGATTATTACAAAAACCTTTCATTTTGTCCACCAGTGTAATTAATGAGACACCGAGGAGCGTGAGCTTAGTAAGTAATGAATTAATGATAATAATCAATCAAAAATATTAACAAGGTTGATCAGAAACGATTTAAATGTGATTTAAGCACAATAGCAAAGAACTACAAAAATTTGCATTTTCAGTTTACAAAAAAAAAAAGGATCAAATGAATATGAGCCAGTATTTTTTAAGTTCTTGATGTTAAGGTAACACTTTTAAAACTTGATATGACGACAGTTGAACTATTTTTACCTTTGTTTATTCATGCATAAAATCTTGCAATACGGATATTACCAACAAACCTGTTTCAATTTTTTCAACCCTTGCATCTTAGAGAAAGAACAAGAAAATTAAGATACCTTAACTTGGTAATGTTGCAAAAGAAATCCCAAAATTAAATATATTTGTAAAGCCATAAAAAACAACATAATATATAATCTTTATTCTTATACCACATAATATAATGTTTACACTATACAGGGTGTTTCTTTTATTTGGTACAGCCCTGTAACTTTTTACTTCCCAAGCGTAAGCGAAGAAAGTATTTTAATCGGGTCCGGCTGACTCTCTACTTTTACGTTTTCTCGACCTTTCATGACCCCTACAGGACGAAGAAATGGGTCTTCCGTTTCCGTCTGTCTATCTATCTGTCTCTCCGTCTGTCTGCCGTTACGTATTTTTATTAGACAGATAATCTCCGAAAGTACTGGACCGATTGTTGTCAAATTTTGTATTTATATTAGGAATATCATGCTGATGATAAAACGTTAACTAAAATTTCTCTTATCGTCCCCACCACTAATGCGATGACGTCACTTCAAAATTGTACGTAGCAAATGGGTTTTAAATTGTATAAAGTAACATAGTCCTAAACATGTAGTTTATGACTTCGAATAAAGTTTTTACCCGAAATATCCAGATTTTTGGAAAAAAAATCAAAATTATAAAAAAACATGTTGCAATTTAATTTTGAATCTGCTAAACCGAAAGCTTTGAAATCTTGCAGATGTTTTAAGGCTATAAAGAGCATAATAAATAATTTCGGAGGCTTCCACGGTCGGATCGTTTTCCGGGTTGGAATCGTGTTAATTGAGTTTTTGGGCTTAAAGTTTCGCACACTTTCGTAAGTGGCATCTTCAGGAGAAGGGTTAAGAATAAGGCAAAATAGCACGGTAACTCAGTATGTCAACCATACCAGAGGCGAAACTCAATTAACACGGTTCCAACCCGGAAAACGATCATGTAGCATAATAAATGTTTAGTCAAAATATATTTGCTTATCTCCCCCTAAAAATTTGATGACGTCACCTCAAAATTTTGTTCAATAAATCCTATCTAAAATGTACAAAATCTGATGATTGGATTTGCGTATACAGGTGACTCAAAAAAATATCATTGCATTTCTTTGAGTCACTTTCGACCAATTTTTTATTCTCGAAGGTAAACCTGTAGTTCTTGGAGCAAATGTGTATCATTTTAAAAGATCTATGTCATGACAACGTCACATTTTGATTATAACTTCTTTCATAAATGGAAATATTGATTTTTTGTAAAAACTCAAAAGCAACCAATATTCGAAAATCAATACGTAAAAGTTATTCAATAAAATAGGCGAAAAATTCATATTTATTGATGACAACCTAGTAACTTGAAAAATTGACATTCATTTCAATTATTCACATAAGTGATCTTTTAAAATGATACAAATTTGTTCAAACAACTAATTTAAAAATAAAAAAATACAAGGGTTGTTTCAGATAAAAGAAGTACGTGATATAAATGAAACAATTTCATGAGGTTCAAAAATAATAGACAATGCGCAGAAAATGTTTTAAGAAAATATTATTTTAAAAAGCAAATAAAACTTATCAAAAGTAATAAATATTGAACTTGCAGAGTTTTTTTTTTCTCACCATTACAGTAAAACAAAAATTTAGAAAAACTAAAAAAATGTGGCGATTTTTTTTTTATTTATTTTGGTTTCTGTCAATTATTTCATATTAATGAAATGATGCATACATACATAGAACTCATTCGTTTTTATTTATGAACTACATTTTGTTAACATATTTAGATTCATAAATTAAAAAGTCATTCGATGTCCGGTTTTAGCTAACTCACCATGTATATAATTATTTCTTATTTGCAGTGTGACAACAACACAACAAAACAAAGTTTACAATTTGCTTTGAGTCTTTTTCTTTTGTTTTCATGCACCAAAAAACCGTCTAAAAAAGAGGAGCTGGTAATGTAATTAATTAAAATTGTTTTTTTTTTCCACAGTCTTAGATTTTACATTATGTAAGTAGTGAATTTGAAATCATCAACGAAAGTATATAAAATGTTAATAATTTTAAATATTCTATAAATTAACATGAAGTGAATATGGAGGTGAAGTTGCAAATTGTGGGCTTGTACTGTATGAAATAGTTTTAATATCCCAATTTGGCCTTTATGTTCGATAATAATCTGCATATGTAGAAAACGATATTTGTAAACAGTTTTATTAACCTACACCGTCTACAATATATATTTATTTAAATAATACGAATTAATAGGCTTACCACTCGAGTTGTGTACTGTACTTTTTCTAATACGATGGAAGTTAAATATCGAACTGTCACTTTTGACAAATTTTTATGACATCTGTACAATTATGTAATTATATATATTACCCACTGGTGTGGGTAATGATGGATTTACTTTAAAGGACGCCCGTTTGTAATTGATCGATTACTATAAGAGGAATAGAAAAAAAACTATTTACTTTCAAGAATAAATATGAAATAATGCTAAGTTAATTTATATGTTCTGATAGTGATAATACAACATATTCATTGTTGGTTGTTATACGAACTGATTTTCTTTGTTTTTTTGTGTCGATGGTAATTTATTGAAGTTTTACACTAACTTACAAGAAACGAAAAATGAAAAATGGCGTTTTGATATCTATAGAAATAGTAAAGAATTTCTTTTTTTTAACAAGTGTGACATCAGGATAATAATAATTTTTCTACTATATTTTTTTGATATATTGTTAGTTTAAACTGCCTCTTTGTTCAAAAAATATCCAGCCAATGTTAACAGAAAACAAGAAACTGGGGAGAAAATGATCCACCATACATGATTTCATTTGATGATTTTACAAGTATCCTTAGGTATACTTAATTATTATTATACATTTTTTATCTAATGAGTTAAACTTGTCAACGAAAAATTGCTCTTTTTTTATTACTCACAAATCTAAATTGAGTTTAAAAATTAAAGCGTGTTTGATAAAAATAATATTATTAAAAATAATTTTAATAATTAATAATATTTATTATTGTAACTTAAATGATTATGATCAGTAACTTCGATTAAATAACTTTATATTAATTTGGAAATTACAAGAAATCGTACTAACCGTGCAACAGTGGGGTATGATGCTTTCGTTCGACACTTTCGACTTTGAAATCGAGAAACGATGGAGGGATGCGTTTCAGTGAGACTGAATGTAAATCTTGATTTTAGTACTTTCTTCAAGGGTACAGATACTTTCGGCAGTTCGTTAGACCAGGGCCGCGGGGGGCGGTCATTATTAATGGCTCTATCTGTACCAAATTTATATATTTTTTTTTAATTTGAGACAATGTACAACATCCAAGTTTTTCAGACTGCTTAAATGTCTAGACTACAAAGTTTTTTCGTACTGAAATATGACGAGAAACTGATTTCCAGCCCGAATTTGAACATTTAGAAATCATTTGTCTGAAATAGGGCACCTGAAATGTAAGAAAAAGCACCTGCAAATGCTCGAACTGTTACTTTGCACGGTCCAGAGTATCTACACTAAAGCTCCAGCTATCAGAATATGGTGCTCAGTAGACACGTAATTCCTTAAAACTCACAGTTATCCAATTCAGCAAGAAAAGGTAGTTCTACTTTGTGTTTTGTCATCGTAGATCCTAGAGCATCTGAAGTGTTCGAACACATGCCGAGAAATCCTAGAACGGATATTTTCTACAGTTCTGACCAACTACGTCAAAACTGCACCCGTGAAACAGTTTAGCACACCTAAGTCTCTTGGGAAGATGCAAAATCCATAGAACTCGAAGCTACAAATTTCGTATTGAAATTTCCCGAGACGCTGATTTCCAACTCGAATTTGAACATTTATAAAGCTTTTGCATGACCATGGCACATCCAAAATAAAAAAAAAAAAGGCTCGGAAATCCTTGAAATCGTTCTGAATATCTACAATCGTCAGAACATAGATGTCTCCTTTGCATGATTTAAGACATTTTACAGCAACATGCCTAGATCTGGCAGTTCTGGCACCTATAAAATTTAACAAGAAATCTGATTTCTAGGGCAGATTTGAATGTTTACTTTTACGTGGAGTATCCTAAATATTATAAAATATATCAGCAAAACTTATATTTTTCACAGTTCTGACCAGCTACTCCAAAACCACACCCGTCAGAGTGTGAGAACGGACACAAATAGCCTTGTTTCGAAATCTGAGCCGATTTAGCATACGAAGTACGTTTGACAAACTCAAAATGCATAAATAAAATTCCCAAAATGAAAAAAAAAGGAACTAAAGACTTTCTAAATAAGTTTAGACCGATTTTTTTGATATTATTTATTTATCTCGAAAATGGTACGGATACCCTCAGTTTTGTTTATGATGGATTGTTAATGAATCGAATTTATATTTTTTGCTGTTTTTAAGATCACAATGGTGAGAAAGCCAGGTTCATTTCATATTAATAGCGTTACGGAGTTTCCACATCATCATTGCTTTTCCCAATTTATTGTTGCAAATGTTTAGAGAAGTTTGTTTTCGAAAAAAATATATACATGTGCAATTTATTTCTAATTTGTGATTACTGCCATTGGCGTTTCATGTGTATGTATGCCTGACATGCACATTTACTTATGGACCAGTGGTTGAAAATCTTGTGTGACATAGTAATGATTATCATAATAATCTAGTTTAGTACTCATGTCAGTCACCTAAAGAAATTAATTTTCTCGTTTCTCAACGCAGAGGACAAACTAAAACAGTACGAGCCCGAGGATGAACAATACGAATACGATCTAATCGGCGTCACCGTCCATACAGGAACTGCAGATGGTGGACATTACTATAGTTTTATCAAAGATAGAACAGCTGGTTCAAGGGATAAGTGGTTCCTTTTTAACGATGCCGAAGTCAAACCGTTTGATCCAAATCAAATAGCGGCTGAATGTTTTGGTGGAGAAATGACGGTCAGTTTAATATTTTACTGAAAACCTCACTTTTTCTACAACACAACTTTCACAGAGTAAAACATACGACAGCGTTACGGATAAATTTATGGACTTTAGTTTCGAAAAAACTAATAGTGCATATATGTTATTTTATGAGCGTTGTCCCATCGTAACACCTGAGGGATCAGAAAGTGCATCCACGGCACTCGAATCTGGAGATTCTCTAAGTAATCACCCGTCGAGTTCGTCCATAGCCACTTTCGAACTTAGCAAAGAATTGGAGGATTGGATCTGGCAGGATAACATGCATTTCATTCAGGATAAGAATATTTTCGAACATACTTATTTTAAGTGAGTTAGAGGAAAATGAACGAATCTCGAAAATGAGAGTTTTTGTTTTGTAGTTTCATGTGGCAGATCTGCGGTTACATCCCCCAAACTATTTTACCGATAGAGCCTGACATAACACAGAAAGCAGCCCAACTTTCTACTTCTTTTTTCATAGAAACGTTCATTCATGCCAAAGAGAAGGTGAGTTTGAATGAAGTGCGGACGGGAAACGAAACGACTGACTTTGATTGTAGCCAACAATGGTGCAGTGGGTGGAGTTAGTCACAAAGCAATTCAACGCCTGCCAAGAGGCATGCATATGGTTCTTGGAGCACATGGCTAACGATACCTGGTGGCCAGTTCAAGTATTACTGAAATGTCCGAATCAAATGGTGCGACAAATGTTCCAAAGGCTGTGCATACATGTGATACAACGCTTGAAGCAGTCACATTCTAGTTTATATTTAGAGATCGATCGGGACATTCCAGCTTCGTTGAAAGAAGACAACAAGGCAATTGAACCCTCGAAAATCGGCAATGCTTCTTGTGTGACTAAATTTATCAAAACTTTATTATCTCTTGTGAGTGGTACACTGATATTTGTTGTTAAAGTAATAAAAGTGGTTTTTCAGATGGAACATGGAGCGAAAGCGCATTTGAAACATTTGACGGAGTATTTCGGTTTTTTGTATGAGTTTAGTAAGATGGGGGAGGAGGAGTCGAAGTTTTTATTAGCAGTAGGAGCAATTCATTCGATGGTGCATTTTTATTTAGGGCAAAAAGCAAACGATTTTGTAAGTTTGTGATTGAAAAGTTGTTCAAGTGAGACAATTGAGTGTTTTATGTAGGTGGATGTCAGCGAAGGCGAGGAAGAGGAAGAAGTAGTAGCTCTACCGAATGACAAATACAAACCAGCTTCACTCGATAAAATGATAACTTTAATAGCGTCACTAGTCGAAAAAAGTAGAGATTCTAATGTGAAACTGCAGTTAAGCGAAAAAGATTACGGCGCTGTTGCTGAAGGAAAGGTTAGAAACTACATTTCATCTTGCAGATTTACAGTTTAAATTTTTAGGGTTTTCCGTTTTTGTATCAACAAATTAAAGATAACATCAATCTTCAGCAAACGCGGAATTTGATTCACTCTTTGTGTCGCGGCAACAACCAGCTAGCTCAATCTATAATTTGCATGATCTCACAAGCTATTTCTAGACATTCCGATGTGAGTTATTAAGGGGAAAAAGCGACGTTAGGTTGATGTTTATTTTTTTTTTTTTAGACTTCTCAACCGTTTTTCAAAATTCTTACGTTACTTACTGAAAGTACTGCTCAAGGTTCCGGTGGTTCATCCTCTCAACCCTGTTTCACTCAACTAGTTTTACAGAAAGTATGGGAAGCTGCGGAATGTTGTCCTTATTCGGCACTCGATTGGTTGGCGCTACAAGTGACTAGGAACCGACTGGTTCATCAGTGGGTGTTGAGTTCGATGGATTCGTGGTTGGAGCATTTCCTTATAGCCCACAGTAATCAACGAGTTCGGAACGGTATGTAAACTTTATTAGCTAGTTTTAGTTGTGTCTATTGGTTGAATAGGTGGTGAACTTGTAGATAACAAATTAAGAAATATGTAAAATTACTTGACCAAATGCACTAATTACCTATTATGACACCTGAAGACACTTAGATGTCTATAGCAAAAAAATATTTTGGGAGTCGCAAATTTACAGAATTCTTCGTCCAAAAATCCACTGAATTAATGTTTTACGACCATACTAAATCTTGCTGAGCACCAATTTTAAATGGCTTTGCTGTAGAGCGTTTCATTTTTCGAGTAAGAATAATTTAAAGTTTGGCATATTTTTATTACAAACATGTTTTGCACAGCAACAATGAATTTTTTTGGCGTTCATTTTTGTATGAAATTTATCTAATCATTCCTACCACAAATTTGATAACGTCATTTTGCTGAATAAATCCTATTTAAAATACTAAGATGCCTATTTTTGATCTTAGATTCTTGAAAAAAATCAGCATTATGTAACAAAATTTTACAATTTAACTTAGGAACTACAAAAATAATTGTTTTGAAATTTTGAACACGCTTTAATGTTATCATGAATATGGTAAATTGCTAATCATAGTTCACCTCTTCATCAAAAACGTGGATGACGCCATCTTAAAATTTTACCAAGTAAAACGTATTAAAAATATGAAAATATTTTTAACTTTATTTGTATATGTTTTTGGAAAAAAGTTTAGAATTCTGTAACGAACTTTTACAGTTTAACATAAAAACGGCGAAATCGATTGCTCTGAAATTTGATATAACCAAATATTCATTTTTTTTACTTCCCAAGCGTAAGCTACGGAAATATGTGCTGTAATAATCGATTTTATCGGGCGACTAGCTACTTTAATTTTTTCCCGATGTGTCATGACCACTAGAGTACAAAAAAATAAATCTCCCGTTTCCGTCTGTCTGTCCGGACCAATTGTTGTAATTTTATATATGTCTTGTGAATATTGTGTATATGTAAAACGTTAACCAAACTTGTAATGACGTCACCTCAAACTTGTACATATTAAATGGGTTTTAAATTTATAAAATAACATACCCCTGCATATGTAGTTTATGAACCCGCGGTAAGTTTTTACCCGAAACGTTCAGATTTTTGAAAAAAGAAAAAATTGTATAACATCTTAAAATTTGCTGCAAAACCGAATGCTCTGAAATCTTGCAGGTGTTTTGGCTTTTAACCTAAAATACCCAAAATATGATCTAGGCTTATGATTTACCATTGCATTCATATGTTTTAGTGGCAAAAAAATTAATGTATTAGTCAATTTATTTTATTGATTAAATCAAGAACGGCTCATCCCATTTTCTCCTAAATTTGAGTATACTTTACTGTTATTAATAATATTACACTGAATCTATTCAAATCGATATACGTATCCTTGCAAAAATGTTATGACGTAATTACAAAATTTTGTAATGGAAACATATGCATATTATACTTCTTTACTTATACTTTAACAGTCTACGGCTATGTTTTTTAACTTATAGGGATTATCGGAAAAAATAAAATTCGGAGAATTAAATTGTATAATTTTTCAAAGATCTGTACTTGCTGGTTGACCTGTATTTCGGGGGCGAGGCAAGTACGGTCTAAATAGACGTATTTTTTGTTCCAAAGACCTGTTGGTATCAACTCATTTTTTTTTTTTTTTTTAGAAAATTTTGGTTGAAATTTACAGTGTGACATGCCCATATTTTTAACGATATTCATGGAAAAAAACAAAATTGTCCAATACCATTTTACAATCTATCCGAGAAACTACTGAATCAGTTCGAGGATGGTCGTAGTTAGCGCTATGTGTATATATTTTCAGGGTGGCCGGTTTTTTGCGGGTCAGTGTATTTGTCTTCTTTGAAATTGTTCAGTTTTTCGTTTGCGGATAGAATTCTGGCTAGGATATATTTTTTGCACTCGCGGAAATAGAAGTCGGTTTCTAGGACCGCAGAATCGGGAGGGAAATAGAACATTTACTCTCTAGGGAGAGAAATACATAAACAAATACACAGTAGAGGCTTTAAACAGTTTTGACTTTACTCTCACCCCACTATTCTCTAAATCATTGATACTGTTATATTGATCGGTGAATAAAATCGGCGTGGGTAAAACTCAACAATTTATTTCTTAGTAACTCGAATTTACACGACTAATTACACAGCGATTATGTACAAAATAATTCCGGCGCAACTTGACTGGCTCTTCCCTGGATTCGACTGAATTTGTTTCTCGTTGTCTGGACTACACTCTGCCTGCTCCCGACGGTGGTTTCCATTTAAAGAGCCACGCGGTCCTTCTCGAAACGCCTCCGTCACTGCTTCTAGACTTGTCTGGAGCACCCATTCGCGACTTCCGTTCTTCTCCGGCCGCCGTCACCGAAAATGAGTCATCATCGCCGTACATACGAGAACCCATAGGCGTCGTACCGGGGCCGCGTATGGGTTTATTTCGTAACAATACGTATAGTTTTCGCAATTTAGGAGCCAACAAATTCAGGACAGCAGCATCACGAATTTCTTGCGGATCTTCGTCTTGCATTTTGATCGAAAAAAAAATCACTGTCAATGTTTACTTTTTTTTTTTTTGTTATGACATAGGAAATCATGTATATCTATCCCTCGATGTACCGATATAATACGTATATAATTATGGGTAGAGCAAACGATGACACGTGACAGCAATTTTTGATCCAAAATTCCGTCAAATAATTGTGAAAAAAACAATAGCGTCGCAAGTAGACGAGATTTAGATATTTAGAAGAAATAATTAAAACGATTTCATTAAAAATCAATTAATTCAGGTTTTTTATTTCCGATTTCTTAAGTTTTCAGGCAACTCTCGCATTGCGTGGCTTTTTAATTAATAATAATAGTAATAATTTTATTTTCTGGTCTTTTAACTGTTTGTAAATTTAATTGATTTGGCAATCGGGTCAACATTGTTTTTCTAATATTTTTGACAATGTTTCCAGACGAATAATGGTTGTTTTTTTAAATGTTGCTTAAATTTAAAAAAACTTGTTCTACTAAGTGGCTACTCGAAAAGTGTCATCCGACACACGAAATAGGGAGCCAACCTTATATTCTTTAAGGGCCACAAATCGTAGATGTGGTGTCATCGCAATTCTTTTGGCTTTCGATCCTAAACAATTAAAACAACTTCGACAAATTCTTCAATTTCTTATACTTGTAACAACATAGGCAACACAATTGTAGAGTGCGTTTTGTTCTCGTCTGGAAAAATCTGTTTTATTTGCTTTCCAATCCGAAGGTAAAGTTGGAGGTAAATCACTAGCGTTTATTTATTTATTATTTTTTTGTTTTTCACCATCTTTCTTTTTTAACATAATTTTAACAACCAGCCAAAGGTGTTCTTTTATCAGTTTCATAATTACTGTCCGTAACTTCATACTATTATAAATATCAAGATACTGTGATACAGATAAAAGTTTTAGGTCATATTTAACCTGAATTGCTATTGGAACAGGATATTGTGCTCGATTTTGTGAAAAAAAAATTCTAAACAATCTTTTGAAAATCTGGACGTTCATAAGTAAGATTTTTTTTCATTCAGAAATACATTTTGAAGAGTCAAAATCGAGGTGGTAGTTAATATTACAGCCGTTTGTACGGGTTTCCAAAAGACTTTTCCGAATTGGTCTCCGAATCAATTTCATAGTTGAAAATAAATAATGTATTATGTATATCCTTTAACAATTCCAAAATTTCGTAGATTTTCAAATTAAATTTACTGAAGGTAGCATCTTCGATCTCGAACTAATTAATTTAAACCATTTATATACCGTATCTATAAAAAATCTGTTGTTATTGAAGACTTATCTTCTATTTCTTCGGCATTAAATTTTATGCCGCTACTAACGTTTGTGTTAATAACATATAATGAATTTGAAATTTTCATTTTATTAAAATAACTAACCTGTAAAAAATCCATGTTTAATTTTGGGGCAAATTGTAAGTCAACTTTATTTTTTCGTTGCAAAATTCTGATGTACTGAATTGATGGGACGAAATCCTGTTTCCAGTCTGTATAAATAAACATCAAATTGTGCAAATTGTGAATAAATGAATATTACAAATAGATGCTTTTAGTGGACACTTTTGTTGTCAGTTAATGTCTCGACGTGGCTGCTTTCCACTTTGTTTTAATTTTTAATTATTTAAAACAATAATTGCCAAAAAAATGTATTCGAAAGGCACCGAAAATGTGTTTTGTGGTGATTTTTAAAGCAGATTTTTATTTCAAACTCAAGAAGAGAAAGATTTCTAGAATTTAGTACTGAATTTGGACGCAATTCTTAAACTACACATAAGAATTTAATTAAGTTAGGCGAAATTTCTTAATCCAAAATTTTGAAATCACGTCATCAAATTTGCGGGGGGAGATAAACAGATATATCTTGATTAGCGTTTTTCCTGACATTAAATTTCAATAGAGTCGGTTTCTTTATTTTCTCAGATACAGTTTATTGTGAAATCTGTACTGGAAAAAAATATTGTAATATTATTATATTTAAAACAGTTTTTCAAAAAGTTGGGTAAAAATTCACAAAACATCCCCGGATTGGGTTTGATATCGAGATGCTAATTCGAAAAATATAGTGTCTTTATGGTTCCAAGGCACGATTTTAGAAATACTCAATTTGAAATTCAACTTTTTTCAAAAATTCTATCAAAAATTGGTTGGATTGTTCCAAGAAATGAAGCCGAAAGTAACCTCTAGAACTCAAAATCTGTAAGAAAGTATCTTTCGGTAAGTTTCAAAGGTGGTTGAAGAAGGGTCGAAATTTTCGTACGAACGAAGATAAAAAAATTGAGATTTTGCAAAAATGTGGAAATCCACAAAAAATTTGAATTTTCACGTACGAAAATATAGCGTATTTATGGTCCCGGGCAAAAATTTTTGAAATATTTGATCCTAAATTCAATTTTTTTCAAAAATATTAAAAATTG